TAATTTTTTTTAATATATATAACTTTAAATTAATTTTACCGGTAACGGGCGGAACGAATATAAATTAAATAAATAAAGTAATAACGTTTTAACTTATATAAATAATATTTATACGTAAATATTAAATGGGTGGTACGTTATTAAAAAAAAATATGTTAAAAATATCGTAATAAACGGGTTAACGTACGATAAAAAAAAAAATAAAATAATTTTAAAAATTACTTTATACGTTTACGAATATTATATTTATAAATATAAAATAAAAGTAATATTCGTGGTAATTAAATATTTTAAAATATATAAATTAAATTTAAACTTATTTAATTAAAATTATTTTTATAAGTGTTATTTAAAAAAAAACGATATTTTAATCCTTTTTTTAAAATAATATTTAACCTTATAAACTTAATTTAATATTAATATTATAAATTAGTTTTAAATTAATTAACGAAAAATTTTTAAATATAATTATTACGTTAAATTTATTAAAAAGTTTTAATCGATAAAAAAATATTATATTATTATTTTGTTAATAAATATTATCGGGTATAAATAAATAATTATTAATAATTTATTTAAAAAAAATAAAAATCCTTAAAATAAATTAAAACTTTATATTAAAAATAATATTTTTAAAGTTTTTATAATTATATATAAAAAATGAATTAATGCATTTTTATACGTATAACTTGCGGTAAATCCCCGTAATTTTTACATTTTTTATATTTCGGCTTTTATTACATTTTTACTTATAAAACGAATTAAAAATTTAAATAATTTATTTTTCGAAAATAATAAAAAAAACCAATTTATACGACGTTAACCGGTATATTCGTATATAAATTTTAACTTTATTTTATCGCCGATAAAAAATCGGATATTACGAAAAGAAATTTTAAATTAATTTAACTTATTATTATTGATTTTTAAAATAACGCGATAATAAAATTTAAAAAACTTTACTTTAAAACGTTTTAAAATTATAAGTTTTATTAAATTATCTTTATTATTAATTTATCGTTAATATTTTTTAAAAGAATTTTATATTAATTAAACGTTTCGTAACTTATACGATACGTTAATAAATTAATTTTATTAATAAATTACTTGCTGTAAATTATAAGTTTTTAAGTTTTTATACTTTTAATTTATAATAAAAGTGGTTTAACTTTTTTTTAAAACCGAAAATAAATAATATAAACGAAGAAAGTTTAAAAAAATTTATACGAAAAAAACCGGTTACGTTCGATAAAAGAAACTTATTTATTTTTATAAATATAATACGAATCGTTAATATAAAAATATTATTCGTTTTTTACGAAACGCGAAACATTTTTAATAAAATTACCCGTTAATTTTAATTTTTTTAAAACGTTACTTTATTAAAATCGTAATAAAGTTTAATTATTTAAAATAAAACTTTTTTAAGTAATTAAAATTTAATTATTAATATAAATCTTATTATTATAATTACCGTTTTAAAATATAATAATAATTATAATTACGTATTTACCGGAAATTTTTTTATATTTTTTTATAAAAATTACTCGTTAAAATTTAAAGTAAATGTTAAAAAATAAAAAGTTAATTAACTTTTTATTAATATTATCGATTTTAAAAACGAAAAAAACGGTCCGGTAATGCGTCGAAAAAATAAAATCGTTTAATTAATAAACGTAAAAAAAAACCGAAATAATAAGTTACGTAAAAACCGTAATATTTTAAATTCTTAAATCGGTAAAAAATTATTAACTTTTAAATATAATATTTATAAATAATTAAAATTATTAAAGCTTAAATATTATAAAAAACTTATTAATAAATAATAAAATATTATATAAATAAATAAATTTAATATATCGTTTTAATTATTTTAAAAAATAATAAACATTATATAAATAAATATTTTATTTTTAAAAATTTTTTATAATATTAATATTATATTAATTAATATTTTAAATATTAAAATTATATAAGTATATTAATTTTTATAAATTCGTTTATTTATAATTTTATATAATATATTTAAAATATTTTTTTTAATAATACGTTATTACGTAATATTATTAAACCTTAATAAAATTTAATATAAATTATATTATTTAATTACGTTTTTTATAAAATATTAATATTTTTAATTATAAATAATGTAAAACGAAAAAATTAAAACTTATTTAAATATAATAATATATTAAATTATAATTTTTTTTATATAAATTTAACCTTAAAAATTAATCGAATATAATTAATTAAAAATAACGTTTTTTAATTTAATATAAAATTATATATATTATTTCGTATATTTTAAACTTGAAAAAAATTTAATTAATTATAATAATTATTCTTTAAATTTTATATATTTTAATTTAAACGCGTTTTTTTTATATTATAATAATAATAATAATAACGATATTATAAACGATAATATTAACTTTATTTAATAAATTTTTATTAACGTTAAAAATATATCGTAATTTAGTTTCTTAATTATTATTTTAAGTTATAAAAATAAAAAAAAACCGTATTTTTTACCGAAAACGTATTTAAATTATATTTAATAACGTTCGAAAGGTTTTTAATAATATATAAAAATATATAAATATTTTAAATTAAAATAAATTAAAATTATACCATTATTTACGTAAAATAAGTAATAAAAAAATTAAAAATATATAAACGATCGTTTATTATTTAAATAAGCACGGAATAAAATAAAAAACTATAATTATTAAAAAATTAAGTTAAAAATAAAAGTATAATTATAAAAAATAAAAATAAAAATAAATAAAAATTACGTTAATAAAAAAAAATATTAAAACCGGGTTCGAAAAAACTTTATTAAATAAAGTTTTATTTCTTAAAAAAAACATTAAATAATTAATACTTTATTCGTTAATCGTAAAATTATCCCTTTTATTATTAAAAAATTATTATTAAAGCTTTTTATTTTTATATTTAATATATTTTTTATTTATTTATTTATTTTCGAAAAATTACTTAACTAATTATTAAATTAATAATAACTTAAAATTTAAATTAATAATATATTAAGTTATTTTTTTTTTACGTTCGAATATAAAGATTTTTACTTATTTTAATATAATTAAAAACTTAAATAACATAATAAAATAATTAAATTAATTTATTTTCATTATTATAACTTTTAATATTACGATAAATAACGATTATATATTTGCTTATTTATTAAATATTTAAATATAATAAAATTTAATTTAATTAATAATTATTATAATATTATTAAGTAAATATTTATTTTTTTAATATTTTTATAAAAATAAAAAAACTTATTATATTTATTTAATAAATATTTATTTATACGTATTATAATTTATAAGTTTTTTAATTTTTAAATTACGAAATATAATATATATTTATCGTATATTATATTTATATAATATATTTTTTAATATATTAATTAAATTAACGGGTTAATAAATTTATTCTTATAATCCGCCGTTGTTAAATTAAAATATTTATTTAACGCGATTAAATTAAATTAATTAAATAAACTAAATAAATTAAATAAATTAAATAAATTAAATAAATTAAATAAATTAAATAAATTAAATAAATTAAATAAATTAAATAAAAAATATTATTTAATTAATTTAACTTAATTTAATTTAACTTAATTTAATTTAACTTAATTTAATTATATTATAAAGAAAAAGAAAAAAAATATGTTTATTAATTTAAAAAAAAAAAACTTTTAAATCTTTTATTTTATAATTATAATTATTAATTAAATTATAACTGCTAAATTATAAAACCTTAATAATATTTCCTAATATAATAACGATTAACACTTATTTTTATTTATCGTTTTTAATTCGAATATAAAAAATAATTATTAAGTGTTAAAAATGATTATTTAAGGTTAAAAACGATTATCTAAGGTTAAGAATCGTTTTCTTTTTTTAATAACGGTTTTTTCGCGGTAAATAACCGTTATTTGAAACCCCCCATTGCCGGTACGGTAGGTATACCCCAGCGAGCCTGTAGGGCTGTCAGGATTAGCCCTCTGCCATTATAAGGTAAGCTGAAAGGATTGCTGACTGTCGCCCGAGGCAGTGGTATCAGGTGCACCAACATGCATCACGAGTCGAGATTCAAGTAGTATTGTTTTTCCAATCTAGTGACCGATTAATTCTTGCTTGTGCGCAGGGATTATGCGTAATCGAAATAACCTTGGAAGCTGGTTCGCGCCGGTCTGTAAGGAGATAATATCCAACCGATCAGTAGTGTTTTCGTGTATTTTTTGGAGGATGGTTCGATGCAATTACAGTGTAAGCTACAGCGGTCTATAGCGACAACTTGAACCCTGACAAGGCCTAAATTCAAGCCAATCAAAATACGCACTTCCAAAGATTAGAAAATATCCCACTTAAAAAGCTGACTAAGAAAACTGGCTGGGGATGACCCTGTGACACCCATTACCTCATTATTTCCAAGGTTGGCTTTTAGGGAATAACTAAGTGCTAAGGGGGGCTTAGCGCTGTAAGCCCTATAACTTATAGAGTACCCCTGCTACAAAGTTGGTCTAACTACATCCATATCCTCCTAAAAAATCGATTTTACTGTTGGCGGGTTGGCACATCATCTTCTTATTAGCCTTGCGCGAAAAGAAACAACACTATATAGGCGTTTGAAGAATATTTACTAGGTATAGTTTTGATGTGGGCATTTTGGCCGAACCTAATGGCAACCCTAGTGTGTTCGAATACCGGATGTTCAACCCTGCAGCCTGCCAATGTTTCGTATGCTGATTCTACACGGATATACGCATCGCATGTACCGTAGAAGTTGGCAGAGCCCATCGGACGAAGCCTTCCCATTTCGTAATCTTAGTCATGATATCTAGATTTGGGCTTGGAATCAGGACTAAATGCCTATGTAAGGAGATTAGAAGCAACTCTAGTTTTGAAAGATCCGATTGAGCTGGAGAACTTAGATTGTTCGACGTAACTATTCAAGAATCCCCTTATCGCTGGGACGCAGCCGACCAGAAGTGGAATCGCACATTTGATAAATTTGGAAGTTGATCTTGGTTAATGCCAGTCTAAGGAGACCTTATGATCAGTCCAAGTCGCTATTGAAATGCTGGTGGATCTGATCGTTCTTATTGATGAACTCCTCACATCGAATATTGGAATGAAACTCTGGCATTTCAGATCAAAACCACCTTACAGATTTCTCGCAGAGTATTATTTTACCTCTTGCAACTATTTATATCATCAGCTACATCAAATTACTATTAACCAACGCGTATGCGGAGCCGCAAAGTGAATTCGTCGACCTCCCCTTATCATGCCCCACATTTTCCCGGTACGGTCTCGGAGCGCAACACTCCGCAATTCGCGGTCCAATTCCTCCATGACATAGGATCTAGACGGCTCTGAACATAAATAATGGTTTATAAATATCTTGCAGAGTCTTCTGAATGATAATGACTTATAAGCTCCCAGGTTCGCATCTAATGGGTTGTTGACTTTCCCATTGAGAGGCTATCCCATCATTACCTACCTATTCTCTAGCGCTGTATCCTACAGTGAACAAATAACATGCATCCCTCACTCCTCTCCACCCTAACCTCCCTCCTCGCCCTCTCCCCAACGCTAACAACCGCCGCCTCCCTCCAAAAAATAACCTCAGACATCGGCCCGAACCCGCGAAAAGTCGGGTTCTACATCTACGTCCCGGACAAACTCGCCGCCAGCCCTCCCATCCTCGTGAACCCGCACTGGTGCCACGGCGACGCGCAAGCCTGCTACTCCGGGTCGCAGTACGCGACGCTCGCCAGCAAATACGGGTTCATCGTGATCTACCCCGACAGCCCGAACACCGCGGACAAGTGCTGGGACGTATCGTCGAACGAAACGCACACCCACGATGCCGGGGGCGATAGTCTTGGCATCGCGAGCATGGTGCGGTGGACCTTGGATAAGTACAAGGGAGACGCCAAGCGAGTGTTCGTTACTGGTGTTTCTTCCGGTGCTATGATGACTAGCTTGTTACTCGGAGCATACCCAGACATATTTGCGGCTGGATCGGCGTTCGCCGGGGTGCCGTATGGGTGTTTTGCCGGAAATGGGTACGGGGTGTGGAGTGATGCCTGTGCGACGGGTAAAGTCAAGAAGACGGGCGCCGAGTGGGCGGCGATGGTGAAGGCGGGATATGCGGGGTACACGGGATGGCGACCGAAGATACAGATTTTCCACGGGACGAACGACGAGGTGCTCAATTATGCCAATTTCGAGGAGGAGATTAAGGAGTGGACTGCAGTACTTGGGTTTAACAATACTCCGACGACCATAACTGCTAATACGCCTGTCAATGGATGGACGAAGAACGTTTACGGTGATGACGATTGGTTTGAGGCGTATAGTGCAGCGGGGGTTCCACATAACATTCAGAACCAGGAGGCTACAGCCATGGCATGGTTTGACCTGACCTGCACAGGCGACAACTGTTTTAAGTGGGGACAGGGTGGTCCGGCGTTGAATTAGATGTAGGAGAGCATATCTAATGGACCATGTGTCAATGTTGAATACATTTTGGCTTAATTGCTTCTGCCTTTTGTGCCCCCGAGAGCAGATTGTACAGAACCGCCAATTTTTCCCTCCTCCGTAAATTGCTTTCCGACCATGCCCTCCTTATCCAAAGGACCACCGATCTTCTGCGCTGCGCCGCCTAAAGCACCACTCTCTGTGCAGTACCAGTCAACGCCCATTATCCGAGAACTATCTCGATATGAAGGCTTACCAGTGAACTGTTTGCCAACGGAGCCTTGCGAGTCGAAGACCCTGGGCCTGTCTTCGCCAATGCCAGCATTAGCCGGTGTCTTGACCTGAGAAGCCATCCCGGTCGACGTCTTCGAACCGGTATTTGAGCTGCCGTGGGAAGACATAATTGGTTTTTGTATTTTACAACTGCTGTTTCGTTAACCATTGTATGAACTGGGTGTCTAGTTACTGACTTATTGATTCACAGACTTGTGAGTGTTTGATGTGAAAATTGGGAGTACTAGTCGAGGAACAGTTCAGATTTTACGTGAAAGCAGGAAGATCTATGAGGTCACCATGTCGTTTACATTGATCGAGTAGTTATGTCACCACTTGAGATTTTACCCATCGCATCCTGGATTTAAACTGAACCTTACATAAGGTTTAAAAACACGCGATTCAAAGTACGAAAGCATGTATATAGACTACGTTGGTGAATATACGTCGGTGTTGATTGAAATGAAAAGGGGTTGCTTATGTAATCATACGAAATGCTTTCGCACCGTGTCGCGTTTTTCTTCAGTGACTCAACTCCTCAAACAGGCTTAAGCTATAGCGCTCATTCACTAGAATTTAGCTTATTAGGTCTCCAGGATTTCAGCCTGAGTCAAATACAGTACCTATGAAGGAACTGTTTATCTAATTACGCACTGGGTAAATGATAGAACCTAGATTTCTGGCTCGAACCTTCGTAGAAGGGTTGCTTGAACAGGAGAAATAGTTGTACCAAGACATATTCCATTCGAATCAAACCGTTAATGGAAGAAATACGAGCCATTTTGTCTTATACAATCTATTTCTATTACTGTATGTCGGTAATACATTAGGTAAGCAACTGTCTATCGCTTATGTACATCAAATTACATAAGATTATAAAACATGATTGGAGATTACGTAAGATTGTGGAGGATTACATAATGATCATTTCTTCTTTATGTTCGTCTATCCCTCGATGATATTATCTATTTCTAGGCCCAACGATGCTTAGATGCTGCAGTTAGAGTAGAGTGAGGTCGCACGATCACCACATCCCAGCGACCTCATCGCGCACGCGGCGACAATTTCTGAGGAACTCTTCAGTCGAGACCTTTTTCTCCGTAGAGAACTTAGCGCGCAGGACGTCCTGGAGCAGCTTTTTGACCCCAGCAGTGCCAGAAGGCGAGGTGATCTCCCAGCGCTCGCCGTCGCGCAGGTTGAAGAGGACGACGCGCGGTAGCTCGGGTAGCCCGCGCTTGAGGGCCCAGAGGTACGCGTACGCGCATGCCTGAACGACGTGTTCGAGCGACAGGCGCGCTACGAACTTGATTTCCCAGATCGCTGCGTCGGTCACCTTGCTGTTGGCTTCGTACATGACGATGTCCGCGCGCCCAAGCAGTTTCGTGTGCTGGGTCTTTCCCGCCCTGTCTGGGACCACGAATTTGTTGTCCCGCATTCGACTCTCGAACTCGAGGCTCTCAGCCGCCCCGGCCCCTTCGAACTGTTCCCCGAGCCGGCGAACCGCTGCGTCGAGGTATGTGTTGAGCCAGTCGAACTTGTGCCCTTCCATTTGCACTAGCCGCGAATGGTATCCGGTTATTTCGGCATCGCTCTTGCATGCCGCTTCACAGAACCAGGCTGCCTCATCATTATTAATTTCAACTGTCTTTTTCTTCTTGTACCCGAGACCTGTGAGCTTCCGCCGTAAGGCGTACTCGTATGCTGCGACCACGGCTATCCCGTTTAGATCGCTCACGGCCTCATACATCATCTTAGCTGGATCCGTGAGGACTTTGTCGGGGGCATGAATGTGCTGGGATTCCGGCAAGCGGGGCGAAATGTATGCAATATCAACATGGCTATTGACGATAGACTGAAGCAGCTCTTCGCGGACATGCCTCGCCATATCCGAAACCCAGACATTTTTAGGGAGTAGCAAGCCAAGCTGCAACGGACGACCGGGTTGAGGTTGTGGTTTCATTTCCCCGGACGAAATTATCGTAGCTGTCCTTTTGAGTTTAGGAAGATGTATAAACGGCATCGGCGTGTTTCCATGGTCATGCAGGATGACGAGCTGTTTACGAGCACGGGTAATAGCAACGTAGGTAGCATTCGGGCATCTGTCGTCCGGTAGGTCCCGCCCGATAAATTTGAAATACGCGTTATCTGCCCCGTATACAATTACGAGATCTCGTTCGTTTCCCTTGAATTGATGGTAGGTAGATGCGCAAACTTTGTTGTCTATAACATCATCGTTCAGTTGAACCTCATCTGATACGGAAACTGCGACAGGCATCCCGTAATCCTCGGATAGGTAATTGGTCAAAGACGCAAGCGGGGCGTTGGCACGAAGGGACGGAGCAAGGATGGCTGTCCTTTCCACACCATACTTCTCAATCAACGGAACTAACTTCTCAGCAACTCTGCGGACGTATAGAAGGTTCTCATGCATATAGATGGGCTTTGGTCCGTCGTGCGAGCCTGTTATATGATTCCCACCACCGAGAAAGACTTCGTTGACGAAGCGTGCCGTTTCATGTGAGAGCCGAAAACTCTTACTAAGAGGTAGATGGGTCCATTTATAAGGAGAAAGATCAGACAGGATTGACGGTGAAAGATTGAGAAAACGAGGGTCAGCCCCCCGGAAATCGTATATGGCCTGCTTTTCGTCTCCAAGAGCCACTATTCGGGGGGCGCGACCTCCAGAGGCGTGCGTTACAGCTAAGATGAAAGTACTTGCTAGCCAGTAAAGGCTCTCAGTGCAGTCTTGTAACTCGTCTAGAATGATGATATCGTAGGGTCTACCGGTCCAAACAGGCGCCCTACCCTTACTTCGGAGATCTCGTAGCTTGACGTCGTTGAAAACCACTTCCTTAAAGAGTTTACCAGCCATTCCATGAAACGTATATACATCACACATCCCATAGCCCTCTAGACGACGAGCCGTCTCAAGTTGCAATCGTTTGGAATAAGTGACGACTGCCACAGCCAGGCCTGGGTTTGCACGAACGATAGCCTCAGCCGTGGCTGTCTTCCCTGCGCCAGGTCTCGCAGAGACGACGACATTCTGAAGACGAGAAAGCTCGACGATGGCTTGCTGCTCGGCCGAAGGGATGAATGAACCTTTGGTCTCCGGGAGTATCTGAGTAGCGAGGCATCGAACCCCCTGGTATTGAATTATACCACACCACCTATGCCGGAAAGTAGTAGTAACCTAACCCCCAACATTAACCCATGAACGACAACGTAGAAAAGAATATTACCGAGAAGCTAAGTAGAAATCGCAGGTTTCTAGTTCCCAGGCGAGCAATAGCATGTGGGGTGGTATTGATATACATATCTCCTATTTGGTCCTTGGACTAGATTTGACGGTGGCCCAGTGCGCCATAGACGCTGTCCACGATATGCCTGTTTAGGGTCGTAACGCCGGTATTACCCTTCCTCAGTCAAATCATCCTTAAAAAGAGTTAGATAGACTTAGTTATCTTATAAACTCTACGTTATTAAACATTGTGCAATGACGATTTCGCATTATTTAGAGGGAAGCCAGACGCAGGTTGCTGTTTAATTTGGTGGATACAATTTTTTCTTCATTCTACGATTAGGTAAAGTCATGATTTTGATGACTCATCAGGATCAAACTCAGTCTCCACTTATTCTCTATTTTCTGCCCGTTACTACCGCCTTCTCGTAATAGGGGTAATAGGGGCAAGTAAGTGAATGCAGGATGTTGAATAATCAATGATAGACCCAGGATAATATCAAAGTTATGAGATAGCCGGCATATAATCTCAAGTACAATTGATAGTCTATATCAAAGCTTACGAACGCTTCCATTCGGCCCGAACATGACACGAAGGTCATCAACAAGAGCCTCCGGCTGTTCCCAGGCGGCAAAATGGCCACCTTTCTCATGCTCCCGCTCGAAAACAACATCACCAAGACGTCTGTTCCAGAAGCGTGGGGTGTTCGCTATCTCTTTCGGAAAATAAGAGAATCCCTATCATCATATCAGCCACTGTTAGTATGAATGATCATGAAAACAATCGCATTGATGAAGTTAGGCGTACCATTTTAACATTAGGGCATGCAATCCCGAACCCTTTTGGACCAGTTCCTTCAAGTACTTCGTGGTAGATGGTAACGCTAGCAGCAGGCCCCGCGCGACTAAACCAATACAAGCTTATCCACGCGCAAACTTCGTCGTCTGTCCATGGGTATTCATCAGTCCAGTTTACCAGCTTGTCATATATCCAAGCCAAGAGGCCGACGGGGCTATCGGCAAGCGCAACTCCAATAGTGTTAGGACTTTGCTGTTGGATATGAAAATAGCCGCTACCATGTCTCTGGTAGTGTTGAAGACCCTTGATGCCAAGCTGTTCCTCGGGGGTATACCACTGCAGGAAATCGGTTACCAGATAACGTAGATAGCTAAAAGGGGAAGATGGAGGCGGGGGGTTAGCAGAAACCATATTTATATGAACTGCGAGAAGAGATTTTGGGTAGGTGATGCCAATCACACGACAGATGAGACTTCCCTACAGTTGACAGCGTATGTTAGCTGATGGCATAGTAAATGTCAGATATCAAACTGTATAATCTCACCCAGTCTCCGCCTTGGCAAGCGTACTTTTCATACCCAAGAGCCAACATCAGTTTATGGCAAGTCTCGGCATACTGTCTTGCATCAAAACCAGGGCTTTCGACCCTGCTTGAGAAGCCAAAATTAGGGAGTGAGGGTGCGACGACGTGGAAAGCAGGTCCACCATTTCTTTCACTTTCGGCGAAGAAAGGAAGGCATTTGGTGACCTCGTGGAATCCACCGGGCCCTATTTATAGATTGTTTAGTCGTCAGATCTCGAAATCTGGACTGGACTCACATACACCCATGGACAAACAAGAGCGGTATGGCGTCTGAGGCTGAGCTCTGTTGGTGAATGAAATGAACTTGGATAGGATCAAATCCATCGACGGAAATTGTTGTCTCAAAGTTTGGCAATTGATTCAAACGTTCCTCGAAAGATCTCCAACTAAAGCTTTCTTGCCAGTATTTAGAAAGGCGCTTGATATCTTGGATAGGCGTCCCCCGCTCCCAGCCATTTGGACCCCCACCTGGAAATCGTGTTTCTGATATTTTTTGGTTAAGTTTCTGAATATCTTCATCCGGAATAGCAATCTTGAATGGCTTAATTGTTGACATTATATCGGAGGCGCTGAGTGTATTGGTTCGGCTGAAATTTCGCAATATCTAGAGGTTTGGGCTCTAACTAGAGGTGAACAGTAACATGGCCAAACGTCTGATCAGTATGCATCTATATATGTGTTGTGGCAACGAGACACGGCTTCATGGTCCTTGGTACTGCATATCCTTGTATGCATCTCACAGAAGCACGTTCTAGGATCATTTCGATTATTGCGGAACGTTATACACTTGCTCGTGCCACTCTTTCTTCGGGACCCGAGCCAGCCGGGTTGCAGTCGGAATGGGCGGATGAAGGTGTATAGTCTTTCTCGACCAACCCTTACAGAAGGGTCTGTGTACGAAAATTACTACGTTGCTATGATACTACGAAGGTTGCCCATCGGCCTACCGTACGACATTGCCTGTTGCGAGGAACACCAAAAACAAGCTGGACGTTTGATACGACTGCCGTTCTTCTAAAATATAAACAAGGAGACTCAGATCTCGAACGGATTAAGCTAAAGAAACTCGGGATAGAAGAGGCAACAGAGACGGCGTAAGGTTGGTCCGAGTCGACAGATCAACTATCGGTAACTACCTAGTAGCAGCTACATGTATGCGTTCAATTCCCACAGCTACTATACCTTATGCATCATTCTCTTGAATGCGGGGCCTTTCGGCGGCGAACCTAAACTGCCGAATTATCGATGAAGCGTTGATCGGCCTTAGGGGCTAGCCAGGACGATTTGTAAGGCGACCCACTAATCATGTTGACTACCAGGTAGGAAAGCTGTCCACGATTAATGATGCTTTCGCTAATCGTTACCAAATGCGAGTGACTACCAAAATCGCCGTTGTCTTAATAATATACTTTCTTCGGTGTTAGATTAATGATTTGATAAAGTTGACGTCTTGAATACTTAAATGCTGTCGTATGCTATACGTTGCGAAAGCAGATGAGCTGTGAAGGATAATGGTGATCTTGCGTGTTCTCCATGTGGGCTGATTCGCGAAGGTGACCATTACTAGCAATTAGTTCAATATCTTCCCCAGATTTGTCGGGTGAACGATAAACCCCGACGGCCCGCCAGTATAATCGCCGGTTTCAAGATACGGGTTGTCGGTTCATCTCGAAATATTTAAGAAGCCTGAGTATCTGCTTAGATAGCATGTACGTAATTATGGGTGACTTAACTTAATAACCACCGATCAGACTCATCAACTATGCCTCCACCAAGAGGCACGCCAAACCCAATAGAGGGACCAGGAAAGTGTAAAAAATGATTCCTGAGTTTGCTGTTCAAATACTAATACCTAGTAGGAGATTACGATGTTACCTCCGTTGTCCACAGCGACACGTACCCCGCCATTGATTCAGCTAAAGCGAATTTCAATGGTAAGGCGGTATTCATCAGTGGCGCTTCCAGGGGCTTAGGGAGAGCAATGGCTATCTCGTTTGCCAAAGCCGGCGCGTCGATGATTGCGATTGGCGCGAGATCGGATCTCTCGACTACGGCTAAAGAGATGAAGGCGGCTGTAGCGAGCGTGGGAAAACCCGAACCGAGGATTCTCCTTGTGAAGTTCGACGTGTCCGATCGCAAAAGCGTCGACGAAGCAGCAGATCAGGTCAAGAAAAGCTTCGGACACATTGATATCGTGATCAACAACGCTGGCGTCCTCTACATCAGCCCGATTGTGGATAGCGATCCTGACGAGTGGTCAAAGGTCTTCCAAATCAACCTTGTTGGCCCGTATCTGGTTGCGCGTGCTTTCATTCCCCTGCTGCTAGAAGGAAGCGACAAAACCATCATCACCGTATCAAGCGTTGGTGCGCATTTGAAATCGCCGGGACTAAGCGCATACCAAACTTCTAAGCTGGCAGTTATACGCTTGACCGAATTCATCGCCACGGAATATGGAAATAAAGGCGTATTAGCTTACAGCATACATCCCGGGAATATCCCGACGAACATGCTCGGTGACTTAGAAAGCGCTCCTGCTGTGCTTAAGCCAGGTACGTACGACCTCTTTCTATCAATCAAGATAGAGTTGTATGCTAATAATATTGATCTCGTTTGGTAGTATTTGTCGACACAGCAGAACTAAGCGCAGATTCCTTGGTCTATTTGACTTCACAGAAGCGGGACTGGCTAGCTGGCAGGTATATCAACGTCACTTGGGATCTACCAGAACTTATGGAGAAGGAGGATGAGATCGTCAAGGGCGACAAATTGAAGGTGCGATTGGTTATTTAGGTCTCGTCGCGCAGTTGATGAACACCCTGAATATCAATATCTCAACCATCTCGCCATTCTGATTGCTGGTACGACCTTCGCGGATTCGACCTCAAGAGGGGGGAAACGGAGTTACAATGTTGTTTCGGATTTTAATCTAAACCTGTGTCGATTGTAACATTAACTGTAGCTTTTTGTATGTCGGTGTGTCGGTGGTGTTGGATGCGAATACCACACGTTCTTTCTTAGGCTCCCGCCTAGTAGATATCGGAATATGAAATGAACCTTGAATTCATGGTCCGAAAGATGCTAGGTTGGCATGGTGGGGGAGGGAAGAGGGAAAGAGCAATGATGCAATAAAACCCTCAATTCAGTGCCGTTTTGCCGTTCCCAGGCTGCCTTTCAGCTACCACGGCAGGTGACTCCCACTAGAGAAGTTCAAACAGCCAATCACTCTTCAATAAAAGCACTAATCTTACCCTTGTTAGCGCACCCCATTTACCCCTGAACCAAAGCTAGCCAATCAACTAACCCCATTAATACATAGGGCTGAAGAAGGGACCTTGCTGATCCCAGGCCTTTCCACGTTAGCGCGTTAGTCCTACAGTTACGTAAGCTTACCTAGGTGTGTTCCAGGCTTTCCCTAAAGTCAATTAGGATGCGGGATCGATCGTCTATCTTCTTGTCCTTCTCATCATATCCCTAAAAAACCTGAAATTTTTCATTGACTACACCAATATAACCTAGTTATGGCCGATTCACTCGCTTCCAAGTTCGCTAAGCTGAACCCTCTATCGAAACTTTCCCCTTGGGAATATGACGAAGATGTTGGCCAAGAAATTGACAATACCACTATCGCGGGGGGCGGCCATAGCACACGGCAAACCGATATTACGAAGACCAAGTTGAGAGTCAGCCACGCATTGAAGACATTCCTCATCAAAGAAAACATACTACGGGAGGAAGAAGTTGGCTTAGAATCGGAACAGCCTGGTGATGGCTTAAGGGCTTTACTTAACAAGTCGCACATTAACGTTCCTTTCGAAGTGACGGACAGGTCTTATCCGCTCCCAGAATATTTTATCAGCTCCAGCCACAATACCTATCTTCTAGGCCATCAACTTACCGGTAAATCCTCTGCCACAGCGTACGAGACAGCGCTTAACACCGGATCCCGCTGCGTCGAGATCGACGCCTGGGATAACGAGGATAACAAAGAAGAACCTAAGGTCACTCATGGATACACCCTAGTTTCTCACATCCCATTTCGTGCCGTATGTGAGACCATACGTGATGTTATTGATAGAGAAGCCACGCAATCTACCAACGCACAAGGATACCGAGCCGCGCCAATCATGCTTTCGCTAGAGAACCATTGCAATGCACAAGGACAGCTAAGGCTCGTTGAGATCATGAAAGAAGTCTTCGGTGACCGTTTACTAAGCAAAGCCGTACGAGAAAAAGGTCATCGCGAGCAAGAGGGTGACAGCGACCCGGTAACATTAGCAGAACTCGGGTCCAAAATAGTCTTAATCGTCGAATACCATTTACCTGACGAGGAAGACATAAGTGATGAAGAGAATGACACCAGCCCCGAAGATGAGGAAGAGAAACAGGCACGAGCGGCATATCTAGCTAAAAAGAAAGCTACGGTTTCTGGTGCTATCATTCCGGAGCTTGCAGAGTTGGGTGTTTACGCCCAGTCCGTGAAGCCAAAAGACAACTCTTGGTTTGAGAGCGTCCTCAAGGACGGCCCTCACGACCACCTAATCAACGTATCAGAGACAGGACTCGCGTCAAAAATGCCTGGATCGAATGAGAAGATTGCTGAGCATAATTCTCGGCACCTAATGCGCGTGTTCCCAAAAGGCACGCGTATTACATCCAAAAATTTGAAGCAGGTCCCATTCTGGGGAATCGGAGCGCACATTTGCGCCATGAACTGGCAAACCTTCAATGCTAGCATGCAAATCAACGAGGCACTTTTCAGTGGTACCGATGGTTACGTCTTAAAGCCGGCAGCCCTAAGGGCGGGTGGCAGTATGAATATCAACACGGGAAGGAGAAAGAGGTTACTGCTCCATGTCGCGGGTGCGACGGATCTTCCTGTCCCGGAGGGCGTGGATAAAGATGATGTTAAACCATACGTCACCTGCACAATTGTCCATACTGATGAGTTGGGAGGAGCCCATCCTAAACGCAAGACTAGCCCCTACAAGCAACATAGGCTCGGCTTCCTGCATAGGGGTGAAAACCCACCCGCGACTGATCCAATCTGGAATGAGGTGCTGGAATGGGAGTACGACGACAATGAGTTGGTATTCCTCCGTATTCTTATCAAGAGTGATATCAGCTTCGCGGAGAATCCTGTCTTCGCCGTTGCTGCAGTGAGGCTCTTGTACGCCGTCCCAGGCTGGAGTTTCATCCGCATGTTGGACCTAAAGGGGAGGGAGACACAGTGCTCCTTATTGGTTAAATTCAGTGTGCATGATATTTGATAAGATCAAGAAGAGGAACCCCAAACATGTTGTGCTAGTATCGGATTACCCTTGTATGTATATACCAAACAACCTTTATGACAGTCAGCAATCAGTTTGATTATGACTCCAAACAGAAAGTTCGCAATCAGTAACACTCTCATCTACAACCCACATGGCTGCCCCTTATTTTAGAACAGCAGTTCCATAGACGCTTTCGATAACGGTCAAGAAACTATTCTTCAATCCGTTAGCTGTTCACGCTTTCAATACGAGGGATTGTAAGTAGAGTCTTAGTCATGTATAGGTAGTCATGCCAATAGCGTCTTCTCATTGATGCTCAATATCACGAGCCCTTGCCAATGTTAGAGGGATCCACACAGCCACTACCTAGGTAATCAAGGCATGTGTAAGGAAATAATAACAATAACACGGTGTCGGGACTATATGACCGTAGCAGACATCATGCCAATCCTCAAAACTCCAAATAACCGACAGCTAGTAAGTGCCCAGTATCCTCTTCAAAACGTCCCTTGGCCTATTCCAACTCCGGACAAAAAGCAGGCCATGTCTCGTCAGGATCTGAACGAGTCCACGAGGCCGTCAATTATCTTCTGAGTCGACTCGGTCAAATCCCGTCCCCGAATCTAAATAGCCAATTCCGCCACGTCCTGCTGATTCAAATGTTGAATTCACATAGAAATGTGGTCGATCTTGACCTTGACTTTCTTTTCCGCCTCCTTATGGTCTACCCAGTTGGTAACCCGGCAGTTTAGCTCTCGGGAATTGATGCAAGTAGCTAGCACTAACTGGCGTAGCTCGGCGCCGCTCAGTTGCTTCACCCATTGGTCTTTGGACAGTGGAGTGGGGGGTAAATCTTTGGCGCGTTCGGCCATCCAGTTTAGGCAATAGTTTGCCTCGCCCTCCTTTCCGTTGGGGGGACTGGGGAATGTTGTAAGTATCATGAAAAAGTGTGTCATATAAATTCATGGGGAGTCATACCTCTGGTTATTCTTATCGGTCACCTTAGGCGCAGGCTAAGAGATGTTCATGTTTAAGGTCATGTTAATCGGTTGTCCCAGCTGCGGGCGGTTCTCAGGTTTAGTCTTGGCAGGGCCACCGTGAGTAGCTTGACCGCGAAAGGTATGACCATGAGATGGACCAGCTTGCATGTTGGCGAAGTATTCGCCGGAAATATCTGGGTGAGGCTGCCAGTAAGCCGGCATGCCATTGTTGTGTGGGTGTGGCATTGCGAATGCGAGATGTTAAGATAGAGGGTATTATATATGGTTGTACGCGTAGAAGAATCGGGTTGCGAGAGGGTTGGTATAATAGTCGAAATAAAGTCGTTAAGTAACATGGTTCTTCAAGAAAATATTTCTCGCGGAAAATGTTCCTTGAGGAATATGTTTGGTGGAGAAGAAGTTTATGTTTATCTCTGGGATAGAATTGATGTTATCTGTATGGATACGTTAACATGAGAAGTGGTGAAAATAGGCAGAAAAATAGTGAACGAGTGGATGATTCACGGTTGATACATTTTTTACTTATGACCTACCTAGGTACTTATTTAGTAGGTACTTAGTAATAAAACGCGTATGCGCATTGAAAGGCTGAAGCTTTCGTTGCTACGCGACGAGCATATTAACGAGAATATTGAATCCATCTCCCGAATCATAGTATTAGGTGATAAAAGTTGGGCCTTATTACAATTAGCTAACCACAATAATGGCTTATATTATTCGAATACATCGATATACCCTTTTAATTACCTGGTAGGTATTTATATGATAGATGTGTAGGCATAGTGTACCTAGATAGTGAAATGCTTGGATGAAAAAGGGGGGCAAATGTCCAAGCTTGTGAAGCTGAGGTTGGATTGCGCCTACCTACCTGATGTATAACATGATACAAACATAGGTAATTAAATGTCAAACATATCTTTTAATAAGACTCAATAATAAACTTGGCCAATAGACTAAATATACCTAACCTTAGCAAACTCGCAATACATATCGGAATGTTTTGATAGGCTTAAGTTTCCAGGAAGCAATCACTGTTTTGGCCATATGATTGCGCCGTATATATCTGTAAGGGTCTCAAAGCGACATTCTGACTTATTAAATGGTGTCGCGAGGCGGAACCAAAAGACCAAGAAACAAAAACGTTGTTACGCGAGGAGCTCCTAACTACTCTCGCTATAGAGAACACGATATATATATATATATATAGATGACCCTTACGGGAATTCTACGGGCCAAATCCCGATCCCATAGACCTCTAGCTACCAACCTAGAGGAAGACCGATGTCTGACGCTACAAGCGTTTTAGATGAGCTAAATATCATCTCATGAGCTCATGTATTTAATTAACACCGGAGATTACGACTAAAGTCATTTGCGTTTAGTTAGTCAGACCAATAGTATTTTCTTATTGGTGCTACCCTGGGGAATGGCAGTCCTCCGCGATCTTAAAAGGACCGCGGCCATCAACGAAGCCGAGTACCAGAATATAATAACAACAGTATCAAGACTCCAACTCATCAATGTGCGTCTTGACAACCACCAATCCCCAAATTCTCAAGAATACCCTGGTTTCTCCACCTCAAAATCCCTCCAAGGTATCCCAATTCGAATTAAGACGGGTGACTAGTAAGCTTCTTGTGGGCCTCGAAGCCGTCGAGAAGCCGTCGGATGAACTTCTCTACCGAACCCGTCGGATCCGCCATACAAATACCGAGGATTATGGCCACCAAGCTCACTTGATCGAGCATCAGCAAGCGGATAACTAAGAACTCGTCCGCGGTGCTAGTCTCCTTGGTTTCGTAGCTATCGACCGCTCCGATGACCCGACGATTCACGTCATCAGACTCCATGCACAGGGATAGAACTATCTCACAGAGTTCGTCACTGGTAAGCTGGAATAGGCGGTCCTTAATAGGCTTATTAGACGGTTCTACCTTCTTACCCTCGTCTGCGATGACGTCTAATTCGGCGCGTGCGTGACTTCGATGTCCCTCTGGAAGACTGTGGATTATATAAGCACGTGAATATCATGGGTGTTGGGTACACGTTTGCGGGAAGTCATACCTCATCTTCTTGTCCTGATTCGGATTCTCAGTGTTGGTGGCAGGGGGAGGGGATACCATGTTCAGAGTCAGATTGATTGGCTGGAGGGACTGTGAGCCAGCGGGGTGAGAACGGCTCACGACGCTGCCGGCGCCGGTAGCTGTGCCATGGAAATGACGGCCCTCGTGACCATTGTTTGGCTGGGCTTGCATTTCTACGACGAGGTGTGTGCTGTCATCTTTGCGATCAGATGCACTTGAGCCCTTTCGATGATGCGCCATGTTGGTGTTGAGTACGCGTGGTGTTGTTAAAGTAAACTTAACTAAGGAAAATGTAGGGGGTGGTGCAAATAAAGCAGATGCGTGTGTCGAGTGTGAGTTGTCAAAATATTGACAAAATTGTTTAAAGGAGAAATAAGTTTTCCGAGAAAAGTATTTCTTGGGAAGAATGTTTCTGAAGGTAAGGAAAAGGTTTATCGGAAGTAGCAGATTAAATGTTTTGATGTGTGCACGATAGAATAGGAGGTGGTGGAAATGGGCAGAAAATAAGTAGATGCCTGGTTGACTCATCGTTGATGGTTTCTTTACTTGAACTATAGGAAGGTACGAAACGAGTGTACGCGTTAACGGTACGAAGTTCTCGTCGCGTGACAGCCATTATATTGAAAATATCTCCTGAATTATAGTATTAGATGATGATGGTATTTAGGCCTCATTATGATTAATTAGCCATGGAAATGATTTGTTTTATTCGAGTCCATTGGGCCAAACGTGTTTATACATTTAATCATCACATAATAAGCGATCTTATGCCATATAGTACAGATAATGAAAAGGAAAGCAAATGGCTCCTAGGTGTAGCTCCTGATGTGAAGGTCGGATTACCGCTATATATATCTAACGAGCTACAAACATACCAGATTGCCCATCCGACTTTATGGCGATTAACAACCAATGGAAGATCAAGAATATCGTAACATCTTGGAACGTTTTCATAGCCTCAAATTTTGAGAAAGCAATCACGGGTCTGATCTTATGATTGCCCTATATTTGCCAGGGTTTCATATCAACGTATTCACATACGATATAATCTAGGATAATCTTTTAAGAATGGTGATTATTTCCATGTTTCCGTTCATCTCTGTCCATTTCTTCTCTGCACAATGAGGATCTATCTACTAGGTATATATGTACTGCCTCTAATCCGAACAGAACAACAGCTCAATGACGACTGTTCATTGCCTATTCAATGTATTAGCTACCTATCTTTATCTACAATTTCCAAGCGACCATAAGATCATATTCTTAATGCTGTGTTTCGGCAGCTGTCGTAAACTACCGTAAATAACCACACACCTAGCCATTATCCCATACCAATGCGATATCTACCGGTCTCTTGCCCTAGAGCATCTTTTCACTTGCCCTAAAGACCATTCCACTACCAAGCGCCCATTCTATACAGAGCTACTTCATTTCTACAGACATTTAAAGCACGAGAGATCATAGCTAGGATCTCATTTACATATCATCTTTGGTCTTACGTCATATTGTGACTCTGTGGTATTAATCCCATTATAATCCTGAGGAAACGATCTGGATTAACAGTCGTTTCCTCTAATGGATGTTAGGGCTAAAAGAAAAAAACGAGAGAAAAAAGAAAACAGAACTATGCCGAAGAAAGACAAGGTCGTCGCCCAATGCTCCAAGGCACCTGAAACCCATGTCCCTATTCTCAGAAAAACAAAGTGTGGCGCGTAGGTAATCCGTTCGTTACCCTACATTGTGCCTAGTGGAAACAAGACCAGCTCAAAAAATACCCTTCGCGACATAGTTAAGCGTTTCAAAACGCACAGTCGCGCAGTGGATAATGTCCTGGGTGGAAGGCGTATTATCGGTTCGGATGATCTTTGCTACGATCTGACTCAAAGCTTCGTGCTTGAGAGGTAGTACTCGTAGCATGAGAGAGTCGTCCTCGCTCAGCTCGGCACCCGCCTCGGTAGCCCATCGTTGAACGCGGCAGCGAAGTTCGCTAGAGTTCATGGATGCCCCGAGGATAATCACAAGGAGTTGGTTACAGTTGAGTGACTCCGTTCGTTTCACCCTTGACTTGCCCGAATGAACGTCAGACTTCACGTGATCATCGATGAAGTCCGAGCAGGACTTCATGTTCTGCTCGAAAAGGTCGTTCGTAGTTGCGTCCGATGTCATGGACGTGGAGGAGCTAGAAATTATGTTAGCATGGAAACATAAATATCCCGAGCACATTCAAGGAGATACATACTCTTTTTTTCCACCCTTGTCGGACTTAGTATCCTGATCATTGGACTCCTGGGGTTTGGGAAACATCATGTTAAGAAACACGTTAAATGCACCCTCTGCCCGGTGCGGTGGTTGAGGCGGAGCCTCAGTGTTGATGCTGTTGAAGGGCTGACCCCAGGGGTTATCGTCGGGCTCAGATGAGCTCGTGGTATTACCGAACCAACGAGCATTGAAGAATCCGGTGGAGTGGTTCTGACCAGAAGTCATTGTTGCGTTGTATGAATGCAGCAATGTGTTGAATTATAGGAAAAATGCAACAGGTTGCTTGTACAAAATGCAAAAGTACAAGTTGTGTTGTAATAAGTGTGTAGCGTGTCGTATGCTTTTCTGTAGTCAAGTTTGTACAAAATGGAAATTGTCAAAATTGTTGAAGAGAAAAGAAAAAACAAATGAAATTAACTTGTGGGGGATGAATTACATATAGACTTCCACAGGCAGCAGAATCAGCCAGCTTTTTTATTGAGCATTTGGATGACTCATGGAAAGTGTAGATACCTAGATACAAGGGGTGCACAAATACCAAAAAAGATTAAGGTTTCGTTGCTATGCGACAAGATGAGTGTGAATAGCTTCCGATTTACCAAACAACTGTACAATCAGCCAATTATTTCAGTTTGTTTTAAGGCCAGGGCCCACTCTCCGTAGCAACACCCTCTAATCAAACCAATCAGGTTTAAGAAATCTATCTTTAGTTACATACATGTATGTATGTACTGCCTACTATAGGTAGGTACTTTAAACAGTACCTAGGTACCTAGGCAGTATATTTTGGATACTTATTCCGAAAAGGGGGAAATTGTCAACATGTACCTGGTACTTGCCTTTTTTATAACAATTCACCACGTAAACTTCAAAGCTATGACCTCCCAACAAGGAATCGAAATAGTTAAGCGTACATTATACTGATTAGCAGACCGAAACCGTAAAATATGAATATACCATCCAATTCAAACGGTAGGAGACCTGTTGGCGACTGGCCTTAGCGCAGGTACACCGCGTTCCCTACGCGACAATAATCTAGATCGCCCGATAGAAACTCAAGATTTCCATTTCTATCCAGTCCATATCAAAATCACTGATCTATTTGACATCCAAATACCTTCTATCCCCCACCCCCCTCCCTTCAGGGTATCCTAGATAAATCGTATCCAAAGTCAGGGGTTAATAACGTGGTCTCCTTAGCTACTTTTCGAACATACTTGAACACTCACTGTTGGAAACGATGTCGACCAAGCCCCCCCCAGATTAGCCAGGCAGTCTCTTCTAGTCTGCATGCGTGCCTGCGATGGCTGGCAGTATCATGTTATCATAGGTACGCCTTGATCTCTTTCTCCGTCCAATCCCAAAGCTTCTCAGCCAAGTTCTGATTGAGAGCATGTGAGTTCAGCTGATCTTCCGAATTAATCCCTACCGGTTCGTAAAAGTTTCCTGATACGATTTTATCCTTAGGAGCGCCAACCGCCCATACCTGATTCCAAGGACCTTGTTCCAGTGTCTGAGACTGGCCCATCGTCCCAAGCCAGACTACAGACTTGTTCTTGAGCGACAAGCCGCTGATGAGATTCGTTGGTGTGGTACCTGGGTGTATGGCGACGGTTGTGATGGACGGGTAGCGACGGGCCAGCTCGCGGGCGTATAGAATATTAGCTAACTTGCTTTGGCCGTACCGTTGCCACGGGCCCAAGATCCAATAATCCTGAGTAGTCCTCAGCTCATCGAATACAATCCCGTCCTGTCGGGGCGCCATGACGAAACCCACACTAGCCAGCGAAATGATACGCACATCAGCTCCCGGTAGTGCGGCCGTCTTCTCAAGTAGAGGCAACAACTTCCGAATCATTAGGGCGTGTCCTATGTGATTGGTACCGAACTGCACTTCATAGCCGTCTTTTGTCAATCCTGGAGACGTGGCCATGATGCCGGCATTCGCCATAAGAACATCGAGACGAGACTCTCGCTCGAGAAGATACCCGGCCGCCTCCTTTACCGACGATAGATTGGTAAGATCACATTTGATGAAATGAATTTCCGCCTTGCTTTCAGGTGTTTCGCGTCGAATGTCCCGAATGACATTATTGGCCGCCTCAGAATTGCGACCGGTGATGTAGATACGCGATGGGTTGCGTTTTGCCAAGAGACCGACCGACGATGCGCCCAAACCAGCTGTGCCTGTCTAGGAGTATCAATACCGTGCATCTACTATCTTCCCTCTATTCGAATGCCTGAAAAAGGTGAAGGGTGTGGAATTCTTACCTCCAGTGACCAATATAACCTTGCCCGTCAAGTCAGGGACGTCTCTTTCCAGGTCAAAATCTAGCACAACCATGATGATATGATGATGTGCTAGATACGAGCTTCCTATGGTCCGAACCGAAGGGATAATGGTATCTCTAGAGTAGCGAAGGACTTGTAGCAAAACATCAACATCAATTAATCTAGCTACATGGACTTTTACCACCAAAGACTCGATTAGAATTGAGATTGGGAGACTGTCGTCTCCCAAAAGCCTCTTGTAGCGCAAATGCGGCATGCCAAGGCACACTTTCAGGGGTACCTACCAGGCCTTAATGTCTCCGAGCGGCGCAGCCAGCCCAATTCCAATGCTGGCTGATTATCTCCGATGGAAGCCGTCGACTTCCCCAGACATAGCACATCTTCCAAAGCTCTCGAGCGTTTCCTAGACTTAGCCGCCGCTGAAGAATCATTCCCGTCATAGACTTAGAATCTCATACAGCTCAGTGGATACTAATATTATTACCACTTGCCAACGAAGAATTTGCTCTAATTTCACCAATCCCCTACACAAGCTTCCCGAGCCATTTGATAACTTAATGATACGTTTCCGTTCGGCTGGTCGGGTGAATAAGTATTACGAGAAAGTTGCTCGAAATTTTCGACAATGTCCACGACACAGAGACCATTTATGTACCCCTATTTCTGCTTACTAAGCTAATTAATCCTAGAAATCCTCCACTCCCTGAATCTTCCAGAAAAAATCTTTTGGGGTATAAACATCAACGATGATGTAAGGGTATGAAGTTCAATCATGAAACCGATTCTAGTTGCGTATATCTCCTCGATGTCTTCCATTTCGTGCCCCCCTCACGTCGTACTGACCCTTCGGTAACCACCACGTGCGCGAAATCTTGTTTCAGGCGTAATATTTGCTATCCGCTTCAATGGGGGGCGTTTCATTCGCTACTTCTCGAACTTCGCTCTGGTCCAAGTGTGATTGGATGTGTGACTGTTGCGACTCTTGGTAGGTAATCGAAACCGTTATGTCCTTCCTTATTCCGACCGAACTCTCTCTGTTACCACTCTCCCCCAAGACGCCTGGTTGATGCGTGTTACGCGGAAGCTCCAGTTGGCTATCGTCGCCACCGATTCCAGTGGCAAGTGAGGGCTCTTGGAGTGATGTGAAACGTCCATGACTCTCTCCAGACATGTTTTCCTGAGCCCTCTTCCGTGACAGGAAAGTGTTAAGATGGTAAGCACGGTCACTTTGGCTCTGTTTCGTTGTTCGTGGTGTATTTAAAATTGGTTTTATGGTAGGTATTGAGACAGCAATGAGCACGACGTTGCCTTCGATACTATTGAAGATATTAACACACACCACGAATTCGTAAGGAGGATAGGGGGTGAAGCACATACGTCCACCATATCGTGAGGATCGCCATATTGTCTGTGGTTATATAATTCTTTAGCATCGGTCGATGGCGTCGAGACTCGTGCTTTCAACTTACAACTTCGATCTAATATTCCATCTATCTCTTTTAGATATACGGTTTTGGCAATTGCCGCGACCATAGCACTATTATTACGACGGTTAGTAAATTCTTCATAGAACACATCATCTATGTGGGAGAAAACTGACAAAATTCCCAGCCCCATGATCGCAGTCAAAAAGGCCTTCTGCTTCCAATGCATCTTTAGATTCCAGAAGAGGGAACAAGGGAAAACGGCCAGTACCAAGTCGGACAGAGCACATATCGCTATGACTAGTTAGCACCTCAGCTTGTCCGAAAGCAGGATGGTTTCCTGTGGTTAGGGCTGTCCCATACAGCCTTGGAGATAACCTGCGTATACCTGTGTATATGCGGGCCAACACTTCGCCTCAATTCTCTTATCCCAGAACCCCTGAACGGGCTTGCATTGTGCGTATATGATGATAACCGTCCCAACATCGGCTATAAATTGCGCACATATCACTACCCACAGTAGTCTCCTTCTTGCTTTCGATGGCGGCGTGAGATTCAATAGTAAAAATGCAAAAGAAATGCGGCCGAATCCGGGGGACATGATAGCAGGGCAGTAACAAAAGAACACCCATTTATCATAATTCCTCTTTTCGTCGTCGCGAAGGTCTTGAATGTGCCTCCCCAGTCCCCAGGAAGATGCAAATGTGAGAAAGACACTATTCAGCACAATGAATATCTAAATTGGGACTCTGTGAGCTACTAGATACTCCGGAAGTTGTTACTGGGTTACATACCAATGTGATAATTATGATATAGTCGTCGAGGCTGAGCTTCCCCCTGAACGTTAATCGGACATAGAATCGTACGGCGAAAATTGACACCGATATGGCAGCTAATATCCATGCGAAAGCGATAACCACAGGTCCCAGGCCTCCCACCACGGAGCTCCTGGGTTCAATAGCATCTCGTGCGCCCACTAAAGTTGTAATCCAATCTTCACCGCCATTGAAGAGCATCGTTAGGTTCGTGTAGTCGGGCAAATATATCGAGATTTAGGAGACCTTTTCATAAACTGGAACAGCGAAGTCATGTCGATATGTCAAAACATACTAATTGTAACATATAACTGATGTAGAACTGTGATACTGCGAAGGGAAAAAGCAACTCTAAAGATCTATTAAGCATCTGAGACAATACGTTCTAGAAATCCTCAGACTGATGCATTTAATATGGAGTAGATCCTGGCAGGCCGCCTTACGTGTATTTTAATTTGCATCGGCCTGTGAAAAGAATGTCTTGGGCACTTGACTTTCCTACTCTGGATGGCCATATATGCGTGTTACAATCCCTTTGATGAGCTATTGGACATAAGTAAATCCGTGTTGTATCACTTAAGGTTACGTGCGTCTCTGACATGCGATCGGATTCTACGGAGGCGTTGACGAACTGGTTGCACGCCAATATGTCTTGCATTGACCGAGTGCTTATGGCGATCCCAGGAAGCCACCAGACTCTATTGTACGACATGAAGAGCCCTACGAATATTATTGGGGGAGTATTCTCTGATTGGCGTCGCCGACTTGCCGTAATTGGTACAGAAAAGAAAAGCTTTCTTTTGAATGTCCGATTGGTCTGCAGCCTCATACTTACATGATCCTATCTGCCGTACACCCCAGACATTGTCTCGCAACTCCATGCCTGCATACCTACTTAGGTACATGAGGGAATTCATCTCATTCAAGTGTAGGGCCGAATTATCATAAAGTTGAAGAAGGCTGTCGAGCTGTCCGTATAGTGAGATTAAGTAAGGGATAATTCGACCAAGGCTTATACATATCGCACTGCCCACCATTACATCAAGAAGAAAATTTCGAGCTGAAAACCAGCTGGCCACAAGCAAAACTACGCAGCCTATCATCTATATATTATAGGAGAACCAATCTCATATTGGACAGCCTGCTTTTACTGAGCTGCCAAGTAAAACCCTTAAGTGGTATGCGGATATTAGCCCGATCGATTTTACACCCATTTTGATATTGCGATGCTGTCGATGATGTGTCGTTCGGATAAAGCCCCCAACCCCCCTGAATTCTCCATGAATAGGAGCTGAGAGTAAGTGACTTAAATCCATCGGATGATCGGCATTAGGGGACTTAAGATTGGCGTATGAACGATGCAACCCACCCAATTGTGTTGATTACCTATTGTTAAAGGTTTCACATTCTCCATTATAAAGCCAAGTTTAAATACTTCTCGAGACAGTGGTCATATTTTGCTTTTTGGTAGAAAGGTAATCATCAAGGACTTTCGACAAGAAACCGGATGACAACCTCATGTGGAAATGAATGACGTGGATTCCCTTATAATAACTCTGCTCTGCCTAATCGGGATGTGGTAGAGGCCCGTTCCAGTCATGAACAATGGCCATTCTGATAGAATATTCGCCCTTCCTCATCAATACCTTCTTAACAAAATGTCGCTGACCATCCTTCAAGGCAAAGCCCCAAACATACTCTGCAGTCCAACCACCCCTCGCATTTAGTATGTAGATGTACACATGGTCCCACGTAGTGGCGCTCGCATCTTCAAGCCAATCCTGGGTTAAATAAGGGTCGATCAAGCCACCGCCGAAGCTCGCTAGCTTGGGACACCTAAAATCGATCCAATGCGCGCGAACGCGCTGGGAACCTTGGGCTGTAGACGACTCGCGGCCATCTAGTATATATGGGTCAATGTCGAATTCAAAGCCACCGGATATTGTTGAGGAAATTTTGATCCGAGTACATCCTTTTTCGTCGCTCGTTTGTGTGACTCTGTTAGTAATAGTAACGAGTGACAGGAACTTCCGGAGAGCCCATGGCATTCCCTGGAGCTTGTAACACGGCTCTGCGTCATCTGAGAGGTACTTGCTCTGCACGAGATTGTTAGATTCTGCCATTACCCGTGAGGGGGGGGGATACTTACAACCACCCAGATGCCACTGAGGTTGTGCATCGTCACGGCGCTCGGTGCAGCCATAGCTTCGGAAATCGAGCTGCGAAAGCAGATAATCGTAAATTCGTAGCATCGGATATGCGCCCGATGTGTAAGATAGGCAGCTGCAGAGGTGCATCGCGTCCTTTTCTTATTTTGCGATTCGGATCTCGGAAGGGCTGTGCATAACAGCGCCACCAAATCCATGGATTACATTCCTTCAGACCGGCATTTGACGACTGATCATCTCGGGGAAAGAGCCTACAAAAAGAAACTCACGGACTTCATCTAAAAAAGACTGAATGGGATTAAGTTGAATTTTCGTAAAATTTGTCAATAGACGGGGTATCTTATATATCACATATAAATGTTGTACAGATGATGTATACTTGGGCGGCCTACTTCTCTGCTTCCAACTTTGGTGGGATGAGATGCTCAGCCATATTGATCGCGCCCTCCATATCATTCTTGTTGAATAAGAAGAGTCCTTGAATAGCAGCAGTGCTCGTACGAGATACTGGCTCCCCATCCTTGGCCTCGCGGAAGAGCCCTAGCTGATCAAGCCGATTCAAAAATCTCTCCCGGTGAATGCCATCAACATCCACGTCACCGTAGAACCTATCCCACATCTGGACAGCCTGGAATTTTGTAGCTTCACCTATGCGAACCATCATGTCAACTCGGCCTGGCCGGATCAGAGCGGGATCTAGAAGTTCAACATGATTCGTAGTGAGGAAAGCAATGCGCTCCTCCCCAGCGGACAACCCGTCTAAAGCATTCAGCAGTCCAGAAAATGTGACTGTCCCGCCAGTATACCCATCTGTATCGCGTTTCCGCCTATTAACGAATGCAGAATCGGCGTCTTCCAACAAGAGAATAGTCCGTTCAGGCAGTTTAGTGAGGAGAAAAGCAAGCTTATCATCCGTCACTCCAATTTCGCTTAGGTTAACCATAGCAACACTGAAGTCCAGCTCGCCCGCTAATGCTTGAATGAACGAACTCTTGCCACTGCCAGGAGGTCCATAAAGGAGATAGCCCCTGCGATACGGGATTCCACGATCGACATACCACTGCCGTCGCGCAAGGAAGTCTTTTGCGTCATTTACGATATCTTCTTTGACTCCCTGGTCTAGGATCACGCTGCCTAGTGGTCGCTTCCTTCGAGGCTCACCTAATGGGACCCAATCGAAGTTCCTCACGGAGTATACCACAGTCTTTCCCTCATTCGCCTGCAGTGCCAGAGCTCTCGCTTCGGTGAAGACGTCCTCGAAGATATGTCGATGCGCGTATAAAGTAGTAAGTTCCACCGTCTCGTGCGGTTCACCCGTATTCGTCCTTGCTGTTGCCTGCTTTTCCCTATTCACAGCGATATACGCATGTTTGTATTTCACGATATGTCGGCCATATCCAGGCTGCAAGAAGAAGCTTGCTCTTGTAGGGCCGTTCGGAGTCGCACTAGTGGTCGTCGTAACGGATAGCTTGTTGATACGGGTCAGTCTTTTCGCTAGAAAAGAAGTTTGTTCGCGGGGTTGCGACAGCCAGGCAAGGATCCAGGGATATGAGGGGTCTTGTCTACTAATCTCAACATTGACAAGCATGCGGCGTCGAATCATTCCACCAGCAGAGATTGCGCCGCGACGAGCAAATGCCAAGATAGCCCCAAGAGAGGCGAGGCCGAAGCCTCCGGCGAAAACGGGATTGTCGAGCAGTGCATTGAGGTTGAGGATTGACTGCGTTCCCGCAGACTCCGACATGACGCTGCTGAGAAGCTTGAAATGCGATCGACGAATTTTCGAAAAATTAAATTGTCAATTCAAAGATTCTATGCTGACTAAACAAGTGACTAAGCCGATGACTAAGCCCTTGTATGGTATATATGCATGGAAAATAATTATGTAAGCTTTAGTCATTACTTACCTAATATCTCTCTTCAATGCATATTAGGTAATACTATCTTTTTTCTTGCTTTGTCATCGTAATTAGTCAGGAATTATGAGATCATCGAGATGGAAGTATCATTATGACAACAACTCTTCATGAACACTACTAAAATCTTTTATACATGACTCACTATACACTCCCATACGTCTTGTATTCTTCACCGGTGAATTGGAATCTATGTCATAATATCTCAATATTCAAGACAATAAATATTCATAATGAGTGAACAGGCAAAGAAGAAGTTTATGAGTGCCGTCGAGAAAACTCGCGCCCCTGCTGATGGTGAGTGGCCTTTGGAACTCACGTACAGGATTCACGGTTAATATTATGGCAGAAAAATCAGCGCCGGCAGGTATCAAGATTCAATCGACTACAGGAGGTGATAACCCGAAGGCTGGAGGATCATCCTTCAGACCCATCGCCAAAGGCGAAACAAATTCGTCGAATTACGTTCCTGCTGAAGGTCCGTCAACCTGAGATTACATTTGGTAAAACAACGAGTAGAAATCTCGAACCAGAAAGCACGCCACATAAACACATGTAAATTGGGGGCCTATATCGATCGGTCTTTTGGAATATGTACATATCTCCTACCATTATCAATCCCGAGGAGGGAACTCGGGCCGATGAGTTTTATTGCTTCTCTCAAGATCTCGATCATGAAAAACTTTTCTAAAACATCTAAACTTGTTAACAGGTCTTTTCTGTTGAAGTATTCTGACCTACTAGGTATTGAGGACTCCGCGAGATTCTATCGTAGAACATTACGCCACCAACGAGAGGATCACGGCGTCTTCTCGGAATCATGGCTATATACATCATCATAAACTCACCAATCCTTATTTTCCACAACAGATACTAGTTCTTTTTGCATCTAGCTCTTCTAGCATATAACGGCAGAATACCCATCTATATTTCTGTACTCAAGACGTCATCATTACCTAGAATTTGGAATTATCGACCAGATTTCTCAGGTTCTATAGGCCTCTGGTAATCTTTATCCTCTTGAAGCGCAGATTAATTAGGTGAAATTCCAGCACTGGGCCGTCTTGTTGAAAATTTCATGCTGGGCATGGTCCCGTGGATTTGCACATGTTTCTTGCCCCTGACCAATATGTATAATGCCTGTCACGTAGAAAACAGCCGGCACTTCAGTGATGTGTTCCCACAATTCGTGATCTCGCGCTAATACATACCTACTAGGTTCTATAAATCTAGACGTTTCCTAGGTCTTTTCTACCGTCTCAGCCAATTAGTATGGGTTCTCATGGTTAGACTCCTACCAATTAGGCAGGACATGTCAGGGATAAGTAACAAAGCGTAACATTGACTATGGAAATGGTAATTAAATTCGGATAGCTCCGGCTTCTAGGTATTTCAATATGCCTTGCCGTGTTTATCCTCCTCGTTTTTACACATACTTGCCCATGGGCCATGAAGTAGATATGCTGAGGCGTTGCTTCTAGGTAACTTCAAGTGCAAGGTAAATACGTACATGGACTCTTGTTTCTACTATTCAATTACTTCTGATAGCAAAGACTCTTAACTGACTATAGCTCTTATCTACCTATTAATTCAGCTTCTTTGGGGTTGTATACCAGACAGGACTCACGGTCAGCCTCCGGCAAAAATCAATTTGGCTAAATGACAGTCGCATTCCACACTTAATCTCAGAACCGCCAACGATTCGTTGATATATTTATAACACAATCGGTCCAGAGGATTCAATTTCCTGGGATATACCCCAGACCTCGAAAGACCACATGGCTGAGTGGAACGTGGGATCGTCGGCAATTGAGGCCGTCTGGGCTCAGATGAACCCATCGACACAGGATGGGACATATAACTTCCCGGTTATCCCTACCCTTACCTTTCCAGAGTTTCCCGAAGCCTTGAGGCGATTTTAAAAGCATTCGGCATCGACAACATTCGATACTGTGTTTCATAGCCTGTCAACATCAAAATGCAGTTGAGGAATTTGGCTCTCCTGGCCACCGCGGGCATCGCGCCTAGCGTCAATGCTGCTGCGACTCTTCGATTCTCGTGTTCGCAGCTCGTCGTCGAACGTCTAGATCCGTAAGCTAGTATCATACATCAGCTATAATCGGTGGTTTTCTAACATATTCCTAGTCTCGTTAACCCTGGAGAGAACCCGTCGCCCCATCTTCACCAGGTCGTTGGAGGAAATGCCTTCAATGTTTCTATGGACCCTACCGTACACGATTTGCCCACAACGGCAACATGTACATCGTGTACACCAGTTGAGGATTTCTCCAACTACTGGACTGCTGTTCTCTTCTTCAAGTATGATGCACCTGGCTTCCCCCTTTTCCGCCCTTATCGATAAGAGTACTAACAGCGCCATTCAGGGCACGAAACGGAACATTACACCGCGTAAACACCTTCGGAAACGAGCTCGGTTTCACACAAGCCAAGGGCGGCCAGACCGTCTACTACCTGTCGTCCGGCAAGGTCACCGCCTTCAAGCCCGGTTTCCGCATGACAGTCGGAGACCCAAGCATCCGAACTGCGGATGAGTTAAACAAGAGATACAAGTACATGGACTTTACCTGCCTGCAATCGTCCATGACCCGAGGTGGCCAGACAACCCACTTCCCCACCGGGACATGCGCGGCCGGTATCATGGTCTCCATCCGCTTCCCGACTTGCTGGGACGGCAAAAACGTCGACAGCCCGGACCACCAGAGCCACGTCGCCTACCCCAACGGCAATGCTTGCCCGTCTACTCACCCCGTTACAGTAAGAACACACATATATCCACCCGAGTAATTCCACAAACTAATCAAACGCGTTCCCACAGGTTCCACAAGTCTTCTACGAGACCTACTGGGACACCCGTCCCTTCAACAACAAAGCAGAATGGCCAGCCGACGGATCGCAGCCCTTCGTCTGGTCCTTCGGCGACAAGACCGGGTACGGAATCCACGGCGACTACGTCTTCGGCTGGAAGGGCGATGCGCTCCAAAGAGCTATGGACGCTAACTGCAACTCTGACCTCTTCGCCAACCGTAAGTTAAATGCATCCCTGAGTAGATCAATGACTATCTTACTAAGAACATCTGTCCGATATCAGGAATCAACTGCGCCACTCTTAAGACCCAATCGCTCGAGCAGGCGAACCAGTGCCTTAAGACCAAGACCGTCACTGAGAATCTCGACGGCTGGCTTACTGAGCTTCCTGGCGGCATGCCCATCAACTGAAAGATTTCCTAACCTAAGTCGGGGTTGCATTTGAGGGGTATGGGGAGTGCTTTGAGGAAGCGAGGGTAGCATTTTGATTTCGTTAATGCGAGAAATTCCGTACAGCTTTATACTTACCTACCTAATTACCAGACTTTTTGACATGAGTAGCTGAATAGAGTAAGACTTCAAAATTTGAGCGAGATCCTTCGTTGTGCCTTCGCTTCTAATGACAAGAAAGAAATATTTTTGATTGTTTGTTGGAAAGGGGTGAAAAGGGGCTACTGACTAAGCGGAACTTGAACTTTATTTCCTCGACATTCAAATATTCCTATACCACTCCTACAACGATAAAATAGCCAGCGCGGTTACAAGTGTCTATATTCAACTATCCTTGAGCCCCCCGACTTGTTATAAACATTTTATCCTCAGATCACGAAGCTGGCTCCGATAATCCATTCTCTCCGTAGCCCCGAGTGATACCCGGCAACCGGAAATCGTGTTGAGCCCGATTAACAAGTAGAGGCACTGTTATGGGTAGATATGATAACCGAGAGACCACTGTCTCCGTGTCCCGTGCAGGAGCCGCCAGAGCTATTCAAAATTTGGTAAGTCAGCAATATGTACTTGACATTGATATGGAATTTGAATACTAACCACTGCGGGTTGCTACTCTCGCTCGGGCAACACTGGCCCTTTACGTAGCCGGCACCCCATCCCATCTCCCAATGAGAAACGTGGGTGTTTTCAAAGACGTATTGGTTGTACGTGCAAACCTATATCCAGCCAGTTAGTCCACTATCATCCCTCAACCCTTCGGAAAATATGTCAAGTCTCACCACAGCGGTACCAAGAGACCAACCCGCGGCACTCCCAGCCGGCATGTAATCGGTCTTCCCATCGTTCTGCAAGCTCGAGATAAGGGCGTCCATGTCACCCTGGTTGTACGGGTAACCAGAGGCGCAGCTGTCACGCTTTGAGATCGCATCTCCGTTCTTGCTGGCCTGGAGCTCGGCATAGTATCGAGTCTCGTTGAACGGCACAGTGGGGAGCTTCTTGATCTCGTAGACAGTGTCGGTGGGCATACCAGTGGCGATCTGGAGCAGAGATGCCAAGGGGGCGAGGAACAAGAGGTTGAACTGCATGTTGACTGATTTCTTTGGAAGAAAGGGTTGAAGATGTTTGATAGTCTGGAAGATGGAGGAAGTTGTGTGTGATTTCTGTATCCAAAATCTTGACTTCAAGAGGAGGCTTCTCTACTATATATAGTAGTTCTTGGGCGCAACAGAGCGGGAATAGCGTGTTCACTCTCGCTCAACCGTCGCTATTGCCCTCGCCCGAATGGCTCTATTTCCATCGATTCCATGTCCAGTTTAGGGCGGTGGCACTCCATATCACGACCAGCCATAGGAGTATCGTGTCACGAGTCATTCACACGCAGCCTAATCAGCCCAATATGGTGTGAATAGCTTCGCTGTCGAACCATTCAAGAGCAGGACCGATATCCGAAGAATGTCCACTTTCGGGCCATGAAGCTTTGCTGTAGAGGAGCTTATAAAGCGGCATTGAAAGCTAGAGGAGACCCTATAGGTTCCCAACCTCCAGAGCCAAGACCATGACAGCTTTAATAATTGGCATGGAAATTTTCAGCGCTGGTAAGCTGACAAAACATTGATCCAAAGCTGAATGCCCTGAACGAGGTGACCAATAGCAGGCCGTCGCCAAGATTAAGCCTCATATAGCTTCTCAATGACTATTGGTATAGAATTCAATCTAGCGGTAGTTGTCAGAAGAGCATGCATAGGTTGTTGCATGACGTCTGAGGTGAGTTAATGACATTGCATAACCCGCTCAACTGACCAACCCCAAAACTCCGAACCAAATATCTCAGATCTGTTGACAACATTCGATCCACCACGGCAGGTGGTTTTAGGATTAACTAACTCTTTCCCTCGGAGCTATATGGTGAGAAAACAACACCAGGCCACGATATCCGTCGGGTATAATCGGTCCACTAATTATTAATCGACTTGCATGACGAATAATATAGGTAGGTAGGTACCTACCTAGGTTAGCCATTGGAAAGGGAATCCATTGAATGATTGTTATAATTTGCGACACAATACAGAGTCGGTCTCAGCAAGAACGAAATATCTATAGGTACCAGGTAAGTGATTAGTTATACCCTTAAGCATGAAATATTGGACGCAGGTATGTACTGCCTGGCAAACCCGTAGTCCCACACTCAACTTCGCTAGGGTATATCCCAAAATAAAGAGCTTCAACTATCGTCACACGTAGTCATGCGAACAACACTCTATTGCATCTAGCAAACCACGTTAGCACACATTTGTCAGCGGTATGAGTCTCGCTTCTTTCGAAGCGCGTTAAGTTGACCTACCCTGAAAACCGCCCTCCATCACGTCTCCGGGTTTCTCCCCTACGCCACCCTCATGGAATAACATGCCCCTTCCGTTATGAGGTCTTCTTGAACCCGGTCGATCCATGTCGTGATGTCTTCCGTGGACATAGACTTAAGATCTCCGGGAATAATATACCGCAAGGATAAAAAGAAGTGGCACATACGCCTCCCCACCACAACAATATCCCTCCTCCCGCCTACCATAATCTACACACTGGCATCCCTCTACTCCAGGCCCACATACCTCGGCCTCATCCCTACCAGAAGCAACATGCCCATTGTAGCCTGAAACATAGCCCAAGTCCTTGAGCGCGACTTGAAATTATGATAACTAGAGGCCTACGTACCTAGGTACTCAGGTAACCTCCCAGTCTAGATTCCGGAAGCCTCGAGGAAAACGCGAAAGGGGGAAACCCCGCATCGATACTACACTTCGTATCGGTCGGGGCGACAAACACGTTACCGTTCATGTACACACCCTCATGATATCTGAGTGCATTACTCCGAGCGCTTGTTCTCGGCCTCGAACGAATTGATGTGATAAAATGCCTAGTTAGCTGCAATCCAAAGCAATCATTGAACTATGATACGACGGCTATCAGGAGAGAACTCGAACCGCACCTAGCGGCCAGGTAGCCATGTAGTTAGCATATCACGAATCTATATTCATCAGTAATTCAAATCGAATTGAATTAGCTAAATGTCTAGCAAATAAGGTGGTGATCAATCCAGGGAGCACTTATCCCCCCTTGATTACATAATCACATAAATCCGCCGTAGCTAAAGTAAACATGGCCATAATGGTAATATGCACGAAGCGCGCGGTAACTGTATAATAGCGACTTTCTGAAGGTGCAATCGATTCTGGGTATATATTCAGGTTAGAATGACTGCTTGCTTCATGGAGATGAACAGATACATACCTCGTGATCCTTTCGTAGTGCATTTCTATCATGCGAGTAGGGTATCATGCTAAGTAAATTCATCTCTCAAAGCTAGTAGTATTTTCGAAGTCGCTGACTCTTAGAATCCCTTAATATTTAGATGCATATTCGAACGCGTTTTCTAAGCAGTGTCTGAGAGTCAAGGTCATTATCGTCGACTGCCGAAATCTCTGAGTTTGATCTCTTCTGGCCTCTAGTTTCCTCAAATGGAACGGGAGTGTCTGTGATCAATCCTTCATCAGGGTCAAATTCTCGGCCAAATCCTCTACCGAAGACGAATTGTGGGGTTTTAAGCATCGAGGTCTGCGCGACGCCGTCTTTTTCGTCAGACATCGGCATGATCTTCGCATTCAAAATCCATTGGTATATCAAATGGTCGTCTATGATAGACTTGACCTTGACTTGTTCAGCATGCGTCATCTGTTTACGACGGTTGACAATAATTTCCTCGATACTGTTGCGCAAGACGAGGGTCTCGACAGATACTGGTTTTTGCTGACTAATGCGTCGCGCTCTTCCGATAGCCTGGGCTTGAACTTGTGGATTCAGGACAGGGCTAATGAAGTAAATGCGCGAAGCACTGCGCATGTCGAGGCCGAAAGCTGCTTGTGTTATATCCATCAACAAGACCCGAAATTCCTGGTTATGTGTGAAAGTAGCAACGTATTGCGCTCGTCTTTCTGAGGTAAGACCAGCTCTTGAGTAAATCAGATGTTGGATTTGCAGCTACAATGTAGGTAAGTTTATGCACAAACAAGAGCACAAGGAATAGATGCTTACAATTTCAAGCACCCCAGCTAAATAATATGCAATGTTGTCATTGTCGTAGAAGATGATGATTTGCTCCTTATCTTGGTACTTGACGATGGAGTCAATGAGATAGGATAACTTGGCCGAGACGGTCGAGATGATCTTAGTTTTCTTCAGAGGTTCAGCAATCTCAACGGGACTCTCCGAGTTTTCAGCGTTCCCTTGATAGCTCTTAGTGGGTGACGATGTTACCTTTTCCAAGTTCCCCGATTTCGGCTTTGTGTTATGGTCGTCGCTGAGAGAAATATTGCCAGCTAAGTGCAGGTTTGAAGATCGCCCAATCTCAGCTGACATCGCCAAAGTTAAGGCTTGAGAACGCTCAGCCATACCTTGTCGATCGAGCATGCTGCTCGATATTATTGTCTGCAAGGATGTTGGGGCATCAATCCAGGGGTTTAGATACTTCTGGAGCGCAAGGATCATCCCAGCATCGGTACAGATAGGTTGACCCGGACTTTCAACCTCCTGAAAATCAAGAGACCAACTCTTCCCATTACCCCCGGGAAAGTTTTCTACGTACAATGGCATCGCGTGGAATTCGTAGCTGACGGCCTTCAATTTATTCTTTACAGCAAATTTGCCAAATGCAATTGCTTGTTTAAGAAGTTCTTCGTCCTCGTCACTAATTGGGATTTCCTTTTTCCAGAGAAACTGTTCCGCGGTCCGTAAAGATTGATTTATGTCGCTGACGGAGTAGAACACGCCACCGAAGAAGCAAGCTTGTCTTAAGTTATTAACGAGTCGAATAAGACTCTTGCGCTGTCTGTAATGGAAGAAGTAATCCATATCGGTGCGCTGCGACTGTACTGAGTTGAAGATGACCATCATGGAGAAGAGATTCAGAGACAGCTTATCCTGGAAGGATCCATCGAGAAGCACGATCTTTTCTTCTACTGGAGGTAGAAGTGTGCTGACATCTGAGAGCCTATGACGGACGATAAGTGAATTGAGAGTTGTCCTCAAACAGTCTTTGCGATTGTGACCCTTGGTATGCTGGTTTTTGTTCATGACATACACATTCCAATCAGCCACACTGTCGCCGATCTCATCCTTCGTATTAACCCATGGCCGAACTCTGAGATACTTAGTAGCAATATTGCCAATTCTTTGCAGGTCTTGTCGTTCCTGGGGTGGGGCTGATTTTATTGTTCCGTTGGCGCCATTGCGTGAAGTGTTCTCTACACCATACAATCCTCTTGAAGGGGTTCCTGTAACAACCCAACGTGCAGATATTTCAAGGCGGTCGAGAACTCTCAGCACATCGCTTTTCCAACCTCGGGTTCTGTGGCCTAGCTTATGACCTTCATCTATGATGCAACGCTTGAACCGAATGTATTCAAGTGGGCAACAGTCCTTCTCTTGCTGGATCCACTCGAAGCGACTCTCAGAAAAGAGAATCAAGTCATAGGTCAATAAGTTAAAGATTGATGGGATTTCTTGCTTCTCTACAAGAACAAGTAGCTTCAGGCCGGTGGTGTGCTTCTTAATCTCGTCTTGCCATTGCTTGACAAGGTTATTGGGAGCTACAACGAGCGAGACGCAGCTGAGGTACACTGTTTTGGGTGCTTTGGCAGTGGGCACGGCTCTGTTACTCCTTCGTGGCTCTATCAAGGTTTCTCGGATTTTGTATATGGCAAGATTCTCTTGTCTCTGCAAGGCCTCCTTGCAGTGCCGGTATTCGCGGCCGCTCTTAGCATAAGCCTCGAAAAAGAGCCTCCATGCTATCGAATTTTTGTTGACTGCTGCTGCTGCCATATCCATTAAGGATGCATTGGGCTTTTGGTCAGTCTCAACAACAAATGGCTCCGGGACTTTGCTAGGCTCGCCCTTGGTGCTGATAATCAGAGATAAGCAGATGAGGGTCTTTCCCGTACCCACTACAGGATATAGTTAGTGATATTGATTTATGGAAAGGGTACTAAGTAAGGAAGAAAGATATTATATACCACGAGACACTTGTCGTCACTCTAAATAAGATAACTAGAGATAAAAAGCTCAAAGGGCGATTTGGATGTTTACTTACTCTCTTCTGCAAGGATTCCACCACGGACTCCGTCGTAGTACCGTGGTTCCCTTAAGACAATACCTGAGACGTTGTCGTAATACCAAGTTTTCCCATCTTGGTCAAGCACTGACTGAAATCGAGGGTCAATAATCCTCTTAGGATTTTCCTCGCGTTGAAGCATGAGTGCAGCCGATCTGCCTTGGTAGGGGTATAGTTTCGTAGTTATGCCAGGAATATCACTCTGCAGTAAGCATTCCATCCCATCACGGGTGTCTGGGTTCGTCTCTAAGCCTGAGTGAGGATCTGGTGAAGGAATGTTGTTAAACATGGACAAAAGCGATCCATCGTCCTCGGGTAGATCTTGAGTACATGGTGCTGGGTGACCTTGGTAGATGGTTCTGGTTGCGCCGCTCCAACAGTCCGACGAGTAATCTAGTTGAGATAGTAAGGCTAAATTAGCTCTAGTTAAGTCATTGTTGACGATCATGACACTTCTGTCTACATCTTGAGGTAGTATGTAAATTCGAAGGCGCCCCATATTCTCTAGTTCGGAAATTTGACAAAAAGACATCTGAATCCATCGATTTGTCCATAATCCGATGAAAGGTTGTAAAAAAATCTGCTTTAAAAGTGTGTTCTGCAGCTGGGCTGGAAGACAATCTTGCGCGGGAAATTCATCCGGATAGCGAGCGAAGAACTCCCACTTAGACGAGGCAAAACTTCCAAGCAATGAGAGATTGCCAGTATCTGCAGGTATTTTGAGACACCCAGCTGGAATGTATTTGCTAGTCCACGACGTATCCATGGTGTTGGTTGGTGTAACAAGGGGATTTTAATGCTGTAAATGTATCTATGGGGGAAGATTCAATTCGTAGGTTGAGAAGTAGCGACAGGCCAACGACAGGGCCTGTCTTCATCGAGAATAGTGATCTTGGAAGAAATCACATTGAAGTTGGCTCGTAGAAATATTTGAATGTTAAAAGTAAAGTTGTAAAGAAAAATTAAGAAGACTGCTAGGACGCAGAGGTAGGCATATCTTAATTTGCGATGAATGTAAGACGAAGGAAAGTGTTATCCCTTTGACTGGAGGAAGGCAGCGGGCCCACTTATTATGGTTTTAGTAAAGCTACTACTCGCCAAGTAGAGAGTACTATTTATGGTATTTATAGGCTGGTATAGTTAAAGGGAAAGAAGATATGTGTATTTACAATCTAAATTTCATAGGTGTTATCGGATCTGATGTTGTTACCGGAATAAGTGGGTTGCTGCCTTCCGCTAGTCGAAGGAATACAGTAGGTAATGATGTCGGTACAGTGCGCTAATTACAGCGCACGGTACTAGCTTATGCCTCGAATATGAGCATACTGCGACAGTAATCACCTCGCAAAGTGTATATGCTCAACCACGACATAGCAATCGTAGGTTGTTTGCATCCTGTATGTTTTCCCAAGGTCATTAGACAAGGCAGGTTCTACTTTGCGTGACTGAAGAACTCAGGAGTTATCGTAAGCACAATGCTTATAAGATTTAGGTCATGAGATATCGTGAAGGAGTTCATCAAGCTATGAAGATATGTACCTATTAGGTATTTACATAATCATGAAAAAGCAACCTTGAACATTTCCAGTGAGAAGTAGCGTTAGGGAAACTGAAAATTAATTATGTTTATAATACGGTGTACTGTCTCATCAGCACGGGATGCAACTCAAAATTTCTTAATCAATATAGACAAGTTTAGTTCAAAAATTTAGCGGCTATATACTACAATCCCTAAAGCTAAGTACATGTAAAAGCAGAGACCACAGAGCGGTCTAGGGTATCGAAGAAATACAGTACGGATGTAAGGACCCACCACTGTTGCTCCCAACAAAGACAACGAGCTCCTTCCCAAAACTAACCCACGAAACGTAGGATTAAAGAATAGCGGCTGTCGTATGAAAAGATGGGATCTTATTTTTCGTAATCGTAATCCGTGCGAGAAGGACTCTTAAGAGGTAGTAAAAGACATTAAGACCAAGAAAGAATGGGAATAAAAAAGAGGTACCGTAGCCTTTCCCCATGATTGATTGTATCACCCTCATAAAATGGTATAATCCATAAACGCCTGATTCAGCAAAATACCTAAATCAAGAATTACGCCTGTGCGTCCAAGTTCTCCAAAACTCGCCGAGCTGCCTCTATTTTCCTCCTATATGCCCGATAGTCAGCCGAACCACGGCCAGATTCGGCCAAACCGAGAACACTTCGACCGAGTCCAGCAATTAGGCGCTCAACAAGAATGCGGTCATCCTTTTGTAGCATCTCGATCGGTGACGTCTTGTTATCTCCGCTCTGAATGCTATTAAGGCTCTCATTAAGAAAGACTTCTGAAATTCGTTTTAACTCTCGATCGGGAGAATCTCGTGGCGTCAATATTCCACCGTTAACTTTCGGTTTGTTTACCAACGGGAAGCTTCGATGAGTTTTGCTAGAGTCAAAAGACGACACTGAAGGTCGATGCATAAATGCCGCCGCACTACTTTGGGGTCGCCGGATATTGGAGGGTTTGGGCCGACTGTTATCAGATCCGGAATCGCTCGTCTCGGTCGATAAACGAGCCCGTCTCGCTGCGTCCGGCGTATGCGTTCGAGCGCGCTGGGGTATTATAACACCGTGTCCATGATAAGCTTCTGCGGCCTCATTTTCTGCTCTTGTCAGCCTGCCCTCTGTGGCTGTTGCGAACGACTCTATCGATGAAATGGAACCATGACTACCTCTACGAGAGCGGCTCCCGGCCTTACCAGCAGTCGATCTCGTTTTGGAAGTCGTAACTGGACCCCGAGTCGTCTCCACCGAGTCTTCGGAGCTGAAACTATCGCGGCTGCCTTTCCTCATCCGACTCCGGCTCATGCTGCCCATCGCGCTATGTAGGAAGAAATGCTCATAGTCGAAGGCATCTTCGCGATCTTCGTGAGACACTTGATTCTGAACGGAATCGTAATACGCAGACGCGCCACTATCGCTTACATCGTCCTCGAATACGGACTGATCATTCTCATCCATTTCTGCCTCTACATCTTCATCTTCTTCTTCCTCCTCCTCCTCTTCTTGGACCACTCCATCAACATCTTCGTCAGAACCATCCTCAGTCCTCAGATCGTCGGCGTCATCTTCTGGTTGGTTAGGAACTGATAGACCGTCACTCTTTGACGAAAATGAGCTATTATCACCATCACCTAATGGCGAAGGCTCGCTGTCTTCTACGGTAGAAAAGCCGTTAGGGATCGATTCCTCACTGGCGTGAGGCGACATTTGCTTCACTGCCAAATCCTTCGCAGCACCGTCATCAATACTCGAGACGTCCTCATTTGACAATTGTGATTTGTAATCACTATGGACGGAACCCTCATCTTCACCTTGGGCCGTGCCAGCGTACCACTGGTCAACTTGAGCGTGCGTGAAAGGACTAGGAGTGCGTAAGCTCTGAAGGCTTCGCCGTTTTAGATTATCTGCTCGGGCTTGGTCTCGTAACGTCGATAATCTTCCCTTGAGATCCTTCATCTGGTCTTTTAGATCACGCATTTGCGTCGTTGATGCAGATCGCTTCAGCCCTTTATCTGAATAAGACCCGAAAGTCGGGCTAAGGAAATTATCTAGTTTAGGATCTTCCAGGCTTGGTCTTGAATCTACATCCTGCGAAGCATCATCCTCACTTAACGGCTCGAGGAGATGCTCTCTGATTTGTAGGGACGGCTTGCTTCTGGCAAAGGCTGAGCTACCGTATATTGATCCATCCATCGGCGTGCTTCTCGTACTTCCATGTATATAATCCGCACTGCGAGGGCTATGAAGGGGCGGTCGATATCCACCTGCCGCGCCTAGAGCGCTCGAAGATCTAGGTATATATGCGCCTGGCTTGACCAGGTCGGTGGGAAGGGTGGGGATGTTGTTTTCGCTAGATATCCTTGTGTGCCCAGTTGAGATTTCGCGAGAATTCGCATCATGGTCACGATGGATTGCGGTTGTAGGCCTAATACTCGTAGGCGAAGGTGTCGAGCCAGAATCAATAGAAAAGGTAGGAGAGCTTAAGGATGACCTTGCTCGGGTCAAATTTCCTTCCATGGTCTATGAAAAATTAGTCAATGCAAACAGACATACCGAGGACATGCTCACCGTCAACCGCCGCTTGGCATTCGCTAGAATTTGCTCGGCTCTTCGACTCAAGGCTGTAGAGTAGCGTTCCTGTCCAATTGCTCTACGTGCTTCCTTGATTGCCATGGCATTCTCGTGGAAGGCGTCATCTATATAAGAGTCGGCAACACTCTCCTCATCGTCCCCCTGAAAATTGCTGTCATCAACGCTGACAGCGTCGTCGAAATCGGCGAACGTCCCACCCTGGTCATGGTTGGTAATAGTACTCGTCGATTCCATCGACAACCGCCTTTCGCGACCAATCTTTGAATCCTTCTTCTTTATGATATCGTAGTGGGAGAGGGAAATCGGATGCATCGAGCCGTCGCTGCGCGTGGACCCGGATCGCGGCTTGTTAGGGGGGCATGTACTCTCAACCTCGGTAACCTCCCCGATATCCGAAAGCATCGTTCCATTCCCATATATAATAGGTGTAGTTGGAGTGACAGGAGTCGTGAAGGCCTGGGCACTGAGATCAAAGCCCATTTCGGCAGCATGTGCGTTCTTCCACATTATTAGGGGCGAATGTGATCTGTCTGGGGAAGAGCAGGTATCGTCATAGTCGGGCAATATCATGTCTGGGTTGGTCAGAGTGGGCGACGCTGGCAGAGCCGGGTAGGGCATAGAGCCCGACCCTGACCCCGACGTCTGGGCCGGTGGAGTAGAGGCTGTATGCATTGGCGAGACGGCGCGGATTGGCTAGGTTTCTAGAGATCGTAGTGGTTCGCAGTTCGCAGCTTAAAGAGTCCGTAAAAGAGGGTGGCTATAACCTAGAGGGGACAGGCGACGAATCAAAAATGGACTGTAAACTGCAATTAGCCGCACCGCTTGTTGAAGCAGATGCGAATATTAACTACCTACCAGGTAGGTACAATACCGTATCTACCTAGATAGGTACCTAGGTAGGTATGGTGGTGGTATATCCAAAGTTGCACCTAAGAACGGGTATGGTATGTGAGTTTATCTTCGAAGGCTCGTGGCCGTGTACCCGTATAGGACTCGTCGCAAGCAATAAACCAATCATATGCGAGATCGTCTACAAATTAAGCCGGGGAAATCGACAAGGTAAAGTTCGTTCGGACGAGCGACATCAAAACCCTAACTGAAATCGAAGTGGCCGGGACGTTGTAGAGACGTTGTAGGATACCAAGGGAAGGGGGGCACAGCCAAAAGGAGGGTTGGGAGAGGCTCCAATAGACCCCCAAGATGATCGATTTTCTATTCAATTCCGCCGATTCGCACGAGTTCCAAAAATTATCATGGCGAAAAAGGGAGACAAGCGAAAAAAACAAGAAGCTCCAAGAAAGACAATTCCAACCACCGTCCCTAACCTCTGGTTGTAAAATGCCGAATCCGGTATCGATAGGTTGGTGGTCAATGTCAATGTCAATTTCAATCAACTCCGATTCTCGTTTTCCCTCAATCGACCAAAATCGCAAGAAATGGCATCGGTTGCCGATTCTCGTCGGGTGGTTTGGGGTAATTAATTAAAGAGTGGGCAACATTTGAAGACTGCTGGGCTGTTTTTAGACCCATCTGGCTATCGGTTCAAATGTTCACTGTGGTTCATCTGTACGAAGTATTTCGTACCGATGCTCCCACTTGCGTCCACTTGTACCTGACCCTTCCACCTGGACACTGAAGAACCTGGCTGCGACTTCTCTGATTGGATACTTTATTACAGCTCGTCCCTCTCTCTTGAATTTCTATGGATCAATTGGCTATTCGGTAGAAGTGGAGCATACTTGAAATGACGAAACCTCCTTTTAGTTCCTCTTAGCTTCTTTTAGGTCTCGACTTCTCAGATTCCAAAATTTATTAGTGCGAGCCGAGCGTCGCACACCTGCCGGCTCTAGAACCGTTTGAGCGTTTGAGCTTAGTGCATTCCGACGCTAGACTTTCTGCGGCTCGTGAAAGCCGAAAAAGGGCACCGCTTCGGATAAGAAAAGAAGAAGGAGCTTAGTTTTCAATACTATATTAAAGAGCTAATTGGAATTCGAAAGACGGGCAGACGGGCAGACGGGGAAAGATTAAAGATTGTCCAAAACTCCAAAACTCCCGACTTCCAGGGCAACGTAGGTATGGTGTGTATGCTCTTATGCAAAGCGATAATGGACCAGTCAGGTTGCTCATATCGACCGGATCACAAAGTCGAGAAACGAGCTTCCACATTCATGCAGCTGCCGGGATCGTTAAATTTTGCAGGAAATCCTGCACGGTCGTGAATAGGGGATAGACTGGGCGGGATGGCTGGCCGGGTAGGCTGGTAGGAAACACACGCGCAATCATACCGCAAGGTTGCTGCTTAACCCCTTGTCGCGTTTCAATGCAACAGCAAGAGACGGCAAGATCCATCTTTAATTGTGTACCTGCCTGTACCTACCTGTACCTGCCTGTAAGTATGCAGGTAATCTAGCATAGGCCGAGCCAGTTACGGTTAGGACCTCATCAAGAGGGTCCTTGCTGTATGTAATGTGAAAGGGGCATTCGGAATATTATCGAAAGTCTGAGGGCTCTTCAGTCTACTAAGTAGATCTTGTAATAGAAAAAATAGAAAAATAGAAACATCCTGGCATCTCATCCGGCACTAATATGTGCTCGCTTAAGGATAGTAAGAATACCTAGGTAGGTATTTGTGTAAAAGATATACAATACGGGATGCATGAGACGAACCAACAACGGTGATGATCAATCATTTCGATTATCAATGCTATCAAATGACTCCCTTGACAGTCACATTTTTGGCGGTTTAGCGGTCTCGTGTATAAATTGTCATCCGTCAAATTTTTGGAATGGAAGTCATCGGCACGCCCGGTGCATTGGGACGGGCCGCTTGGATCTTTAGTCGTCCTGTGTAATAAATCAAAGATCACTTAAAGGATTTTGCGTCTCTATTCGCGGCTCAATAGTTTCCGTACGCTGTTAGATCTAATAATAAGAGGGTTTTTAATAATAGGGAATTACATAATAAACTTCCCGTCTCTCTTATTGGTCCAAAGTAGGGGGTTCTCCACATATCTACAGATAGAGTTTTCTGTAATTTTCCATTTCACCTCTTCAAGTTTCATACCTACCATGGTAACTTCCACAACTTCTTCTCTCGGCCTTTACTCGTTTTAAATACAATTTGCACTACATTATTTAGGTATGAATTGGTTGAGGAGTATATCAAACCTTTATGTCCTATTAGGCTAAAGAATGGCGGTCACACGTTTGTTCGAGATGGCCTAAAAAGTTGTAGTTGTCACGACACCGCTATACCACGGTAAGACATGAAGCATTGATGTATTCGCATTATCCGGGTACCCTTTCAGGATGTAAGTAGATACCTACCTATATGGGCTTTTTTTATTCTTCCAATCTCAACCCACTAAGTGATGAACGTATCAAGAATTCTGCAATGCTGAAGATGAGCCTCCGGGTTTCTCAAAATGTGGATATCTTCTTGCCTGATAGTGGCGTTCATTAAAGTCTTATGCTGCCATGAACATTGGAGCGCTGACAATGCCAATAGGTACATATATATATAGACCCAAGAAGTTTCTTTACGTAGGTATGTCCTCCGAAGAAGAGGGATAAATCCAAATGATACCTACCTTATTGAACAGAAAACTTCAGCTCTAAACTAGATACTTATGCGAAGTGAATAACAACCAATAGAGATGACCAGGAAAGAAGAAAACATCAGCTCAGGGAATCGAATTCCTAAGCCAAGCGTAACATCAAACCCGGAGCTGAGTATATTTGACAGGCACTTAGATATACGTACCTCAATCACAATCTATCTAACCTAGTTCTATAATTGCTATTGGGAAGTTTGACTTAGAAAATAGCATGCGGGTATACATAGGTATTATAAACCCGAAGCCATCAAAGCCCAGCCACCCACCTATGTATTCGTAGGAATCCCCTCAGGATACCTCTCCCCGGCACTCGGGAACTTCCCCAACGTCTCATCCAACGCCGCCATCTCCTCATCCTCCAGCTCCACTAGCACCGCATTCTCCGTAACCCTCGCGGCCGTCGTAGCCCCGGGGATCGGTATAATCGTCTTCGGCGCGCCCTCGCGCCAAGTCGACAGCCGCTTCGTCCAAGCAATGGCCAGCTGGGCCGGTGTAACGCCCTTCCGCTTCGCGAGCGCGGCGACCTGCCCCGCGAGCTCGAGGTTGATGGCGAAGTTCGGCGGCTGGAACCATGGCCACACGCGCAGCTGCGGCTGCACGTCGTCGATGGTCTTGATGGTCCCGCTGAGCCAACCGCGCCCGATCGGCGAGTATGCGATTATGGGGATGTCGTACTTTGCGCATGCTTCCGCTACGCCGTTGTCGAAGATGTGTCTTGAGAATCTGTGTTGTGTGTTAGGCATGTGTGTTTTAGGGGGAGGGGGTTGCTTACAGCGAAAGTTCAACCTCGACGCCTACGACCTTGATGATCTTGACAGCTTCGTGGATCGTCTCGGCTCTGACCTCTGAGAGTGAGATGCCGCCAATCTTACCAGTGTCGATGTCTAGTCTTTGTCAGAATACATGCTATCTGCGAGAAGATAGGTTGAAGTCTAGTGATAAAGTACAGGAGGGGAAGTAGAGTAAAAACATACACTCCTTTTGCACGACATCGAAGGTCGTCTTCATAGGGACATTCTGATCGCGGCGAGCAAACTCAAAGATATCAATCTTCTTGCGGCCCTTGAGCTGAGCGATGCAGCTATCGAGAGTTCTGCGGGTGTTCTCAGGCGATCCATCAGGCTCCCTGCCCACGGCGCCAACGCCACCCTTGATGCTCAGCACGACCTTCTCGGCATCCTCGGGATACTTGGCGAAGTAGCGCTCGAGCAGCACGAGAGAATTGTACTCAGGCGGCCCGTAGAATTCGCCGCCGTTCCAGAAGTTCATCCCATTATTCAGCGCTGCCTTCATAGCCTCGAACGCCTGTTCCTGGGGAACCGGTTCCGGCCGCCAGGTCAATCCCATCAATCCAAATCCCGTGGATCCGATCTCTTTTCCGACGAGTGTAGGCATTTTGACTGTCTTGTCGATTTTCCTGATAAGTTAGAAGTGAACTGATCTTTCGGTGGTGAATCGGGAAACTAGGTATTGTTTTATGTGAAGAACATGTATCGTCTTGCTGAATCGTCTTGAGGCTTTTATATATTTAGCCGTTCCCCTCTTGATAATGTGAATGCCGTGATTTCTATGATGCCTAGGTGGTACAACAGGTTGTACACATTACCAGGTCAATCGAATTAGGGTGACGGTGGCCGGACCTAACCAACGCGAATTATTACTAAAGTCCATCTTCGCGATCCGTAGGTACCTAGATTGTTAGGTAATGACTACCTACATACGTGAGTACTACGTCAACGGCATCAACGGATTTTACGACTTCGCGAGGCCGGGGTTATGTGTGGAACCTCCGTGGAACTTCGCCTCTAGTCTCTCGGGTTTCCGTAGCTCCAGCTCAAAGCCCCGAGAATTAATCATGCTGCTTTGTAAAGAAGCGCTGAACTACCCAGTAGCCCAGTTACACGACACAGCACTCCTAGGTCACCCCGGCCTATTGGAGGTCAAGTAGCTATCAGTGACTATTGTGCTTGATTGTTACAGTACAGTACCAATGCCTGTACCTATCACAGAGTTTCACAACATAGAGGGATAATCTCTCCTCGAAGTCGGCATCCGCGGATCATGTCTCACAAGTGTAGTCACAAATCATCAATTCTACATCCTTCTAAAAAGTTCGCTGCTCATTTCTTCTGCATGTCGTCGAGATACGCCTTCCAACCTACAGACGATATCCTCTCGTCCTTAGCCAGAACCTCATTCTTCATACTCTCCTGGTAGCGCTTCATACGCTCCGCATACTCGGGATATGCGCCGCCCAGGATACGGATCGCGAGAAGCGCTGCGTTAGTCGAGTTGCCGATCCCAACTGTGGCGCACGGGATGCCCCTGGGCATCTGTACAATTGAATGCAAGCTGTCGACGCCGTCTAACACGGAAGCCTTCACTGGAATGCCGATCACGGGAATATGCACTTCTGATGCAAGCATGCCCGGCAGATGAGCAGCGCCACCTGTATGTATATGTTAGCAATTATCCAGCAGAATTATGTCAATAAGCAAAATTCAAGACGAGATACGAGTTACAGTAGTCAAAAAGTAAAATACTAACCTGCTGCCGCAATTATAACTTTGCAACCCGATTTAGCCATTTCTGCCGCGAACTTCATCATAAGATGTGGCGTCCGGTGTGCCGACGTTATGCGGACTTCGTAAGGCACCTTGAATGCGTCTAACATTTTTAAGCCAGCTGCCACGGTTGTCAAATCCGAATCAGAGCCCATCGTAACAGCCACCAGAGGGACAGGTTTCGATACTGTCGTTTGAGTCTTGATAGGATCTTTCGAACCAATGCGCTCAGCTCGAATCTCATCCATGACTTTAATGAGAGGGCTTATCGTCTCAGCTAGACGTTCTACTGACGAGAAGCCGGTAGCAGTGATATGACCAATCTTTCGTCCTGGCTTTGACTCTTTCCCGTATAGATGTACATATATGTCTGTAAAGTCGTCATATGCCTCTTCAGCCAGATCAATGTATTTATCATGAGATGACGGCTGAGCTCCGCCGAGGACATTTAACATGATTGAAGAAGGTACTCGCGCCGTTAGATTAACGCCTTTGTCGGGGACACGATCCAGTATGGAGTATAGTTGGGCTTTATACTGTGACATTTGGGGAACGGCCTCAACTATAAAGTTTAATTAGTAATTGGACGTTAAAATTTGTATAAAAATAGAGGAAATCCGTACTTGTGAAATGGCCAGAGTTGTGTGGACGAGGAGCAACCTCGTTGACGAGAATTTGGCCATCTGCAAGTAAAAACATTTCAACAGCGAAGACACCGCGACCCCAGAGGCTCGCTATAACATCACTAGCAACCTTCTGCGCCCGCCTTTTGACGTCTTCGGGTATACTCCGTGGCGGGTAGAAGACCTTAGTACATATACTGTCCTCATGTATAGTTTCAACAACAGGATACGGGTAGACATGCTTAAGCTTTCCATTGTCGTCCTCCGTTCGTAATACCATAACAGACAGTTCCATCTCGAAGGGCACCCATTTTTCCGCGTATAGGGCTTGGTCCCCCATTTGAGCTGAGACATTCTTCAAGTCTTCAGGACCGCTAACCTTGAAGTTTCCACGACCATCGTATGATCCTTTGCTACCCTTTAACATAAAGGGGAAGCCATATTTCCAAGCAGCTTCATCAAGAGAATCCTGTTTGGTTTCCCCAGACTCTATAGCCATCTGTTCGGTAACGGGAATTCCGTTCTTTGCGAAATATTCTTTTTGTTGATACTTGTCCTGGATGAGACGTATCGTCTTCCATGACGGGTGAACGGGAACCTTCTTTAAAATAGTTCCTTCTCCGTCTGGATTTGGTATTTCCACTCCTTTCGTTGCTATCTCCTCCAACACCTCGGTTTCTACATGTTCAATCTCCACTGTCAGGAAATCGCAACGAGTAGCTAAGAGTTTGATCTTCTCTGGATCTTTGAAAGAGCCCGTAACATGAAGATCGCTCTGGTTGACCTGTTTCGCCGGGCAATTTTCAGCATCCAATATAGCGATTGGTATTCCTAAAGGCCCGGCTGCCTCACATAACATGCGGCCAAGCTGGCCGCCCCCAAGTAGGCCGATGACAGGCTTCTTTGCTGCCATTATCAGGGGTATTTGAAAAGGCTAAGATAATTTAATAGAGTATAAATAAATCTCATCTAGAAAAAGCTTAGGAAGAATTTATCTCTTGCATTAATGAACCGGCAAAATTAAGTTAGACGCTATTTTCGTCTAAGAAAGGCAAGCGGTAGCTTGCTTTAAAGGGCTTAATTGCATACCCCGCGATCTTTACCCCGCCACCCCACCATAATGTTTGATAATTCCAGCATCTAAATCGTGTTTTTGTTGCTAAAAACCACGACTTCACCGTACAGCTCTTTTCCATCATCCCTAAAATGTGAGAAATTGCGGTATAACCCAATGCCTCTCCAACTTATATTATTCTGCTAGATCCTCACAAATACGACAGTTCAAGCTCATATGGATGGCACTAGTCGTCGCAGTATGCATCGCACCAAATACTCCTATTTCAATAAGTGACCAAGATGGACACGGAGAGTGAAGATGGGTTCCTCCAGCCCAAGATCCAGTATGTCAAACACCACGACAATAACGACAATATACTACTATACCCAATATGTCTACACACACACACCCAAATCCAACCCCCCAAACTAACACCCCACCAGCCCCCTAACCCTCTTCTCCGCCACCAAATCCCAAAACCGGCTGCTCTACGCCTGCGCGCCCATGGTCCGGTACAGCAAGCTCGCCTTCCGGCAGACAGTGCACCACTTCGGCACGGACCTCTGCTGGACGCCCATGATGCTGGCCAAGGAGTTCAACCGAAGCCGGTTCGCGCGCGACAGCGACCTGACTATGTCTACCCCTACCCCCCGTACCCCCACCGACGCGGGGGTTAGTGAAAGCGGTGCACATGGACGTGGGATTGGGGAAGTTCCGACAATAGCACAGTTCGGCGCGAGCCAGCCCCTCGAGCTGTCCCGCGCCGCCTCCCTCGCCGCCCCCTACGTCAACGGCGTCGATTTGAACTGCGGGTGCCCGCAGAGCTGGGCGTGTGCGGAGAAGCTGGGCGCTGCGCTGATGGAGCGGCGCGAGGTAGTGCGGGACATGGTGGTAGAGACTCGATCGCGACTCCAACGCGACGGCTGGGCCGTAGACCTGGCTAACTACACCCCGAGCACCGACTTCGCCGGTCGCGGACGTAGCGTCAGCGTGAAGATCCGGGTGCACTCCGACCTACGGCGAACAATGGACTTCATAACGACGGTGCTCGGAGACGAGCACAACCGCAACATCGACTGGCTGACAATCCACCCGCGCACGCGAAGCACACCGAGCAGCATCCCGATCAACCTCGAGGCGCTCGAGATCCTGACCTCGACATTCGGCACGAAGCTTCCTATCCTCGTATCCGGCGACGTTTTCACGCTTTCCACGCTGCCGTATACATCTCACCTGCTAGATCCGCAACCCACGTTCACCACTACAAACTCTGATAATAACAACGAAGATCTCAGTAAATCCCATCTCCCCCATCTCGCAGGTCTAATGTCCGCACGCGCCCTCCTCGCAAACCCGGCCCTCTTCGGCGGACATGACAGCTGTCCCTGGGAAGCCGTCGACGTCTTCATGTCGAACGTAGCGCGGGCGCCCTTACCGCTGAAGCTAAGCGTGCACCACCTGACGGAGATGTGCGGGCCTGGTTTCGGACCCGATCGGAATGCCGCGTTGCTAACGAAGAAGGAGCGCTTGCGGTTAACGGAGATGGGGAATTGGGTTGATGTTATTGATTATATGGATGAGATACGGAGTCAGAGGGGGGAGAAGGGTGGGATTGTGCGGGTTGTTTGAGCGCTTGGTGCTTGACTATGGGATGTGTAGGTAATAAGGATATATGGACATGTGTGCGTAGATATCACGAGAGCAATTACTCGATATATATAGTTAGAACTTTTAATAAATAAACAATCATTATCAAATCACTCGAGGTCAACACAAAACAAAGTAGAAATTACGACCTTTTCATTCATAACAAGCCCCTACGAAGGTAGGTTAACCGAACAAACGAGGTATCAAGTAATCGTCCCCTCATGAAAGGTATGGCTACCTTGCGTACACGATCCCCTCGAACGAAAATGCAAATGCTCTCATGTGTTACATTCTACTGTACAACGCACCACCGTAGAATATGAAAGGTATCGCAGGCCTGACCTAAAAGAACATACGCACCGCCAGCCCCTGGCCTCGGGAAGATCAGAAAAATGGTTTGCCGGGTCCAACTCCCCCCCTTTGCCATGATCCGAGAACGCCGTACAAGAGCTTCGAGGCTCGTTTGATAATGAAACAAAAAGTAAAAAGAGAAATTCTTGTACCGGGTTTGCCTTATGTGTTTGGGTTGATAGACTCTTTGGTTGCTGTAGTCTGAGTGTGCTGGCGAATGTACGGTCATGCAGAGAAGTTGTTCTTAGTAAGGCTGCCTGGAGATATCATCGTCGTGAAAATGGGAGAACCGCGAGAACCTTGCCGACTGCTTATGATTCGAGAAGTTTTCGGTTCTGATGCAGCCGCCCCCAATCCAGATTATTCATCATTCATTTCACTTTCCTCGTCTTCGGATTCTTCAGATTCCTCAGATTCCTCAGATTCCTCGGATACCTCAGATTCTTCATCTTCCGAATCGGCACTTCCTGTTTCTGATCTACAACCGTCAAGGTCCTCTTCATCCGATGAGTATCCCTCCGCTTGCTCAGAAGGTTGATCAGGAGAAAGCATATCTTCTCTTTGGTATGTCGAGATTTTGTCCAGCCAGGCTAATACATGTCTCTATTCATGTACTTCGCCTTCGTCATCATCGTCCGAGCCAAGACGTTGCCGCTTAGGATCTCTGGTTTCTGATGCTAAAGACTCGACTTCCTTTCTCTTGACTCCATTTGTGCCTGAGTGAATAGTTGGATTGTTTGCAGCCGCTTTAAGGACGGAATCAGAATCACCCGGAGCTGTTTGAGCTGCAGATTCGGCTGCGGCCGTATCGATCTCTCTCTCTGCCGCCGCTTCATCCATGCCGTTAACCTTGCCCTTAGGGCTCTGGGTAGCACTATCGGTCCTAGGCGTACCGTTGATGGAACGTGCGCTGATATCCTCCCCTCTTCTTCTAGTATTCTCAAGGATAAACAATGGCGACTGCGAATAAGGGTTCTCCTGTTTGCGCAAGGGATTCTCTACATAGAATTCCTTAAGGACCTGGATGGCTTTTACACAGTGCTCCTCATTGCCGTTGAGCGCCTTCCACCATGCTTCGCCATTTACATCTTCTATTCGCTCTCCAGTAAAGGTACTAGAAAAGAAGATTGCTGCAATGGCAATGTCACGCGCGTCCATGAGAAGTGGTAAAACGGCTAGGCACGAGTCGTTGCAGAATGCCCATGCCGCGTGTCGTAGGTTCTTGTTGTGAATTACTTGTAGCTGGCTGAGAAAGTCGTACAATTTGAAGTGTGGACTCTCAATCATGAGGTCAAAGGTCAGATTCTCTAGCATGACTTCCTCGAACATGAGAATGCTGTCTCGCCATCTCCAATATTCTTTCGACTGTTCGTCTACGATGAGCTTGGCATTCTTTTGGGCGACTTTTGCGACAGCGATGATGATGTCTTTCGTCTTTCGGCAGTTTTCTTCCGTCTTGTTGGCAAGGAAGAGCGCGGTTGCTGCAATGTTCTGTACCAACGTTATGGTTAGCGACGGATTTGATGCAGGACATCTTTGTCCTCTTTTGAACGAGGTGAGGATTAGATCACTCGTCAAGTCCGGGTAAAGTGGAACTTGTCGCTGATTTAATATGTACTGGTCGATTCCTGGTTGACTTACGTAGTGATGAATGCCATGCTTCTCCTCGACCATACTGCATCTCATGAAAAATCGGTGAAAGAAAACCCCTGCAACGTAAAGGGTAGTTTGGGGCAGTTCGAGTAAAATGCCGGCTTGGTAGATGAAGTTGACACCCTTCGCCCGCCTCAGTCGCTCCTCGGCTGGAGATAATCCATCCAGGATGCTCGGGCTGCTAAGAACCTCGTCCGGAGTGAAATACCATTGATTTGACATTGTGAGTGGCGTCTTAGTCGCCGAGCGACTAGGAGAAGGTGCGCCGAGTCGCGATTGTGGTGCAGGTGGAGATGTACGCGACGAATTTGTAGGTGGCGAAGGGACAGGTGGAGGTATGTCGCGTCTCCTTGTAGGTGATTTGGAAGTATTGTTCGCGTTACTACTGGTAGGAGGCGCGGTAGGAAGTTGGTAAGGTTCCCGGTAAGGAGGTCGGTATCGGTCGATACTCGCCATGACGTTATGGGAAGGGAGAAAAAGGAAAAAGGTAGAAGAATGCGATCGTGAGCTTTCGCGACGGTTGGCAGTTGGCAGCTGGCAATCGATACTTTAGGTAAGGTGGGTCATCTGGTTAGGTATCTAAGTATCGTTCATCGATAAGACTGGGCAGGGTCATTTCCTTTACTGCCTTTTAGATAAATTTGAAGTCGAAGATGTTAGTCCCAAGTAAGAAGAAGTGGTATAAAGAGTAAACCTAAAGTTTATATGATTGAATGGCCGTTCCGAATGATTGGCATCACTTTCCTTTGAAGTGTTACTTCCCTCTCTACAGAAGGCGCATTCAAAACATTTTGCCATAGGCAGATCAATACCAGCTGGCGGCGGATCCGCTCACAGCTGTCACACAGCTGTTGACTGCTGGCTTTGATCCACTAGACAGTTGCAGACACTCATAACAACAGTTGGCTTGCAGCTGTGGCCCACTTCAATGCCAGCTGTTGCCGATTTACCTATGGCAAAATGTTTTGAATGCGCCTTCTGTATCGGATTCACAGTTACACCCTAAGGTGTGGGTCTATATAGTAGCTTAACCTTAAGTGCTATAGTCGGGTGTGATTGGTCACATGTACCCTTGTACCTATGCAGCTTCAAGCTTCACATAGCACTGTGGATCGTGATAGTATACAACTCCTTTCTCCTTTTCAGTATGGCAACCATATAAATATATTGGGTATCTTCCGAGTTGTTGCCATCCCTTCACCTTTAATTTGCCATGTATATCCTATTAAACTCCTTCACCATCATTCCGACCCCACAACTTCACAGTTCTATCATGTCCACCACTAACGATCCATCTCCCATCTCTGCTAATATCCACACTTGCCACTGGCCCTGTATGCCCTTCGAGAGTTTGTATAAGGGTCCAGTCATCTGCAGAAAAGACGTTGACCTTGCGATCAAATCCGCTAGAAGCGAAGAACGTGCTTGACTTCTTAGGAAGTTGATTCCCCTTTTCGTCGAGCCCCGGAGAGCTACCGGTGAGGGGGTCGTCTAACCCTTTATACCACCTGAGATCTGAGACTGCGCTAGTATGGGCTCCAATTCCACCTGTTCTCTGGACTTTCCTTACGTCCCAGCACTTGATCCAGCCGTCTGCTGAACCGCTAAGAACCCGATAGCCGTCCGAACCCCAATCAAGGCCGTGGATGGGTTTGATGTGTCCATCTCCGTGACCGTCTAAGATCATAACTGTTCTTCCAGATCTCAGGTCCCATATCCTACCAATGCTATCTAGGCCTCCACTAGCGAGTAGCGATCCGTCTGTATTGAAACTAATAGCGAATACGCCTCTTGAATGACCTTCTTGTAGTAACAATTCTGTGGTTGACTCGACATCCCACAAGCGCCATGTAGTATCTTCTGAAGCTGACGCAAGATATCGGCCGGAAGGGTGGAACTCAACTCGACATACTCGTTGACCATGTCCCTCAAGTGTCGAGAGCGGCGTGTCTTTATTTAGTGACCAAAGATTTACCTGGCCTTCGGCACCGCCCGAAGCAAGGTTAACCGCATCTGGTGACACGTTGCTCTCAGAAAGGGTCGAACCAGGGAACCAGGATATACCGCTCACTCTGTTCGTATGTCCTCGTAACGTCATCTTCTCTTGTAGTGTTGGTATTTCGATCAGCTTAATAGAACCTCCCCAATTTCCCGCAGCGACAAGTCCACCGTTGGGGGATATCCTCGTCATGCTAACATTCCTATCTCCTGCCGTCTGGGAGCCTTGGAGTTCGAACGCTTGTAGGCGCTCTTTGATCTGTTTGCGAAACTTGACGTGCGTACGTAGAGGTATCGATGCTTCCTCTTTCTGGAATGCCAACCTTCGTTTCGCCCGGGGTAGAGAAAAGGTTGCAATATCTTGCCGCGCTTTTAACAATTCATCACTGCCTGTTGTGTAGAATTCTTCTTCCTGATCTTCCTGGCCATCCTCTGGAACATCCTCCATGTCTACATCGGGCGATTCTCCTGGTGCCTGCTCTGCTTGTAAAGTCAAAAGTTCCCTTAATCTATCTCGTCTATCCGCCGGGCCTTCACCAAATAGAGTGATGGGCTCTCCAAGCTCTCGTAGTCTGGCACGTACTCGGCCATCATCTGTTGGTACCGCCATCGTCGCAGCTCGTCTCTTACGCTCGAATTGGGACAATATGGCGGAGGCCTTCTCCGGGGCGATTCCGGCGGATGTTGAAGGAATTTCATAGTCGCGATCTTCCGGGACTTGGTCTAATGTCATACCATGATCCTACAGATAACAAATATTAGTTCCCACGCGTTGTAGCAAAATGCCTGGGGGCATGTGAGCTTACCTCCTCTGCTTCCTCAACATATGCTTGCCGCGACGGGTGTATCATGGTGGGCAATCTTGACCACAAGTAAGACTCTTAAAATTTGGTGGTGCTTTCAGAATTTCTTGGCGAGTTTTGTAGTATTTCTCAACTCGAAACAAGGCAACTTTGAATAGAATGCAGCTTTTTTTCCGCGAAGCTACGAGACTAAGTCGCGCCGGGATGAGAATGGTAAAAGTGGATAGGTACAGACAAGGTGGTCAAAGCTCGGCTATATCCTTGACTTTTTTAAGGTTTAGGTAGGTACCTAGGTACATATGTACGAAGTAATTCTTGTAGAGTATCAAATTCATTAGGAACTTGGACACCGTCGATATTTCCTCGCCCATACATTTATACCTGTTCCTACAGCAGCTCTTGTTCATTAAGAAGACTTTATAATACATTTTGGCGATGAAGCTGCCACTATGCATGCCATGAACACTTATAGGATTGACAATGAGATACAATAGACTCCGAAGAAAATACAAAATGAACTGTTAACCATATTGTTCACCCTTCATGGCACGAACAAAACTCATATCTCTCTTATAAAGCTCTGTAAAACCCACGCTTTTGCTGGTCATGTCTAGGAGTTAAAAGAACCCGGTCTAATAATTAAAGAGAGATCTGAGTTGGAAACATCTCATCCGATCCGATCGCACGCTGCACGTAACATCTTCCTTTAGGGGCATCAACGGAATGTTACCCAACCTGCCCAACTCAATTGCGAGCATCGAGTCCCGAGTAATATTACTTCTTAAAGCAAGATTAACATGTGATTCAAAGTTGTAAGTTGGGCGTTAGAAAGCAAGAAGCTCATGAGTAGGTAGATAAGTACCTATGGATAAGTTCACCCTTAAATATTTATTCATAACAACAGTTCGAATTCAAGTCGTTGGATCCATTTCTAAGGCGGTCATCTGAGTTAAATAGGAAACCTGAGGGCTGCAGGTGATAATTTATCCAGTTTTGCTTTCCAGAAACAACGAGTAATCCTTGAGAAATCATTGATCATCAACGCGTACTTCGTACTATTAGGTACGCATTATATTATCTTAGTATAAATGGAGTCCTCTGAGCATTGAACCCGCGTTTAATAGTTGTTGAAGTATTCCACTGGGTAAACAATCGTATGTTGCCTATTGAATACGAGAGCCAATACATGCATTAAAATATGACGGCGGCACAGTAACTCCGATATTTGGAGAGCGGTGTATCTAAGTCATGCAAGTTTATGAATTATATGCTTGGCATTTTACAAATGAAATCAATATACAATTTTTATTTACTATTATCGCATTCACATTTCGATCTAAATTCCTCAGAAGAAAAGATATCGATGTTCGCATGCTGTTAGGTTTTCACGTGGTAAAGAGTCAGGGTATGAATGGAATGAAGTCATTCTTTGATGACAGGGCAGGTCCTGGGCTGGTTGCGTTCCTTGATTTTGGTATGTATTCCGCGCCAACTCATTGGTTACAGCGAACACATGTGCCTGATTGTCAGCTGTAGCGGCTAATCACGGGAGCGCGGGGAATGGTTAGGCACTTAGAGTGCTTTAACTGCCTGAAAAGGCCCTAAAGTCCGCCTAACCGGGCAGCCCTAACAAGGGACTTGACCATCTCCAGAGGGCTACACAGCTGAAAATAGAAGGAGCCCAAAATAATTGGACCCTAAGGTTAAGGTTAGCCTGTGGAATTAAGATCCGCTCGCTACACCCCACCCTAAATCCCAGAAAAAACTTTCTGGTACAGTCGCATAATTAAAAGAAAGTGGTGGCCTGTTCTTACATTTTTGATTCCTTCCCTTCCTTTTCATCCACCATTAGGTGAACCAATTTTCGACCGTTCAACAACCCAAAAACGACTTATAGTAAACCTACGCGATTGCAAATGCATCAGCAAAACGATTCCGACCGATTTTCTTCATCTACAGACTGCCACCAGATGACTTCGACCCTTCAACCAGTACACTCTGATTATCTTCGCGAAGCACGCTCTGACGCCGAGCGACGACGCGGAACCCGCCTACCTTGAATCGGGGCGGGTTGAAAGAGTCGCGTCGACGGAAGGCTCTATTTTTTTAAAAATCCTTTTAATTAGGGTATTTTACTTGAGATAAACACGGTATAAAGTATAAGGAGGATAAAGAGGAGGGATTAGAAATCATGTTACCACCAGCCGCCCCAGCGCTTACAACCGTTCGCGGTTTCGCACCGACCCCAATTATGTCCGGCGACGACGACTCCGACCATTGTCAGACACCACCTTTGTCTGCGCGACGCGGCCGAACCCCTCGTATCGACGATGTTGTTAGCGCTAACTGTAGTCCCGTTTTGCGCGGCAGTCATTCGCCTGCTATCAGTGGTATCGCCAAGCTGCGCTTGCAACTCGACCCTCTCAACCTAGGCGACTCACGTGCCAGCACGATGTGCCGAACTCGAAGCGCCAGTCGACAGCGTGTCATGAGCGGATTCACCAGTCATACAGGTCGTAGCGACGACGAAATTTCGGAGGCCGGATCGACCAGTTATGAGGTTGCGCTAGAGAACGACTTCGTTAGCGAAAGTGTACGAGAGAAGCGCTATGGTGCGATCGAAGGTGGATTAGTGCCTCGAAAGACGCAGTCTGAGGACTTCGAGCCCCTCCGTTGTCTCGGAAAGGGCACTTACGGCACCGTTCTTCTCGTCAAGCAGCGCACGACCGGCCGATTATACGCGCAGAAACAATTCAAGAAAGCCTCGGTAGTGGTTCACAAGAAACTGGTCGAGCAAACAAAGACGGAGCGACAAATTCTCGAGTCTGTCAATAGACATCCCTTTGTCGTCAAGCTGTTCTATGCTTTCCAAGATCAAGAGAAGTTGTACCTCATCCTCGAGTATGGACAGGGTGGAGAGCTATTCACCCATCTCAACACCGAGAAGATGTTCCCCGAACCAGTTGCTGCCTTCTATATGGCTGAGATGGTACTTGCCCTGTCTCATCTTCACGATACGCTCGGCGTAGTTTACAGAGATTTGAAACCCGAGAATTGCCTACTAGATGCTCAAGGTCACCTTCTGCTAACCGATTTTGGCCTGTCCAAAGTTTCGGTAGAGGATGACGATGGCTGCAAGTCTATACTCGGAACTGTTGAGTATATGGCACCCGAAGTCGTTCAAGGCCAGAAATACGGCAAGGCGGTCGACTGGTGGTCGTTCGGTGCGTTGGGTTACGACCTTATGACGGGTAACCCACCCTTCCGTGGCGGCAACCACGCCAAGATCCAGAGCAACATCGTCAAGCAGAAGCTCGTCTTGCCTTACTTTCTAGGTCCCGATGCCAAGGACCTGCTTACGCGGCTTTTGAAGAAGGATCCCGCCAAGCGCCTAGGTTCTCATATGCCCAAAGATCTCCAGATCATCAAGAAGCACAGATTCTTCCGGAAGATCGACTGGAAGAAACTTGCCGCCAGGGAGTTGGAGGCGCCGATTCAACCAATGATCACGGACCCGGAACTTGCGGAGAACTTCGCACCGGAATTTACCGAGCTATGTTTGAGCCCTATCGTCGCCAGGGATCCCTGGAACGAATTCTCGCCAAAGGATGGCTTTAAGGAAGACCCCTTCGGCGGATTTAGTTTCGTGGCTTCCAACAGCCTTCTAGAGACCAACGGTTTTATGTGTGCCGAAGCATAGAGATTCCTCGATGGAGCATATGGTTACGGATTCAGTGCAGCAATATGGTTATAGAGCGATTCTAAGCCGGTTTGCATGCGATTTTAGAGGGTTTGGCGACGATGATAGGTTTCGGGACCACCCGCAGTGATTGAAATCACGATTTTAGACTAATAGACCGATTTGGGACGATTCATTAATAGAAGCAATGCTCAGAGGCTGTCGAGCAGCCAAGAACTACCCTTGCTATTCCCCCGTTTATGATAATATCCCAACACGGATTCGTGATCGAGAGGCCTCCGCTGCTGCTAGATTTCTCAAACAATACTAGGTATTCTGCGCCTTCTACAGCATATCTACTAGAAGCATTTGATCTAGTGTTTGCCGAATGGTTAGGATATGTCCAACTCATTCAGGGACGCGCAAGTGCACAGCCCCGAATGGCATGAGATACCACACCGCTGCAGATTCCACCAACCAAGGAGATTTTCCGAAACGGATAATGATGTTAACTATGCATTTCTCCTCATGGTAAGAGCAATTACTAATATCTTAAGTAATAACTGCATAGCCGATCCTCAGTCCAGTCTCTTGAAGGTAAAGATCCGTGGAGACAGGTATTTCTCCGCACATATATTCTATCCTATTAAGTACCCAGTCAACATATCTACGACGAGTAAAGTTAATCGAATGCCTCAAGCTTCCAGCAGCCCGGGATGGCATTGCACATGGAACAACACCCCCGTACGTCTTTTCCCTTGGCATACATGATGACACCACAACCCTACAGCAAGTGAACGACTGACGTTACAGTACAGCTTGATTATCATATCAACCAATATCTTACCTACGGCAATGGATACCTACTGTAACTAGTGGTTATCACATAATATTTGACCACATATAGTGCTGCACAAGTCTTTTCGAGTAGGAAGACCGCACATGTCATTATGCCAAAGAAATACGTGGAGGTTAAATTAGCCTCTAACAGAAAACGGAGATAAATCAACTAACAAGTGGCTGTACTAACTTCACTTCGCGTATGCCCAGATTTGGCAATTCTATTTACGGATATTTCCGGTCTTATAGTTATACCCGTCTGGCTGAGCACATCCCTAACCCATCATCAATATCGGTTATCTCTGTACGGTACTTCATCTCGTAGAAGCGTCAGCTGTCGATCCCCCAGATTCCAAGCCGCCGGTGTTCTTGGACAGAATGTGCTGTCACGGTGTTGTCGATAAAGAGGAGATGATACACCACAAGCGAGGGCCGAGACAAGAGTACAAACCCGCCTAGCAGGCGAATTGGAGCGTCATTTGTATACAGAGCCTCATTTTCATTCTCGTGCTGGTATTACAGTAAACACATGTTTCTCGTCAAGAACGGTGCACCGATTACTCATGAATGGATGTTGAGATACCTACTCGTATTACATCTGACGCCAGAAAGCTAGATAGATGATTGTTTCTTATATGCCGTCATAACCGCCTTAGTAACTACGTGGATGTCATTGGCGCTTGGCACAGTTTAAGTTGAGTGTGTAACTCGGTCCGAGCAATACTCAGGTTATAATTCTGTCGCGCGCAGGTCTTCCATGTTCACAAATAGGTACCCATGCACATCATAATATGCCTACCTACCAGGTAGTCCCTCTTTGAACCAGACGAATTCGGAAGCTCTTAAAAAAGCGACCCCAACTTCCCAGGCAGCAACAAAATACCTAAGATAGACAAGTGACAAAACCTCCATCCTGAAACAGGACAGAGATCTACGCACGAAACCCATACCACATATCGAATCTAGCTGCTGACAAAAACACCCGCCCTAAAAATGGAAATGCTAAGACCCCACGCCAGAATACATACGGAAGGGAACCCTGCCGTGCGTGTGTGCGAGAGGATATGATTCGGTACCGTTGAGGCCCAATTGACGAATCAGCACAACTGCGATTCTAATAAGGGCGGCAGGTTGGGTTACGTCGGGTTGTCTTCCCACTGCCGGGAAACCAACCTAGTACATACCTGCTTTGCTCAAAGCCCAACACAACACAAATTAAACGTACTTCTGATAGCAGCGATGCAGGCTGCCAAGTTGCACAGCCTTGAAACCAAGCATCTCGGCTGCGACCATGCATCGGGTCTTGGCGAGCCGCGGGGGAATAGGTAGGTAGACAGATAGGTACATCCATACCTAGATGTCGTCAGCAACGGCGAGGTGCTTCCCCTCCAAACGCAAGTCTGGGGATAATGCCAGCTCCTTGGACTCTGGGATCCCGATAGCTACCTGCCATTGGGGGTACGGGGTGACATGGTGAAATGGATCGACAGCGTTTGCATTGCATAGCCTGCCTCCAAGTTCCGTCTGAATCAGTCTGGGACGAGGATATGTCATTGGAGATCCCGGATTTCACTTGTGTAGATGCGAGAGCATTGATCTCGTTGGCCGAGACACTATAGATGGGAAAGGCCCGGCGCTGCCTAGATAATACGATGGAAGCGTCCCAAGCCGCTAAGGGGATACTGCCCAACGTTGAAATATGTATAGCGATACAGTAAGTGTGTTGATAGACTTGGGTGATAAGCCGCAGATCAATGTATCTACGGCTTTGGTGTGTACAAGGGGACCAAGACTATGATCCTGGGTCTTCTAGACCTTCACTTTCCTCTATTATGACATGCATAGACAAGGGAGACCACTACCGTTTCTGATATCAGTCTATATATAACCTCCTTTCCCACTCACTAATTCCCGTCTTACCTACCTAGGTGTGTCTGCTCACTTACGGATAAAGCTATATCGACCTTGAGGACCTAGCAGAATTTGACTTTCACTCAGCGCAACTCCAAAACGTTAAAACGGTATACGCGTTCGACGCCGAGGGCCGCATAGTCGTCGCACGAGCACGATTACATCATCGAGGCGTCCGAGGGGTGGAGGAGAAAGATCTGTGTGGTGAGACAGAGAAGCTTTGCGGAGCATAACGATCGAGTTTATAACTTAAAAATACCCGTCGACGCATAATCTGAGACGGTGACGCGGAAGTCTACCTCCTTAATTCCCCCAAGGACGAAAATTTCGGGCGCAGAATCCGTCGGTTTCGTTGCGAGATCCAACATTGTCGGCTACGTCTTATACGAAAAGCATAGTGAATAGAGAAGCACTCGAGATGATTGTCTCGTACTTGGCCTCCGCGGCGCTGTGTAAGTGATACCAAGTCTCCAGAAACACCAATACTTCGAGTCGCCAAAACAATCTCACGCGGTCGTTGAGAAACCAGAAGACTAACACCCAACACAGCCGCGATATTCTACAGTAGCCTCGCCTCCGCCGAACCGGTGCAATACTGCCCAGTAGAAGACATATGCTACCAAGTAGCAGTGCCGACATCCTCCGCCGATTCGAACGGGGGCAACATCTACCTACAGCTACGCGCACCAACATCATACTCATGGGTAGCCTTCGGAACAGGGTCCGCAATGGCAGACTCGAACATCTTCGTGATGTACTCATCCGGCACGGGGAACGTAACCGTATCAGCGCGCGCCGGGACAGGACACACGATGCCGCGACACAACGCGATGATCCAGCTGGAGCTTCTCGGGGGCAGCGGGCTGACGAACAACGACGGGACGATGATCGCGAACCTGCGGTGCGGGAACTGCGGGTCGTGGCCGGGCGGGTCCGTAAGCCTGTCCTCGCAATCGGCGTCGTGGATCGCCGCGTGGAAGGAGGGGGCTGCGATCGACAGCACCGACACCGACGCCGCGATCCGGTACCACGACGCGCATGACGCATGGACGTTCGATCTGACGCAGGGCGTGGTGACTGATGACTCGAACCCGTTCTTAGGAGTCCGGCAGTTCGATAATAATAACCGGGGTGTGGGCCGGGGTAGTTTCGCGGACCCGCGGACGTTGGTTCTGGGACACGGCATCATTATGGCCGTCGTCATGGTGCTTCTGTATCCCCTGGGCTCGTCGCTTATGCCGCTTTTCGGGAAATGGATTCTGCACGCCTCGTGGCAGTTCCTGGCTTTCCTGCTCATGTGGGCTGGGTTTGGGTTGGGTATTGTGGCTTCGCAGCGCATTCGCCTTGTACGTTTTATTCTTGATTTGAATCCACACGCCCCATTGCCCCTTTCTTTAAAGTGACCATGTAGATTGAAGAATAAGGTCTAACGAGTTAAACCAAACAGGACTTCAACTCAACACACACGCTCCTAGGCACGGTCGTCGTCTGTCTGATGGTCGTACAGCCCGTGCTTGGCTGGGTGCACCACAGATACTTCGTCAAGAACCAAACCCGAGGTCTAGTGTCGCACGCTCATATCTGGTACGGCCGAGCTCTGCTCATCATGGGCGTAGTGAATGGCGGGCTCGGTCTGCAGCTAGCAGACGCCTCCCAGACCTTCGTGATCGCGTACTCGGTCGTTGCTGGCATTATGTTCGCTGTCTACATCGCTGCCGCCGTGTTCGGTGAATTCCGACGTCGCAGACGCATTGAACAAGAGAAGAGTTTCTGATCTGATCACTTCTGATCCGGGTTAAGGTGTGTTGGGGATATGAGAGATATATGGGATGGTGGGGATACTTATAAACTTCTTGGGTGTTTAGATAGGGGTTGGACTTGCAAAAGAAATGGGTAGGGTATACACATACACACGAGAGACTGGATATCACTTACCTATCCATGTCCTGTCTTTATCGGTCTAGCTTAACGACCTGGGTTTATGTTCCATGAGGTTGTTATGGGTTACGTTATTATATTTTAGATAATATTGCTTTAATGATACTCGACGATTCATGTAGTTGACTTATACCCGATGTGTAGACTCTTGAAATTGGGTAAAGATTCAGGGTGGTGATTGCTAGGGATATCACGTGAACCGTGAATCAATACTGAGTGCTCAGGTAGGTACAATACCTTTTGGATTGGCCATCGTCCACGGTCCATTTCGTAATAATAGATATGTATCGGCTAATACGTAATATAGCGTATTATCCATCATATGTTGAACAGGAATTAGAAGGTCCAGTAGAAAAAGTCAGTGAGTCCAAGGTTATGCCAAAGCCTTCCAGAGATCTGATTGTGGAGGATATAAGATAAGATACAAAGTACATAGGATTCAAAGGTCAAAGTGCAAAAATCACGTGACCAGTCGGAGCACCGCTACTCCACCTTCGCAGCTTCCCGCGCTAAACAATTGAACAATGGAAAGCGGCAAAAGGAAAAACCTCAAATCATAAACGTCTCTCAGGTCTAAAATCCCCCCCATCTCTACATACCACCAACCACACACCCTCAATCTCCCACAAACCTCAATTGAGCATCCCTCACAGACCGACATCATGCTCTCTCAATTAAGGGCTTCAGTAAGTACCTCTCTACATTATTCCGCACAATCTTGGCGAAACAAACAGGTGGAGAGGGGAATAATCGCTAACTCCGGCTTTTTTTCTTTTTTTCTCAGACTGCTCGATCGGCCACCTCGGCCATCACCCGTGTCGTCAGGATAAACGCCGCCAGAACATTTATCGCTCCTACAGTTTCGCGACGAGGTAAGACTTCGAAATTTCTCTTTTACCTTATTATGTGCCGAAGTGGATTCCGAAGGCAATTGGGTGGTACGATTGGACGATCGATGTTGGGGACTCTTGGAAACATATGACGGCATGGGCGGGATGAAGAGATATCCAGCTGGATACCCGCATCGATGCTCGCTAGATGTTTGCGATAGTCTCGGGGAACATAAGTTGAAGAGATTGTCGTATTCGCAATCTTTCTTCCGAGTCCCTTCCCTTCTACCGATCTCGAATCAACCACCTCCGCACCTAGAAGCCAAGGTTAAAAATCCAATATATAAACTCATACTAACCCTTCTCAACAGCCGACTTCGTCCAAGAGCTCTACCTCAAAGAACTAAAGGCCTACAAGCCTACGCCGATTAAGGACTCTGACGCCGTCGGCCAAGTCCAAACTTTCACAGCACCTAAGACCCCCAAGTCTCCCGAAGAGGCCGATCTCGCTAGCAGCCTAAAGGAATACGAAAGCATGGCCGTTGAGGTTGAAGGTAACGAGGGTGTCACCGCCTCAACGCCTGCTGTCGTTGAAGATTGGCTTGTCGAGGAAGAGGACGAAGAGCCTGCCCACCATTAGACGTGAATTATGATAAGATAGGATATGAACAAAACCGCTCAGCGGAAAGAGATACCGAGAAGAGAAGACACGCGAGAGAGCCTAGCGTTTAGCCATCCGTCTGAGGAAGAAGAGGAAGAGGGAGAAAGAGGAGGTTGGGGAGAGTAATTATGACTTGTACATTTATTCCTAGGATCGCCGTTGCCGAATCATAAAAGATCCTTCGTTCCGAAAGAACAATCTCCACTATCTTTGTGCGTAATATCTCAATATGACTTACAGTATACCCGATCACCTACTACGAACTTCACGTACATTCCCCGGAATCCGTCCTAGGGCCCTGTTTCCTAGACAACCATATCAATATTGTATAAACCAGAACAAGTCAACTCCGACGTCGGTGCTGAAGGGTCTACTGTTAGATAATCCTATCACCAGCGTTTACCAAGCCGATTACTCGATACATGAGTTTATCTCGATGCCGGCCTAATAATTGCAGGAGTAGCACTGTTATCCGAGACGATCCAAATCTCTCTATCCGGGATTAAAGTATATGGTGATAAAGCTCTTCACTAAACCACCAATGCCGAGTTACTGATAGGCCGAACTCCCATTCAATCAACCCCCCAACGTATCAGACATCCATATCCATTGGCAAAGCAGATACGACTTTGTGTGCTAAAGCCTAGATGACCTTGTATAAGGATTGTATAATATCAAACAACCAGCTTCTCCAATCAGAGCTGAATCATCCACTAAACATACTAGGTACCTAGGTAAGTTACAATTAACTAAATCGAATTCTTTAGATATATCCAGCTAGTTCTTCAAGACACTCCCAAATCCCTATGTCATTCATTCACCGCCTATCCCAAACCACCAGTCAAGCATTCGAACACCTACCTAACAGTAATCAACCAATACCCAAGCCAGACGCCCACTCACCGCCACCAACACACCTAAGCATTTACCTACCATATACCTAGCCACCTAGGTAAGTTAAACGCACATACACGCCATCCATCGCCACCACACAATACCTACTTACATACGCAGCACCTAGCAATCCCAAACAATAAAACCCTAGCTTACCCGGAAATACACACCAAATAGGATTCCCTAACGGGGGGAGGGGCGGACGTAAGCTCTCTTCCCCGGCGTCGTTACACTGACCCTCTTTAGCTAAATCCACGCACACCGTCTCTCGAACGCACGTAAGCACGGAGAGCAAGATTCGGGAAGGTTTCTAATTAGCTAGGTAGGTACTTCAGTATGTATAATGTATGTATGTATTTCCGGGGTCTTTTCACACCGGCCTCATATGCATATTATTCGTTCCCCCCTTTTTCAGGCGTTGTTACATACTTTCCACCTTTCCCCTTCCCTCAAACCGGGGAAGGGGTTTCTTCTGGGGTAGGATTTATAAGGTAGGATATACATACACTGCTTAGGGGGTTGGGATGTATGTGTAGGTATAAGCACAAGAGAGAAAAATCAGGAGTGGCTAATGGCTAGTAGCTAGTGGCGTGAGAGCTGAGCTATCCTCCGCTGGTCTTATGTACCTACTTCGCGGCGATGCTCCTGTAAGGGGGATATCCCAACATATATGACGTAATACTTTGCTTCTTGAATCTCATTCAGTCAGCTTGCCAGTTTTCTCTATTTCTATACATTCGAGTACGTAAGAATCCAATTGCCAGCATGTTAGGTAAGAAGGTCGATTACTTAAATTATTAGATCATTTGAGTAATGTTTTCTCGTATTATAAAGCTGAAGGAAGGAGAGCAAGACAATCCCGTATTACAGGAAACAGGAGTAAAAGCGAAGGAACCTTAAAGCAAGCAAAATATCTCCTGTTACGTAGTGACACACCCGTCACCCTAAATATCCCTAAGCTTACATATATCCCAAATCTCAAAGAGATCGTAAGATAATTACCAGCCAGTTGGAACTTGGGAAGAGCATCTGCTCGCATATGCACCCCTTAGTCCACGCAGGAGAAAGTCTAGAACGCTACGCGAACAAATCACATCGCATGCCGAGAGAAGATCTCAAGTCGAGTAATCATAAGCAACCTAAGTAATTTTATTTCACTTTTCGTCTCTAGCTTCTCATTGGGAAAGGCTGAACTTCGTCAGTGTACGTAGATGTACCTATGTAACAAGCGGCGTCCGCCTGCCTAGCCTCTCCCTACGACGCATGGACCCATGCCTCGAGAATACAAGAGAAAATGATCGGGTATAGCAAAGCGAGGTAAACCAGAATCCAAGCGAATCGGTACATGACTGCAAAGGATCTAGCTAACTAAATCAGACGGCCTCCAATGTTTGCTCGTCTCGGCGTAAGCATATTCATACCGTAAAATCCGGCAAGGATTACCAATCTGCTTCATACCGACCACGACCACGACCTCGACAACGGACGAGATTGTCCGCGCGGAGAAGGGCTACGCCGCCCGTCGGCAGTAAACGCTTCGCTATCAGAAGTCTCCGCGTATGAATTTCAAACTGAAAAGTGACAAAGGGGCAAGACCATGTGATCTGTACTGATCCTTCATGACGTAAAATGGGTAATGGGTTAGATATTTCCGAAAGAATCCCGTAGCCTCGTGTACGTAAAGTGTCATGATTCCAGACTATTTGCAACTACCAAACGCCCGACCACCCCGTAGTGACTAATTAACTTCTGCCAACTGTCACCTCATGCAGTATGCCGCCCTTATGCAATAATGCCACGGACAGGATTTTAGAAGAATTGCAGAAACTGTCGTGAATGCTGAGAACGATCGTGCGGGTTCATCCTCATTGTCGTAAGGCTCCAAAATAAACAAGAAAAAAACTCCGTGTCATATGTCAAAGTGGGAATCGCCAAAAGGCTCGTCGTTATTCCCAGTCTTGACGATCCCACTCATCCTGTTGGCCTTCCGGAGATCGAGATCTTCGAGATCGTCCCAGTCGTTATCTCGGTGATCAGCGTCGTCCATCTCCTCGTCAACGTATCGTCCTCTCATATGGTCATCCAATGAACTCTCATCTACAAACGTAAAACCCTGGAAATTCGCCTGTGTAGTCGGGGACAACGGTGTTGACGTCGCAAACCCAGTGGCTAACTGCTGAGCACGTTCGTTCAGCGAGCCATTCGTATTCAACGCGTTGGTGAATTCGGGGTCAAAGTAGGAGACGTCGGTTTCGGACTTCAACTTCGGCTTAAAGGGCGGGGTGATGAGTTTCTTGGCCAAAACGTCCCAGTCGACATCCCCGAAGAATGCATGTCTCTTCAGCTCCTCGGCATCATCAATGGCGCCTAGCCGGTGTTTCGGATTTCTGTTCAGGAGACCCTTGACGAAGTTCCTACCTTCCTGCGAAAGTGTGTCTCGGGGGAATCGCACCTTACCGAACGCGATGTTCTTGTACATCTGCTGCGTATCCTCGGCGTAAAAGGGGCTCCACCCACAACACATCTCGAAAACAAGGACACCGAGTGACCAGAAATCTACCATCTTGGTGTATCCGGCCTCGTCCAACAATACCTCCGGAGCTAAGTATTCCGTGGTTCCGCAAAACGTATTTGTTGTGTCGTTTTGGGTCAGATTCGCCTTGGACAGGCCAAAATCGCAAAGGGCTATGTGGCCATTGGCATCGAGTAAGATATTCTCAGGCTTGAGATCTCGGTAGACGATGTCGTTGTTGTGGAGATGTTGAATTGCGAGAATAAGCTCTGCGATGTAAAACTTGGCTCGCTTCTCATCGAATCGGCCTTCTTTCTGGAGATGCCAGAAAAGCTCGCCGCCTGACATATAGTCGGTGACGAGGAAAAGGTCATTCTGAGTCTGGAAAGAGAATTTCAAGCCTACGATGAACGGGGATTCCGACATGGCTGTCCTTACGAGGATGTTCCGCTCTCCGACCGTGTGCGCCACCTCTTTCTTCTGGACGATGACCTTCTTCGACAATACTTTCATGGCGTATATCCGGCCAGTATCCTTCTTCCGAACTTGGTAAACTTGACCGAACGTACCCTTCCCAATCAAACGTAGAATCTGGAAATCGTCGGGACCGTAATGCTTCTTCTCGGTTCGCTGGTAGATCGCCTCGACAAATATTTCACCGGTGGGCGTCTTGTCGGGAGTCGTGTCGAGATTTCCTCTTAACGAGTACCAGCCTCGCACTGGCTCATCTTTACCAGGGATAATCGCCTGGAAATCAACGTGGCCCAAGAAGTCTTCTCCTTGGGTGCCGTGGTCATAAATCGAAATGTCCACTAGCATGTCTGAATCAACAACATCACTACCAAAGTTAGTCGATGTGTCCGAGGGGACCCAATCGATCTACGGCACTTACAATACTGCTTCGGCATCCCACTTAGGACTTGTAAACGATCTTCGCGGACGATTGCGGAATGTGTTATAGTCGGTGATGCTGGTGTTGCTGCTCTGGCGACTACGCATAGGTATCGCCATCGAACGGCCTTGGTCGCTGCTTTGGCGCTGTATGGGAATCCCGCCAATGGGGACCGGCGCGGGTGCTGCTGACTCGTCTTCGTCCTCGAAAGTCCGTGGTCCATGCGAGATCAACTCGCTTCTCTGGAACACGGCAACAACGTAGGGATCGCGGCTCTTCCGCAACCCTCTCGCCTCCAAGATCTTGATAGTAAGCTTGCCTCTCTGTGGTGGCGCTTGCGCACCGCTACTCGCAGATGAGACTGGCGTCTGCCTCCCACCCGTATCCATTCCATCTCCACTAAGCTTCGAAGGCGACCTTTCTTCTGCGTGTGACGAGTGGGTAGCCGAGAGCGTTCTGGTAGGGGTCGGGGGGCCGCTCTTTTTCGTCCCAACATCTGTTAGCTTCTTGAGTCGATCAATCGAGGCGGACTGAGATAGAAAACTGCCGGCATCGCCTGCAGGGGGCTGCGCGTCGGAAGGAGAACTTGGTGTTGTTGAAAATGCACGATCGGTAGGGATAGAAAGATGGCTCGCAAGGACATTAGACGTTGTGACGATGCTCGTAAGAGGGGATGCTAAAGTGGCTCTCCGAACTTTGAGCTGAGAAAGGTCCGAGCCGCTCTTGGTGTTCAGAGAAGATCGATTCGATGGGCCGCTAGTAGCCCCGTCGGAATCTCCACTCGCATCTGACAACTTGACTCCCCTCTCCGACGGTGTTTGTGAACAAGGAGGCGTAGGGTAAGGGTGGATATCGGAAGCTGACTGTTGCGAGGACTGTACTTTTGCCAGGGGTTCGATCCTCTCATGTGAAAGGAGAGGCGAAGAATCAGGCGTGACGTCCTTGCCGCTCAATTCCGATTCCGGGCTCGGCAGTTGCTCAGGTACGATGTGCGAATCCTTCTCTTCCTGGGGACAGGTAGGGTGTGTCGACTCAGTCTCAGGTGCTCGGGAAGAAGAAGAGAGACCAAGTGAACAAGGTAGAGAGGTGCAACTAACCTGACCAAAGTAGCTCATAATACCCGGTAGTCTCTTGTCGTGAAGATCAGGCTGAGGCGTAGCGATGCCAGATCTCGGAGTATCGTAACCAATTTGGTCAGTGCCATCGTCCTCCGCGGTCGATGTTCTGCTCGGCATGTTAATTGCGATTATAAACCCAGATGTCAAATTTAGAAGCTATGTAGATGTTCGCCAAGCAAGGAAGTAGGGGTTATGTGTGTGGGTCAAGTAGAGCTAGCGGATGATGCATCAACAAGATCAAGATACGGGCATGATGAGAAGAGTGCAGAGAGGGTGAGGAAGGGGTTCTTGAAGAGATGACATTTCGAATTAGAACATGTCTAATGAATGTTGCCGCAAGGAAGTCCAATGGTTCTGTAATGTATCCAGGTATCCATAGACGCAAGATGGCGGCCGAGGCGGAAGGCAGGAAACGGGAGGGCAGGTGGTAGAAATGCAAAATTTCACGAGCGATTTCGTCCAGCCGAACCCCATGCAGGTTTCGTAGCGACCACCCATGACACTCGCCATGTGGTAACCTAGAGGGGGGGGAACGTGAAGTGGGGGCAAAAGGGGGTGGATTGAGATGAGATCGACGTCGAGGTGGGGTGGATGCAAAGAGAGACACACAGGGACATAGAGGAAGTCCAGCAGGGAATGAGTGACATAGTGACATAGTGTGACATAAATGACATCGGTGACATTGGGCTGCTTTGCGGATTATTGCAACTGGCGAGTTAGGAGTCAGGCTTCAATATGACAATAATTATAAGCCTCGTCCAGACCCCGCGCTCTAGCATTCGCCGCAGAACGGAGCTGATCCAAGGAAAGCAAATAATAATGGGGACCTGTTCGTTGCGAACATCGGTGGGCCAGCCACGATCGTACAGACTGTGCAGATGGTATTGACGGTACTGACCGCACTGGTCGTACCGACAAATACATCGTGTATCGTGTACATCGTAGATAAGCCAGAGAAATCGCTGGTTAAAAATAGGTTGCTGGATGTATACATTACATCTCGTAACCAATTCTTGGAGGGTTTTTTTTTCTTTTTAATTTCTCTTGCGGGAGGGGAGTGCCGATGACCAGTCGGACTTGGACCGTATAACGAATGAGCCTCTTTCATCGGATCGTCGCTCGTGATGATCCAACTAGTTCGGATGTCGAATATAGCGTAATCTCTCAAAAGCTCGTACCCACGTACCTCTGGGGACCAGATAGAACCAAAACCGGAAACCGGAAATCAGATAGTAGCAGATCAGAGCAAAGTAAAGCCGACGGGCGAACGTCTCATTCAAGGCCCGGCGTCATTGCGGTCGAGTTTGATAGCTAAGATACCAGGGTCCTCTTTGGGGGTTCCTCGATTCCAACTTTGGAATACTTTGGAATATCCCATGCCTTGGGCAGTGATCCGTAATCCGTAATCCGAAGGCGAATACTGGCTAAACGGGAACGGGAGAGACAACCATGGAACCTTGTATGACATTTGAAATTTGAAATTTGAAATTCGAAATTCGAAAAGGTCGCGGCTTGCGACAATGCAAATACGAATTGACGAGGTATATGCAAAGGGCGGGAATTAGGAGAAATAGAAATCGGTAAGGGATAATAAAGTTATTTTGATCGAGAGTGGTTTTTGTGGTTTGATTGATGACGATGATAGGATAGGCGGGTAGATGATACCCAGATACTCAGATACCCAGGTAATGATGGAGAGGGACATAAGGGTAATGGATGGATGGATGGATGGATGGATGGGTTATTGGAAGGGGGGGTCTGGTCTTCCGAACTTGCGAATTGCGAACTGGGAATGGACGGAACATCGTCCTCTTTTTTTTTTAATCTTGTAAATTTACTTACTTTGACATCATTGCTTGAGTTGCCCGCCGAAGCAGGTCGAATCCTCCCTCCGAACCTGACATGATGATGGATCAAAAGGTGTAAGGTTTTGATCTCTCTCACCTAATGTCAGGTTCCTATCCAACAGTTCTTAAACTATGTCGGGAGCCGCCAGTGGTTCGTAGGGCGGGATTGGCGTGTGGCGGTTATTGAATACTTGATTTGATGTAATTGTGTGAAAATGGGAATTTTTAAAAAATAATTTACCAGAACAACCACGTTTGGTTGGAGATTTGACGTTTGACCGATGAGCGTGGGGGTTTAGAGGGAAAAAAAGAGAAGTAGACGGAGGAGAAAATTGATTTGCGTGAGGGGAAAAGTATTTTTTTTTCTGGCGTCAGTGTAAAATGATGTCTGCAGGTGGATGGTGGATGGTGGATGATGATGGATGGTGAAGGGAAGACAGATGAATAGAAATGCACGCTGAGACGTTGCGGTTGATGTCTCGCTCTGTCCAGACAGTTCAGGTATGGGTAATGGGTAATGGCTGGTGCTTGGTTTTGGTGCTGGCTGAAAAAGGCGGGCTTCTGATTTGAGCCTGATGGGGGCCGATGGGGCCTTAATGGCGGGGGGATACTAGATACTTTAGGGTACTAAATATTCGGGTGGGCGAAGTACATTATTGGTGGTATCGGCTGCCGTACTTTAATCCACTGGGCAGTTTGTTAGCAGTCCAGAGGTTAGAGGTTAGAGGTTAGAACTTAGAAGTTAAGAAGAAACCAGCGGGAAAACTTTGGCAACTTTTAAGATACCAGGTACTTTAGGGCCTGAATCCCAAAAATGGGAGCTAAAAATTCAATCGGGACAGGCTACTAGCAAGAAAAGGCCCGGGAACCCCTAGTGGCTGTACACTGTTTTTGGCTAGGCCCCGCCGGTATAGCGGATACAGCGCGAAGGTTGAACCCACAGTCTCTGCAAGTACCTCTCTTGTACAGTGCAGGCACGGAAGGGGTACAGGGACAACCAAAGTTTAGAGGGGAAGGTACTTTGAAGTTACCTAATAGATTTCTTAGCTTGACTTACAAGAGGGTCCCTCAATAGCGGGGTTCTTCTTCTTCTCTTCGTCAACTCGTCAACTCGTGTACGAATTCAATAGGTGAGGTAATTCACTATCTCTCCTTCGTCGTCAGGCTGGTCAGGGTCCAACGACCGGATCTACGGTACTGTACTGTACGTGGCAACGTTAGAACCTCAGGTACAACCGGGCGTTCGTGTTGTTGTTGTTGTTCGATGTTTGATGCTCGATGCTCGATGCTCAATGTCAATGCTCTTGTTGTCTCTCTTTTTTTTCTTTTATCCGTTTTTTTCTTTCTTTCTTCTTTCACCTTTGTATCTTTTCTACGGACGCACTGTACATGTACGTATTCGTAAAGGTGTTTATGTATGTACGTACACGTACTGTCTGCAGCGAAGGTACTGTGCTATGTTGGATGGAAGGGGTTTAGAATGATTATGGAATAGGTATGGAATATGATGTATGTATGTACCATACTATGTAATATGGAGTATGGAGAATAGGGAACGGAATATGGGACAGGTATGGGATAGGTATGGGCAATATGGGGTATGTATGTTGTACAGTACCTACATGTAAATGGAAGTATAGAGAAGGGAGTCGCTTAAATTCAGCTCTCCAGTATACTGATACCGAAATCAGCCGACTATCAGGAGTTCCTGATGTGATTCGGTGTGTCTTCTTGGAGAAACCGGCGATGTTCGGGTCGGTCGCTCGATCTCGAGGCCTCCTTTCTCCGAGTCTACCTATGTAAGTATGTAAGTAAGTAATTCAGTTACATATCTACGTACATGGCTGTCCTTCTAGAAGAAGTATGGATGGCGACTAGGATTGGAAATATTGTGTCTGTGCTGTGCGATGGTAAATGGAGTTGAATGTGTTATGTATGATTTGATACCGTGCTCGACCCGACGGCATACCTGATGGGGAAGGCGATCGTAGCTAGGTCTAGCTAGCCGGTTAAGTAGAGCGAGATCTATGTCGCAATTCTGAAACTAGCCGCGTTGTAATGGGCTTGTCGGCGCCGACTTGTAGCGACTTTTGGTGGCCTTTGGTGACCCTTGGGGTGGGAATTGGGGAATTAGTTATTACAAAGGTATGATGAATTGGCTGAATTGGCTCGAATTGCAGGGCAATAGAACAAGAACGCGCGTGTGTCCCTGATTTGAAATACGACAGACGGCAGGCGATAGACGACAGGCGATAAATGAGCAGTCAAACTGCAAACTTGAACGATGGTAGCAAGTAACAAAGTAACCAAGTAATAAAGTAACAAAATACCAGAATACCAAAATACCAAAAATAACAATAATTCCAGGTACATACCACATACAGGTAAGGATGTAAGGATGTTGGCATGTAGAATTTTCGAACCCTTCTCAAGCTAAGCAGCTAAGGCATTGAAATGGTGGGGAATTATGGGAATTATGGGAATTATGAGAATTATTTCTAATAAGGTCCTCGTTCACGAATATTTGTCGGAGCGGATAGAATTCGTCTTTCTTTGCGATCTGAGACTTGTTGGATTGGTAGGACTGCTTAGACTTGCTGAACTTGTTGATCTATATATCTTGATCGAAACCATAATCGCGCTTATTTCTCCTAAAACAAGTTTCCCAAGTTTCATATGCAATGCCATATACTTATGTAGCAGTGTAGGTAATTAGGTATTATTAGTATTAGTAGAATGCTAACAAAACGAACGGCAGGATCCGGGAGGATTTTCCTCATTGACGATTCGATGACATGACATGCCCAGATGCCGAATAACAGATAAAAATCCAACAATCCAACATCCTTGACCATTATTACCTAAGACCAATATGCCTTGACCTTTTAGGAGTGGCTGGATTTCTAAAAGGTCTCGAATTGCGGTGACAAGGCTTTCCCCCTTTTTACACCTTTTACATACTACATACGTCCATTAGTAGTACATCAATATCACAAGCCTAGAATACGCGGCCATCCTCTTTCAAACTCATCAGATTGTGACGGCATACGAATACATAGCATGTCTACCAATCCCGAGTGGAGTCTGCCTTGATAGGATATCCGTGCTTCTTAAAAAAGGCGGCGGCGTCTACTACCAGCACCAGCACTAAAAGAGAACGCTAACGTTTGCCATTCATAAACCCCTGTGCGCTGGTCTCTTTTTTTTGCTATCTCGCTCCTCATCCAGCGGCTGAGTTTTCCGAGCATTAGACCATTAAACCATTAGACCATCCTTAGCACATACGCCATAGTGAAACATTATGTGGGCAAGACAACGAGAGCCAACTGCGTATACATACCACATTCATACAGCTACAGTTACTAGGTACATATGCCATCCTCCACAGGCTTTGAATAGCATCGTGTTGCCGCACCTGGCCTGCAATCTCTTTTCGCGGGTTGGCCGCTTTCTAATATTGGCCACCACCAATCCGGTGAGTAAGCGATGCGATGTTTGCTGTCATTGGTCCGCAAATACCACACACTATCGAGTCTTAATAAGATGAGGTCAAATTGACTAGCTCGTCGTTACATGCCCAGGTGGCTACGAATTAGACACCGCGGTAGATCGATTATCATTGCTTTCCTCCTATACCGTTACACACCTACATGTCCATTCAGCTTACACGCGTAGATTGATGACGAGAACGGTAGATCATGTAAGGTAAAACTTTTCTTATCAACTTCTTACTACATAGTAAATCTTTAACCCTCCCTTGGAGAATTACTTTTCACGGACGGTTGATGCAGCGATGGAGGACAAGATAGTTAAGGGGGTCAGGTCAACAGTTGGTACGTTGGGAAAGGAGAGATGCATCTAGCTGACGACCGAATAGGATCTCAAATAATATCTTCTACTACTAGGTAGGTAGTTGACTGTGATAGGGCAGACAGGTAGATATGCTTTACTTGTCACTAACAAGTGTGTCTATTCCCGTGCCTCTGCAACGTGTGACGGGAAGACAGCATGTGTTCCCCAAGCCTACCTAGCGCGTGCCTTATGTGTTAAGTCTTATCCCAAGTCTTCTTCCAAGTCTTTCTCCAAGTCTAATTTCAATGTATGTAAGTTGCCAGGTGGTAGAGGTATATATGTATGGCGTTCTTGTATGCCCGTAGCTGAAAAAGACCTTTTGGAATACCGACAGATGCAGCCGAACTGTCGCACATGCACACAAGCCACTCGATCTCAAACGTTGGACCAGATGCGGGATGAGCGGGATGGAGAGTGGTGGTGAATGCGAGCCTGCGAGTCATGAGATTTTCCCTCTATTCTTTTCGGACCCTGCACCGCCATCTATCTATATCCGGGGTTGCATCGCGATGCTCTCTCCTGTAGGTATGTAGTATCGCGCATATCCAGCCAAGCTGGCTAGATCGTGCTACCTGACTCTCTGCCTTGTCCGGCGACTCAAGACGCAAGACGCAAGAGACGATTTTATAATTAGGTAGCTCGAAGCTTAGCAAATCCAAGAGGTCGGTTGCCAAGCCGTTGAGAGCTCCCACCCGTTTACGGATATCCGAATAAGTACCACCATTTTTGGTTTTTCATGGCTTTTATGGCGTTTATGTTTCAATCTTTCTTTACCAAAACAGAAACACCTACATACCCACGCGAAACTTGCATCGCTTTAGGGTCGAATATCTTACCTAGGAAAACCATGAGCCGGGATTCGTCCTCCTATTAACCTCATCCCCTACCGAAGTCCCACCATACCAACCCGAGCCGACGGATCGAACGAACCCCAACCCGCACGGCCCCATCCCGTTGGTTTTCTCCTATCACTCCCCGGGGCGAAAAGAGTGAGAAGTCTCGAAAAAGGGAGTCGCACATACCCCGAGGGCGTAGGTAGACGTGAATAGGCCAACAGTAAGCAACAAAGTGATACTACCCAGGTTACTCGATTTAAGCCTTTCGGAAATTATCAGGCAGAATAGGAGAAAGGCGCATGTACATAGAGAGAGAAGATCGAAAGGTAACCCTGTCGCCATGTGGTAAATGGGCACCACCCACCACCACGATCAACGGACGGCGCAGTCCCGTTTCTAGTTCTACCTAGGGCAGAGACGGGAGATCGGGTATCGGGTACCATTCCCCGCCAAAAGCTTGTACGCCCAGGTTAAGTCGTTGGAGATATAATAAACGTACCCTGTTACTTGGTGGTCTAGGTGAATGTATAAGGGGTTGGAGTGATCCAAATCCGGAAGTCTAGAACTCCATTCGTATACAAAGTTTGCGATCGCTACCCACAATAGATAGATATATCGCTTGTCTCCGTATTCTTCCTCTTGGGATTACCTCAGACCTACCCATCCTACCTACCTAGGTGTTCAATATGCATACCTAGGGACGCAATGTGCAGAGGCGAGCCCAATTTTTTTTCTTTTTTTGGCGCCGTCACATATGCGAACGTGTCCTAGACCAGGTCCGGTCCACGTCGGTATGTCTTCGTTTTCGAGGCCACGAAATCCGAAACCTACCTACTAAAGTAGGGAGGTGGCACGTATTGCGAATGTACAACCACAACCCCACAAGCTAATTAAGGAGACATTCGCCTCTGGAACGATAAACTCTCCAAAATACCAATATACCGAGAATTGACAACACTCGCTTCGTATGATCACCATGACAAGGGAATTATCGAGCTTTTACTACGTACGTGTTGGCGGAGTGGGGATGGGGGGACATGATTAAGAGATAATTTACTACCACACCAGGTGTTTCTCCAATATGAAAACCCAGCAACGTTGGCAACGCTTTTGGTAACTCAGCCACAGCTGAGTATCTACCTACTTGGTAATCAAAGGCATCCAGACCACTTCTCGATATCAAAACTGATATAAAGCAACGCTTGCCAAACGCTTCCATCATAGACCAATCATACCATATATATACTAGGTATATATCCAAGCACAAAACTCTACCACATATCTTCTGGGACTGACCAATCCACGTGAGAAGCAGCCGGTAGCGGCGTATAATCATATCTGAAGTGTGGAGGCGCGAAGTCGGGAAGCCAAAGCGCTTTCTGTGCGCAATTTATCTCCATACGGGGGACGAAATTCATGCTGTCGTCGAGGAGAGCGATTGGTATAGTGATTTCTCTTGAATTGGTACCCGTCAACTGGAATACTGCTCCGCAACCCCCACAGAAGAAATGAGTCACTTCATTTCTGTCAAACCAAATGACATGCCCCTGGCTCGAAGTGTTGACATCCTGCTGCAAATTAGTTCTTCTGGTTCTTTACGGCGAGCTCACAGGCTGATTACATACATCGACTCCGTATCTGGCAAGTGAGACGAAATCCGACCCAAATGTCTTTTTGCAGCTCCTGCAATGGCCTGAGATGCCATTAGCACGAGGTAGTTCGTGGATCAGGGTACTTATAAAGCTCTTACATATAAAAGTGATTATTGGCGGGCCAGTGATGATTATCTGTACGATTCCGCAGAGACAAGAACCTGTCCAGTGCTGAAGATCCGGTTGGGGTTGGAATATATATGATTGCGGATTATCATCACCGAACTCGATCGCAGGCCTTTGCTGTTGAGTGGAGGGAAGCAAAGAGAGTTCCTCGGGTGTTCGTGTATTACCAACACCGGGGTCAGACCATTGACTCCTCCCAAAGTTCGGCGTAGGTACAGGATCACTCTCAAAATCGAACGAATATACACGAGAACCTCTGGGAGCGGACGGCGGTTCCGGGTGAGCGTGCGACCAGTCGGGAGTTGAAGGCCTAGGTTGAAGATGGAGATTAGATTGAGAAATTCCGTCAGCCGATTGTGAGCGACCCGACGCAGAAGACTGCGATCCTAAACCAAGGCGTTGCAAGTTTTCGCCGAGACTTCTCATTGGATCATCTGGCTGAGATTGAGTCGAGGGAGAATATTGGTTTTGAGACCACATAATGAAGATAAATTCATGGCACAACTAAATAACGAGAATCAAGAATAAACGAATGGATAACTATCTAGTAGTTAATTATAATATGTTTTGGTCGTGGATTAACTGGCTGTTTTAACAAAACTTCAAAAGGACGAACACAATAACATCGAAGTGATTCAGGGTCAATTTAAAGAACAAGTATTATTGCAGCTTCCAAATCGTAAACCATCTCTTCATACAGACACCTTAGCTTCCTGATAATGAACAGGGAAAGCAAAAGGAAGGCACGCCTCGCACATAATGTCTTTTTACTTCCTAGTAAACAAGGTTTATAGCAGCTATCGTCTTCAGAAAGTCGGGGGGTTACTGCAGTGACGCCAATAAATTACCCAAAATCTTTTCGTCATGTCACAAAAGAGCGATCTAGATGAGACGGATTCTTAACAGCTAGGTAGAAAAAGCTATTTTCGAATCACTAAAAAGTGATACAAGATAAAACCGCATATATCTCCTCCCTATGATCCACCGAACGCCTAATACATGAGCCTATCCCCAGGCAATGACACCTCTCACCCCAAACTCCAATGTCCTTTCCAATGTCAAGCGACACTCTACCCATACTAGGTACTCCACCCAGGTAGTACCCATGCGCCAATGATACGCGCTATGTACCCATTCCAGTAGATAGAAGACTGGATAATCGCGCTCGCCAGGCGCCAATACGCCCATCATCTCAATCACGGCCCTACCCCCAAACACCAAAGATAAAAAACAAAGCAGAATAAAGCCCATCCCAGTAAACCCAACCCTTAAAATCAGCTCCGCTGATACGCCGCCAAGCCCCCACAATCCTCACCCTAAGCCTCTTAGCCTCAGGTGTTACCGGAGGCGAAGGGATCTTTATGAACTTCGCACGGCCCGTGCGAATAGAGTCGTCTTCCGTGGACCGACTCCTCTCCAGTCTGGGCTGAAGTGCACCAGGAGGAGCCTCCCCTGCGCTGGGGAGGGTCTCAAAGCCGCTTCTTCCCCTTGAAGCCCCCGACGCCGAGCCGGGGGGGGGGGGGGGGGGCTGTATGGAGAAGCGGCGCGGATGCGAACAAACCGCTGTGGCGCGAAGACAGGCGAATGCGCACGCACAGCGGACCCGCCGCCATGAATTGTGGCAACCATTGTCACGGCCACGATTATTGGGCGGACTGTCCTGGTCGTCCGCCCCGCGCCGAGGACGTAATCCACAGCGTGGCGGTCGGGGATGCCGACGTCCCCGAATATCGGGTCGTGCTGGTACTGGGTCGTTTTGTTCCTCGCTGTTGGAGGCAGCCCCGACCCAGGGACCATACACATGAATCTTCCATCCCTCGGTCGGGAGGAATCCACCCAGAGGTATGATGCGCCCTCAAGTAGTGTTTGAGTGACATTGACTCCGGCGCGTCAGGCGCGGGGCTTTTCGTCGTAGCCCTCGATTGAGTCGAGATACTCGTACTCCCGATCGGGAGGGGCGGGACGGCCATTGTGGGGTAGGGAATGGCCGTCCCCTCTTGCCGCCTCCTTGTGTTCGGTCCGATCGGTGTCGGTAATAAGGTGAGGAGGACCAGCCTCACCCACCTTATTGACCGATAACACCGGAGAAGCTCCGGTGTCTTCGGCGATTCCTAGCCGGTGCTAATGCCGCTGAAGTATCACCGGCTCAGGATCACCGGCGCTCCTGGACTTTGGTTAGGTGGGAGAGCCGGACCCAGACCCATGAGGCTGGGTGGAATGATGGGGGTTGTTGGGTAAACCCCTAGGAAGAGTTGTCGGTTTCCGGGCGGTTGCCGCAGTTAATTCCGGCTCTCCCAACTCGTCGTGATACGGCTGCCCATTCTGGTTCCATCTATGTAATAGAGGAACGGGTTCAATCCCGGCCAGTGACGAGTGACCGGTGAACCCAGTTCTGGGTTAAGGTAAAGGGAGGAGGGAAAACCGTCCTCCGGATCTATGACGATGAAATTATTCATCTTGAATGGATGTTAGTCTGCTGATTGATGAATGTAGATGAAGACGCTCAATAAATCGTTATTGACCCGTGCATTTCCCGACAAAGCGGATGTAGTACATATATCGTCACCCCTCCAAAGAAGGGTGATAGGATTATCGCAGGCGACGATAGACTTGGGAGGAGTGGGAAATTGTGTGAAAATATGTGCGCAGATGGGAAGGAAAATATGTGCGCAGATGGGAAGAAAAATAGCGACGATGATTTAATTCTACTTACCTTGATATAATGTTTTCATCGTAATTGAACTGATGGTGAAATTATTATTGGAAAATAGGATTTTCCTCGTAGTTGAATTGGTGGTAAAATTAAAAATTAATATGTGATAGTTTATTGGGGATTAGGATTTTCGTTTGTTAGGACTGTAATTTTTAGTGTCCTACGAAAATAAATTGTGTAAAGGAAGAGAAATTTCTGAAGAAGTTGGGAGGTGGGGGGAAAAGGTTAAGTAGTTATCACCGTTGCTGTTGTCGCTGGCCAGTCTACTGTATGTTGGGCAATTTAGCTAGGCTACCACCTGTAACTTTGTAGATCCTCTACTCTAGCACCTGACATTAAGTACCTAGTATCTATACTTCTTCTAAGTACCTACTAGTTACTTGGAATGTCTCGTACACGACGCAATCATTTCCATGACTATATTTACCGCCTGATCACGTTATATGGATAATCACTGCACTTCGGCCGACTGCACTTGACTGTCTTGGCCTTCCCGTATAAGGGGACGAATAATCACTTTGCGAGAATAATATGATGAATCACTGAGACAAGCGCGCCAATATAATGAATTAACAATGATAGTGAGTTCTTTTTAAGTTTATAACCATCTATAAGACCCTACAGCTGTAATAAGAAATAAGTACAGGATAGATCCGTGATCTTCTAGGAGATGTGAGCTCGAAGTACCTATGTAACTTAGCAGATGAAATTCCATTTTTTACGATTCTGTATCGTAAATTATTTTCGAACGACGAACGGATCGAGGTCGTAAGGAAATAATAGGTCACCCAACAAGATATATGCTATTTTTTATGTTAATCTAGCCGAAAGTTCTGCCCTTTCCCCTCGGATAATTCATTGTCATATAATATCGTACATCAATATATTAACAGCAGAAGACCTAAAGAATTAATTACTCCTTGCCAGATACCCAGGCTAATATCTATCGTCTTTCACCTGCTCAGTAGGTAGCTAATGGAATAATGGGTAAATTGAAGTTTTCCAATTCTAACAAATGCATGCTTCGTAACAAGCAGTATCACTATAGAGTAAACCTAAAAAAGGTTCATAAAACAATGTAAAATGTATGCTATTTCCTTGTCACTATATGTACTGGGTATAATATCCAAGTAAACTGCCCATACTTGGCATATGAAAGCATTTTGAGTATGTAAATAAAGCGGTATGTCGCAAGCACACATTCTACCAGTACCAACATAAATTGCCCATGATATAGAATTCACTACCACCGAATTATAGATAAGATCCTCATATACTTCTAGACCTACCAACAATGGTCTATTTTGAAGAGCCTTTGGCCTTAGCAATGACCTTCAGTAGACGGGCCTCCGTCTCTGCTGTAACACCATTGGGATAGAAGTGGGATGGTGGATGCTGGCGTGGTAGAAGAGGGTCGTCATATTGTTCTGTACAAAAATTAGAGCCTATTACCAAGCTACAAGCTTGTGATCGCTATTTTGCATGGATGGGACTCACTAATATTGAATTTCTGATCACTGAGTCTTGCTCGTGCCAACTCAAAATCATCTTTGGATTTCTTGTCCCAGGAAATATTTCGGCCATCCAAGGAATCAGGAGTGAAGGCCGCGTCACTGAAAGAATGCGTAGGCGTGTGAAGCTGGCCCGGGACCCGTGCAGCTAATGGATGGGATGAACTGGGAGTGTTGTTCTGCATGGCTGTTGAATTCTTGCACTCTTGATATCTTGCCTTAGTAGATAGAATATTAATTCCTACAATAAAATCAAGTTAATTGGGTCGTTCTCTAATCACTTTTTGTACCTGACTCACAAATTACAAGGACGTTACGAGTTGTAGCAGATGGAGAAATACAGATGAACAATTTGTAACTGGTATCTTATATGAATATGTTGAAAAAAGCAGTACAGTAATAAATATTAATGAGTCAGTACTGAATTAGAATATTACTGTATGGACTTATATGTGTAGAAAGTTAAGTACCAAGTCACATATGTGATGGAATGAATTGGTGGTGGTAAGGTACAAACGACGTTGGAGCTGAAGACGGCAACCACCACCAGCAGTTCCACAATAGCTGATAGGGCAGCTAGACCGCCCCAAATTAGGTAAGCCCAACCTTGTAAGACGCCCTAGTCCTAGACCAGGTTCCGCGTCGCACTGGGCGAAAAAGAGTCCGTGGAGTAACTCCATTCCAATTCGCGAAAATCTCCCCTCCTTAAACCGTCGCAATCATTTTTTCTTAGTCTAGGCATTTTACAAGTATAACATGCCGACGACTTTCTTGTTCTTGGATTAACACGTCGTATTCCCCTCTACATATGCTAGCACGGTATTGCATATATAAATCTTACAATGGCCAAGAGACCCACGGGCAAAGTTCCTGACGCCTGGGAAGACGACGACTGGGAGGTACAAGCAGACAAGGCCGCAGCGGTAGAGGACGAGGAACCTGAGCCACAACAACAACAGCAACAACCGCAATTAAGCAGAGCTGAGCGTCTGGCGCAACACGCCGAGTCCAACAGGAAACTCTGGGAGTCAGCGTATGTATATCGTTTTCTTACTCTCCTCTTTACCTAAGTATCGTCCCATCTTCTCAGCTAACACGCCCTCCCACCAAAGCGAAGCCCCAGCCGAAACATTCCACTACCTAGCCTCGCGTTCCGACCCACCGCTCGCAACAGGCTTCAAGCCCGCCGTCAAAGTTCTCAGCCGCAAACCCCTCCAGGACGCCGGCGACCTAGACGAGGAAGACGGCAAGAAGACGCCACAGCTGACACCCGAAGAGATCCAAGCGAAGCAACAACGCGAACGCGACGAGAAGCAGCGACGGTACGACGAAGCGCGCGCCAAGATCTTCGGCTCGAACCAGTCATCTGGAACTTCTACACCTGGCGCCGTGACGCCACCGCGATCGGCTGACGGACGAGGTCCTCGAGGAAGAGGTCGAGGAGGACGGGGTGGTGGAGGAGGGCATCGACACAACGAGAGCCGCGGAGACAGGGATAGGGAGAGGGAAAGGGATAACACCCAACGACCGAGCAGCCAGTCAGGTGGTGGCAGTGGACGAGAACTCTACGACCCGAATTGCTCACCGAAGCCCGGCTTCCAGGTCGAGCGAAGAGGAAACAACTACAACAACGACGGCGGCGCACCATTATCCCGTCGACCAACACCACAAGAAGAGCAAGTCATCCGCGCGCCACGAGGGCCCGACGGCAGTGGAAGAGGAGGCTTCGGGTTCGCGAAGCGGGGCGCCAAAGGCAGTTGAACAGAATTTTACTATTTTTGGTTTTCCTACATGCAGAAAACTACAAGCACCAGACTACCAGCCACCACCGATCTTGCCAGCTAACTGGACGACCCTTTCCGTGGCACCTGCCGCCTTGTCCTTGCCAACATCGCTCACCACCTCGCGATAGCTCGTGTAAACCAATTTGTCGACCTCTATGCCAGTTATGCTTGCCCAATGCGCCAGGGTATCTCGAATGTATGCTGGGGAAATGCTACCAACCATGCTACCGCCTTCTTGTACCTGTCCTCCGTTCACCGCCGCGGGATTCCCGCTATCGATCTCCGAGTCAAAGTCTGAATCGTCGGCGGAAAAGTATGCCTCGTCAACTTGCGCCAACCACTGCTTCTGCTCTTGTGGTCCGGGCTTAGACTCTAAACCCTTCCGTTCCATTACTACTGGGTCGTCAACCTTGACCTGCCCACCACCATTGGTGCAGCCTCCGGGACAAGCCATGACCTCAACATAGGCGTATTCCAATCCTGTCTGCTTTCCCGCTGGTTTTCTGGCCCCTGCTGTCCTAGCACCAGGCATTCGCGATACCTTGGCCGGCTTCAACTTGCGAACCAGGTTTTGAATGTTTCGAAAGCCGTAGTACCTCGCGGCCTTGAACACAGGTTGTCCATCTGCCGAATTAACCGTGTACTCGACGACATCGGCGTTGCGACCACGTATAGTCTCGATCTTGGAGTCAGGGTGTTGCGCGGAAACATAATTTAATGTGTAATATAGATTACCCCCCGAAGTCCCCGCCCAGGGGTCGAATTGGCTCTTCGAGGAGCTGGCGGGGAAGAGAAAACGGTGTAGTGTAAGATCGGGGAAAGGGGTTTGTAACGAGGCAGAGACCGGGGCTCTGGGTAATCCGAAGAAATCAATGTTTCGCGACTCCGTCAACATTAAGATCTCCTTGCTCGTGATGACACAATCCACGTCCCTAACCCCCTTCCCGGGCTTCCCGCCCCCACCCCACGCCGCGTCCGTGAGCTCCTCGCGACTCGCCTCTAGTTTCTTGTCAAAGCACGGCATCACCGCTAAGTGCCATATGCGATCCGGGGGTATTCCCAGCGTGCGGCTAAGCACGGTCTTGAGCAGCGTGCCCATGAGTGCCTGTGGGGATTTAACTCGCGATATGTGCGGCAGCACATGCGGGTGCGTCTTCTCAGCATAGCACACCCAGCCCGGACAACTCGACGTCAAGACCGGTTTCGTAGGCTTATTCTTCCCTTTCCCACTTTCACTCCCATTCCCATTCCCATTCCCCATACCGTTAACCTGATTAGAACACTCAACCGCCTCTTCAGCACCCAACACAAGACAAGCCTTCCTCGCCGCATTCGTATCCACAACCCACTCAAACGCATTCCCAAACCTCCCACCCGCGCGCAACCCCCGCGCTCCAGATAACAGCTGCGCAATCATATTCCCGGCCCCACGCTCCCCAACCCCGCTTCCCGCAACCGCAGCCAAGCTCGCACGCGTCTGTGGCGACACGCTCGCGACGAAGAGTTTCGCCTTCGGGTCCTCTAGCCCAGCGACTTTGAACCCGCCATCCGGCTGTGTTGTGACGCGTAGTGAAGGAGCGCTGTCGAGGACGTGGAGGAGCTCGGCGTGGCTTTGTAGACTAACGAGGACAGCTTCGGCGGAGGTGACGCATCCGGAGCAGGCTAGACAGTCTGTGAGCGAGATCTGGGCGGGACCGGCGTCAGCGCCGGGGTTGGAGCCGGGTTGGCCGTCGAGGATGACTTCATGTTCGAGATCGGTTGGGGGTGGAGGGGCGGCGGGGAGGGTTTCGATGGGTTTGATGCAGGCTACGCCTGGGGAGATGAAGTCGTTTAGGTCGTCGGCTGAGAGGATGGCTGACATTGTGTCGGTGGGAGAGGATGATTAGAGAGATGTAAGGAGGAGACGGAAGTGAGGGAGAGTCGGGTTGAGGGCGACTCGTCCCTTGGTTGTGTGTGTATAGCTACTTCGATTCTTGACTTGCGATGGCGAGAATCGTTATTGATTTGCAATGTGATGAATGATTGGATCGCAGTGAAAACGGGTTAAAACGTCAGGTGTGTGCGTAATTCGTAATAAGTAAACGACTTTATGATTAAGATGTGTTCAACGGAAAAGTACATATATAAACAACGTTCTACAGAAAGGGGTGTTGGTTAACTAGACGATATAATTATTTGTGAAGTTTGGGGATGGGAACGACGGAATATCGCATTTGGAAAGTTGCTTTGAAATGCGCTTTTCGAATTTTTGTCATGCGAAATCGGCTCCCTAGCATTGGACGGGTGGCGGCACCCCACCATCAATAGTTGATAATGGACCCTCTTATTACATGAACAGTGGGTTTTATACGCACCGTATAAGTTACACTGTCTACTAGCCTCCAGGTAGTTCCAGTTATTGGATTAACGAAAGTGACGTAACCAGAGCTTAACCACTTGACTCTGGGCTCTGGGCACTGGGCACTGGAATGCTTGTCCTTGATGAGGCTCTGAGGTGATAGGAAGGCAGAGTGGGTATATTCCCTCGTCGCTGAAGACTATGCATCATCATTGTTCGCTTTGATTGGTTCGCTCACGTACAGGAAATCTCAAATATTAGACTCATCACATCGACGTGCTACTACATGACATGGTATTCACTGACTAAGGGTTATTTATAGAAATACAAAGAAAACAGATTGTTCTTGTCTTCATTCTCGGGGATAAAACTAGTAAAGAAAGGTGAAGACAAGGACAAAGATTAAATTATTCTATCTACGTGTCCTTTGACAGTTAGCAAGGTTATTCACTTCTCTCGGCCCGTAAGATACATAGTAGTATCTGGGGTAGTTCATTGAATTGTGGCACAGGTGAATCGTCAACGTTTGGGGTTTGTTGTGCTAAGACACAATGGAAAATTATGCTGGCACGCACTTCAATGTCGACGTAGTGCCAGAGACACAGCATAAGACATGCTACCGGATTGACCAACTGCTACGAGGCACCGACAAGCAATCTACCATACTAAACATATGCACAGCATGAACAACGTATTTGTGACAGAAGAAAACTGTGTATTGGTAAAGACGAGCAAGCAGCCTATGCTATGTCTTTGCAACATAAAACCAGCAAGTATTGTTCAGTATCATCACGAACTAATGTCGAAAGCCCATTTTACCCCTGAAGTGAAAAAAAAATCAATGTCTTGGTAGTAGAGACGCCATAATGGTGCTCACACTACCATTGCAAAAGCCAATTCATCCTATCGAATTTTGTTGTTCCTCGTAAGTGTCGATACCGCCGAGGTAGCACCCTCCATACCTTGGTAGGTAATATTATTCGACCCTCTTACAAAACTGCCTTCATCAAATAACCGCCGATATGTCATCCCCGTTTTCTTAAGGCATCATTATCGTATCGGGTGGGATGTAAACATCTTAACACATCTCGAAGCAGCATTCGCAGCAGTCGGCACAGCACTCGCATCCCTCTTCGCAGACGAAACAACAGCACAATGCCGCCAAACAGCCCTTGAAACAGCCACCACCGCCGCTCTGCTTCCTCTCCTGTGGCGGGGGTTGCTGCTGGTACTGCATCTGAGGCTGGCCCTGGGGAGGACCATAGTACTGGCCCTGAGGGGGTCCTTGAGGAGGTCCATACGCCTATTGATTTATCAAGTTAGCTTCTCGCTTGTCATGAAATTGCTAGGTAATTTGAGGGCAACAGCGTATGCTACCGCTGATAGATTTAAGGTATCATTTAATCTAGCATTGCGTGCTGACCCAGCGATTTGGCGCTCGCGGGGTGCAGGAACGGGTAGAGTGGAGCCTTGGCAGATAGGTTTTGGTGTTTTGACGAGATTGCGACATTGCCATTCTAGGGATGCTGAAGCGATTCATTGAATTGTGACTTACCTGGGGAGGCTGTTGAGGGTAACCACCACCATAGCCCTGGTTAGGGTCCTGATTATAGTAGCCGTGGCTAGCCATCTGGACTAGTTTGATTGATAGAAATGTAAATTGAGGTTGTCTGCGACGATGAAATTAGTTAGAAAAAGCCAAGAGAGATGGTGGTGCGGGAAGGATAATCTCCCGAAGGCTTTTGCGCCTGAAAGCTTGAATGAACTCCAGAATAGGCAATGAAATTCCTCTGTGCCAATGCGCCATTACGTACCTGGTTCAATGTGCTGAGATGCTTCCTTTGCTTCTCGGCGGCTGACGATGAAAGGTAATGAATTGCGATGTCGCAGGATTTAGAAACGACAAAAGACTTGATGGTGTTGATGGAAAAAAGTCCAGTAATAAGAAGTCGAGACTCAAGAACAGGTGAAGGTGTGCGAAAAAGAAGGTGGTGGGTCAAATATGTACCTATGTACGATCAAAAGGCGGACTAGCAGGGACGGCTTGCATTAGGATGGTCAGGCGCTTCCTTCTTTTAGAAAGAGTTTCAAGGAGACGCCATGTACATGTAAAGCACAATCGTATTGTAGGGTACCTTTGATATATTTCCGGCGCTTTTTTTTACTGTTTCGGATAGTGGGTTAAGTACTGCGCCTAAGGTTTAAGTACCTACTAGGTAAAGAAGGTAGCCACTGCGGCAATCCGGCACGCAATTCGGCGTGGCTCAGCATTATATATGCAATCATATGGATACGCACATTTAACTCGGTACTTACCTGGGTACATTCATAATGTAATACACGCAGTCCTTAACCAAGATATACATCTTGTGCATACTGTAATGCATGTGCACATACATATTCATGTATCTGTAGTCCAATAACATTGAATCCGCCATCTTCGCCTCTCCGAAACGCGTCATGCCTTGAAACTGGAACCTCCATAACCCCTTAGTCCTCTTTATTCTTTTGGGGGTTAGAAAACCGTTACACAGAATCCCCCTTTCTACAACAAGAGACAACATATAGTACATATCACATCGAAAGTCATCAACGACAAGATCCACGCAGACCTCGTAAATGCTAGATTAAAAGCTACCACTTGCCCAATTCGATGTACGTGCGTAAGTAAAAGGTTGATATGAAGATCGAACAGCGCATAAGCTAATGTAGACCGCTCCTTGATCTCAAATTTGTTTGAATAGATAATGTACACGTCTAATAGCCAGGCAGCCAGATAGTCATGTATGTATGTCTTCGGAATATCCCATTGGCGGCCTCCCCCAATCATTCTTCAGCCACGTATGGGTAGTGGTTGTCTTGGCGATGCACTGTTACTTTGGAAGTAAATGCGTGTGCCCGTGTATGGAGATGAAGGCAGTGTAGTGTATCTATGCGCGCTGAAAGGCTTTCAAGATTCCACTGCCTACCTAACCATTCTCGGGCATTAGTTACTCTAGTAGCAGTGAAAGTCCGTCCAGCTAGGCTGCTAGGAAGACGAGGAAGGCTGTTTAGTGCGGACTATTAATATTATTATGGTACATACATGAAAGAGTAGTTCGCGCTAAGAAGCCGAGATATCCGATTAGGCGTAGTAAGTATTTATTTAATGCTCCGAATTTCACGAATGCTAAACGAATTCTTCTTCTCAATTGGGTACCGGCGCGTCACTGCCAAGATCTTGCGGCAAAATTCATCCAGTCCTTGTCGAGGCTGTGAGAAAAAGACGTCGTCCGTCGTCTCCCGCGGCTTCCATAGACGGCGGTTATTTATTAGCCGCGGTACATCTATTACCTGACTGTAACCTATCGTACCTAATCTTAATCACGATCATGTGAAAATATGAGTGCCTAAATACTTAGTAAGTACTTAGGATATGTATGTAACTCATATGGACTGAGTATTAACTTAGTAGTATGTACTATTAAGTAGGTGCTGCGTTCCAAGGTTGCTAAGAATCTATGATTCAAATCTGTCACTGCTACTACTATTTTTTAAACGCCCACGGGTGCTTCCAGCCTTGCACATAAATCCGAGTTTGGATAACCCCGTATATATATGAAACGCCAAAGCAGATCCGATCGTAGGGCTGAGAGGGGTTAAAAAGGCTTAATACCTACGCCAAGGGTATGTAGAACAGTCTAGTCTTACTACGTGTACATACATACGTAGTGGTATTTTAATATTTACAAGCTGACACAATTCTCTATACCCGGGTAGTAGTTATGATTGAAGAACTTTTATTTTTGCTCCAACTACCTACGAACGAAAACAAACTCTCATCACGTCGTCTCCGTTGAATTGATAACTATCGCCTCCTGTCTAGGTGTTCTCCAAATCAACAACCGCCATACTGTTGCAATGCCACATCGTTACATTTTCACCGAAGAGGAAAGGGAGTAGGATGGAATCACTGCTCGTCTAGCTGCACATAATTGGCAGGGAACAGGCCGGATGCTCCCTTATAATGACCAAACCACCAGTCTTCATCGGGAAATTCCAAATTCGTAATCGTAGCTCCGTCAGGGAAGCTCAGCTCTGCCACATTTGTTAGTATGTTATTCTATCATTATATACTTGGATGGAAAAACCGAGTATTTCTTACCGTTATCTTCAGCAGCCTCGTAGTCGAACTGAGCCGTAGCCGTATGTCCATTGCCGGCTGCAGCTGCGGGCTCGGGCTCGGCAGCGGTTGCGGGTGCAGGGGGAGGTACCGCGGCGTGGGTAGCTGCGGCGGCAGGTGCAGTTGCCTCCTCTTCATCATCAACGAGTTCAACATAGTTGCTAGGGAATAAGCCGCTCTCGCCTTGGGCGTTGGTACCCATCCACCAGTCTTCATCCACCATTTCAATGTTTGTGACATATTCACCTTCTCGGAGCTCTAGCTCATTGTCTTCCGCCTTCTCATAATCGTACTGGATTAAGGCGCGTTTGCCTCCACTTAAAGCGGCAGCCTCAGCCACTTGATCATGACCAAACTGAGACTCGGCAACAGCAGTGGCAGCAGCACGGGGATCATGAGTCTCCTCTTCTACCGGTAGTTCTTCTTCCCTAGGAAGCTCTTGCTCGATCTGTCGCACGGGGAGTGATCGGGGTGGTTCGTGCACCGGTTCGATCTCAGGTTCAGGACCACGAGCGACGGGCACCGCTATGCGAACAGGAGAAGGCGCACGTTCGGGCTCCTCTTCTTCTTCATCCGTAACCGGAGGTGGACGAGGGGGCATACCGGGAAGTGCAAAGCCACCCGATGGCGCGCCATCCGAAGGTCGCGACGCCGAAGGCAGTGGCGGCGGTGCACGTTCGTTGTCCTCGGCATGTGACGGAATCTTCGGTGCCGAAGGGGCGGGAGCAATTATCTGGGGTGATTCCTTGAAACGGTCACGTAAGGCACCAACACTTCCCGGAGATGCTGGAGCTTCTTGGCTATTCTCGGTATCGCCAGTCTTTTGTCCCGGGATGCCACGCGCGAATGCACCTGTCTGAACCGGTGCCCAGCTCTTGCCAGTGTAGCCGCTCTGCCACCCAGCCCCTCCACTTGTCTGCGCAGCAATAGGTGATGTTAGAGGTTTGCCGGCGCCAGAAGCACCGCCTTGTTGTGCCTTCTTCTCGGCCCAGATCTGGGCAGGCGTCTTTCCTCCTTGGTCGGCGAAGGTTCGGCTCGCAGATCCAACAGGTGGGGCAGCAGGGGTAGATGACGGGCCACCAAAACCTCCAGGAGTAGGTGGTTTAGTACCCGTAAAAGCAGATGCGCCACCGAACTTCTTAGCAACCTTCGGTTTAGGAAGTTCCGTAATCCGTTCCGCCTGGTTGAACGCCGCGCTTCGTTCTGACAGAGACCTCGGTCGTTCGTCAGCTTCAGCTTCAGCTTGAGGCTCAGAGTCGTCAGGCTTCTGAGCCTTTGCTCGGATAGCGGCAATGTCGACCTTGCCCACCGGCTCGTAGGCACCCTTGACTGGGGTTGGTCGATCATCTTTCTTCTCCCTCGCGGCGGCTCGGATAGCAGCAATGTCAACCTTTCCAACCGGTTGGTATCCTCCTCCAATTACATCCCTAGGCCTATCGTCCTGTTGACTCGAGCCATTGAATCTCGAAGGTTCTTGTTTTTGGCTTGTCAGCTCGGCCATGTTGACCTTTGTTGGCTTGTATGCCGATTCAACTTTCTCAAGCTCAGACCTAGAAGGTTGCGGCGCATCCCCCCAGCCATCATCACCTGTCTTCCTCAAGCTTGCATTTCGTGCAGCAACTATAGGGTTGAAGGAGATGGTAGCGGTCGAGGTTGTAGAGAAGACAGGCTTCGATTTTACGGGAGGTGGCGCCCCTCCACTCTTGACAGGTGCACTTCCACCGACGGTATACTTGGCACCAGACGCATCAGAAATTTTTTGAAGGATATTTGCGGGTTCGAGGTCGACATCGGAACGAGCAGTGATTTGTATGTGATATCCCTGGTCTTAGTTAGTGTTGTGCTTCAAATTGTAAAATAGCCGATCTACATACGTGAAGAACTTTAGAAACAGCATTTAGATGACTTGTGAAGTAGCCTTTCGTCCTCTCGGGCACACCGCCGCCGCACTATAGAATATTAGCCAACCCACAATAACCCGAAGTCAAGAAAGAGCACACGGACCCATGCGATGAGAGCATATTTAGGCAAGCCAGTATTCGGGTCCTTGACTTTGAGAAAGGCAAACTGAATACGACCCTCGTTGAAGTCTTCGATGAGGTCGTCTAATTCACCAGAACCAGTCGATTGGACCTTCAAAACACTTTCTTTCCCTCCACTATCTTGAAAGGCATTTGCTAAGGGGGCTTGGACATAGAATAAAGCCCATTGACCGTATGTAGAAGAGCTGCCTGACGGAGGAGCGGGGGCGTTAATAACGCCTTGGTAGCTACTCTTAATCGAAGGGCCATTTGTAGAAAGATTCAAGGAAGCCATTTTGGTGATGTGTTATTATTGTTTAGGCGGTGAATTCGGATCTTGGAAATGTCAAGTTTTCTTCAAACTAGTCGGGAATCGGGATAAGAGTAATAAATCGGAGGTGGAAGGTGGAGGTGATGTCACAGCAATAATAGTGAGGGACCAGGGAGCTTCAAGTATATTCAAGTTGCTCAAGCTTGAGTGATACCTGGCCGGCCTGGACGGAACACTCTAATAAATTGAGGTTAAGCAGAACTGTCCTGATTTCAATTGTGGAAGTAACATGTCAGATTTTGGGGCTTTTAAAGGATGAAGTTGTTCGTAGTTCCAATTTATTCGCAGTTTGGATTCGTGCCTGGCACCTGAGCAAGTTGGCAAGTACAATCACTGCTCCATTACAAAAGAAAGTGGGCTGTGCTTCGTGCCCGGTCCTCGGGTTCCATATTGCTCCTTCAGTCTTTCAGTATTGGAGCCTCGTACTTCGTACCTGTCTATGGCACTCGCATCATCTGCACTAAGTTGCACTAAGTTGCACTAACAAATTTCGTCTATTTACATAAAATCACCCCTGCATTATACTAAATTATTCATACATCCACGTTAGACGTGAGAACGAACTCGCATCATGCATACATGCCCTTAACGTTCCGACGCGGCTGTCTTTGCGCGGCAAGAGCATCAATCGCCGAATAATCTACACTATGTCGCCTCCTGCCTCTACCGTTTGCTGTCTTACCTCTTTTTAACTTTCCACAGTATCTATTTAATCACGACTAATCTATCTCCGCAATTTCTCATGCTATTTATCTTTAAATCTACTCATTTAATTCAATCCTAGTTCCTCCAACTCTGAAAATCTTCCAAACATTACACGATAGCTTCAAATCTAATCGCGTAAGGTTGCGCTCAGAAAACCCATCAAATCCCATCACACGAGCGTGGCGCCCACCAATTCCGAAATTCTGCCTGCGACGTAACAGCTAGCATAATTCAACATGGTATTATTATCAGATTCTTCGTCGATAAGCTCCTTATCGTCCGACTCGCCTGAAGCGGACAATGACTTTGATGACACCGGAGTTGTTGACGAACCAGCGCCGCCCCCTTCGAAAAGACAGAAGTTAGGCGACGGATCGCGAGCTTCTTCTTCTGTCCATGTCGAACCCGAACCTGAGCAAGAATCAGACAATGATTTAGATGGCGATATCTCATCAGACACTTCCGGGGACATTCCCAATTCTCCAATAAATGCAAAGCTAGACGAGGATGAATTCCAGGAACAGGTCACAGTGTGCGCCTGGGATGGATGTCGGGCGGGCGACCTAGGCAATATGGACAGACTCGTCGAGCACATTCACAACGATCATATCGAAAGTCGACAGAAGAAGTACACCTGCGAATGGGTTGGCTGTACTAGAAAGAGTATGGCGCATGCCAGTGGATATGCACTGAAGGCTCATATGAGAAGCCACACAAGAGAAAAGCCTTTCTACTGTTATTTGCCTGGTAAATACAACAGATCAACAGAGTGCCTAGAGGTAATTGCTAATGATAATAACAGAATGCGACCGCGCTTTCACCAGATCCGATGCGCTTGCTAAGCACATGCGAACAGTTCATGAAACTGAGGCATTACGACCATCCGATCCCGTACCCAAGAGTATGCAGACTCAGACCGGGCCTAAGTCAGGAAAGCTGAAGATTATCATCAAAACCCCACAATCCCATGCCGCTGGTCAGGACGACGCCGTCGACGATGGAGATACAGGTTCCGACTTGGCGGACTTTTTCACTCCCTTGACAGAGCAACAAGGCTTCTCCAACAACGAGTTGGCTATGGACATCAAGACACTCTACAAGTTATGTGTAGCAAATGTCAAGTGGGCAACGAAAGAAGGCGAAACCTTAAAAGAAGAGTGCAAAGAGATGGAAGAGATGTATAGACAGGAATGGCTAGAGAAGGAAGCTCTACTTGATCAAGTTATCCAGATCGAAGAAGACTGGTGGCAGAGACGTGAATTGGTCCTCAGAGCAGAGGCGAAAGCCCATATGACCAAGAATGAAGAGAGAGCTGGATCTATAGGGGATGACCAGGAAGCGGTGATGGATTCACTCGCTACGGCAGTTAGCTCCGCGGACTAGGTTTATGGGGTCCACATTTCCTGTAACGAAGACTTGATGCAGATGGAATCCTCTGAGGCCTAGAATAGGAGACCAGTAATGTTCTCCGCGCCTGGGGTTTATGGGGTTTATTAAGATAGAGTGCGTTCGGAGTCTTAACGGGATATACCGGAGTATATTTAAGGACCCAGCAGGAACGAGATACTTCTTTAACGAAATATACTAAAAGTTGCTTTTAGCACTGAAGACGAGGTCTACGTCTCGTCCCGCCTCATTGATATTTTTGGCGTTCATGCATATCATTACTTCTACTATTTGCGGTTGATTGGAATGATGGTATTTTCAGCTAATGAATGCATACCAGGAATTTTGTTACCAGAATCTTCGGCGGCCAACCTACATCTAGTTTTAGGAGACTAACCAAGCAAGTAATTCTCGCCCGACAAGATGGGTGACAGGCACAGAGAAGCAATATCCGCCAGCTATTGACAATTTACTTGTGGCGCGTCGTACAGAACAGCGCCGTATTTCTATGCTTGATAGCCTCCAGGGCTGTTTTATTTTGTCCTCTTAATTGCTTACCTACCTACAGTGGTTTGGAGGTTTGACGCTATTGTTGTTACAACTCTTGACTTACGAATGGGGCAGAGACATTACCTAGATAAAGCCTTTGAACAGAGGCTGCAGTGATGGCTTGTATTTTTGTCATAGGAGCTACCCAGTAGCTACCCGGATATCCCCTTGAAAATGATTTTTTTTTTGACTAAAGTGAGACTGCGCATCGTAGCACAACAGGAAAATATCGGTACCATCGGTGCCTAAAATGTTTTAAGCCACCTAATTGTCAAATGTTACACAATTATTGCTTTTTTATATTACAATTATAGTAGAATTTTGCAATGGAGTTTGAGCGGCACCACGTATGCCACGATGCTTTCACCGAGCTACCCAAGATGTCGATTATTCTTGATATTAGGTATGTACAAACATGACTTCGCAATATATTATCCTATATCACACAGTCATATATATCCATATAAGTCTATTGATCATTACAATATCATAATATAGTACAGATGTGCAATATGAAAGAGGATAATTGTTGTGAATAGACGTCGTAACATGGTACCTAGTAACGCCCGGACTTTGTTCAGGGGGAGTTGCGTTTGTTTAGGTAGGAGTCATCCAAGATGACGCAATACGTTCCCGAGGTTTCTGCGAACTGATTGATAAGATCTCTTGGGGTAAAAAAAGAGTGGTAGGTAATCAACTGCCCCGCCATTGGATTGCAGTTGTTAGCTCCCCAATAGCGCCACGTCCAGCCCACCTTTAGTTACCACCGAAACCTTACAGTAAACCCGGCGCATTCATCGGAGGGGCAAATCACGTTTCCATCCCAAAAAAACACAAACAGTCCTTCTTTGAAACCCGAATCTAAGACCTACGATTCCCTTTTCATCTCTCGAATAAGACACACGAAAAATCCCCTCGAATCGACGAGAAACATGGCGCCTTTGACGGAGATCACAACCCTCGACGAGTGGCAAGCCCACGTCGGATCCCTTCCCTCGTCTACCCTCCTCATCGTCTACTTCTACGCCCCGTGGGCAGCGCCGTGCACGCAAATGCGCACCGTCCTCGAGGCCCTCAAAGACGAGCTGAAGGAGCCGGCCAGCTGGGTATCGATCAACGCCGAGGACCTCAGCGACGTGTCGGAGATGTACGACGTCATGGCCGTGCCGTACGTCGTCCTGCAACGCAACGACCAAGTCATCGAGAGCATCAGCGGCAGCAACGCCGCTGTCGTCCGCACCGCCATCGAGAAGCAACTCAAGTCGAGCTCAGGCCAGCCCCAGACCAACGGCACCTCCGCCACCACCAACAACGGGGACGCCAGCTCCGCAGACAAGATGGCCGTCGATGACGAGCTGTCCCCCGAGGAGGAGCTGAACAAGAGACTAGCTGGCTTGGTCAAGGCCGCGCCTGTCATGCTGTTCATGAAGGGCACGCCTAGCGCGCCGCAGTGCGGCTTCTCCCGCCAGATGGTGGCGATCCTGCGCGAGCGCAGCGTCAAGTACGGCTTCTTTAACATCCTGGCCGACGACGACGTGAGGCAGGGTCTGAAGAAGTTCGCGGACTGGCCGACGTACCCGCAGCTGTGGGTTTCGGGCGAGCTGGTTGGTGGACTGGACATCGTAAGTTGCTACCCATATGTAATGCCGTAGATGTGCTTCATGGCTAATATGGTTGTCTGTTTATAGGTCAAGGAGGAACTAGAGGGCAACCCGGATTACTTCAAACAGTTTAGTGTACTCAAGGAGGACGAGGCTGCGGCAGCATGAACCTAGACGTCTGTCTACACCTATGATAAGAATGAATTCCGGTTGACGATAGGGGCTATGATTGACCTACCTATAAGGCCGGGGATGCTGATGAATGACTTGAAATGTGCGGCCGCGGGGTAAAGGGGGTAGGAATCGGCGCAACACAATGAATACTCTTATGGAATGGGGTATCAAGGGCCATACGGCTTATGCTTCGGCGTTTACGTTAGGTATTCGATGGGATTCACGTGTCTCCCCTGCGTAGCTAGGGTTCGGTAGGATCTCAAGGTTGATGCGGTTAACATACCGAGGGACCTTGCTGGAAACTACAGATAGCTTCGCATATCATGATCACAATACGAATAAATTGACCAAATGGTGGTGTTCATTTCAGTGGCCCTTGTTATAAATGTTTAATCTAGAGGGACATTTAGTGGGAAACTCCTGGGTTCATCCTTTCGTGATTTTACATTATTCGTAAAAGTTACAAAAATACGTTAGGTTAAAAATGTTTGATCGTGTATTATCGTTTTATATATGTGGGATGGGTACCCATGGCCAGTTCCTTGTGGTGGAGTTTGTATGAGAAATGGAAAAGGGGTAATAATAAGTAGGGAAGTAAGATGATGGGGCATCAAATGAAAAGAATTAATAGGAAATGGATAATAGTAAAGAATATCAACATAATACAAAAATGAAAAAAAAGATCAGCTTGCAGCAGAGCCGGGGACTTGACCTGACCAGTTGGCTTGCCTGGCGCCCTCCACGCGACTCGAACCTAGGGCCTACGACAAACCCCGGACAGTTTTATCTATTCCTTCTTGTCCACAACCAACTAGACCAACAACCACATTGATCTATTGGAGTGAATCCAGATTAATTGACAATGTAATAAAAACGGTATATATGCCTTGTGCTTTGGTGGGGTAAGGTTGTTGCCTGGCACGCGCCGACAAGCTTGGGGATACCTCGCGTGAGTGGGGCCAGGAACTTTGTTTCTACCGGAGTACACCCCATTATCTGCCATTATCATGTTCCCTGTAATTCAGCATACAGAACTCCTCTCCTATGAGTTTTCGTTGGCGTGGCACTTCTCTTTCGATTAAATGGGCCGTCCTTTTGGTAACTGTAGCTTAAGTAGATATTTTATTACCTTTATCTAACTTACTAGGTCTGGCAGGAATCTTATCCTAGGAGGAAATATATGTACCTATACAGTTGACTGATTCTTGAACCGCTTTTACATGGGTCTCTTTTAATTATGTTTTGGTATGGGAATGAACACACGATATACCTCCTATTCTAAGACTGCTTGTTCTAAGCAGAATCATACAGCATTCCGAGAAAGGGGCAAACTTTCTCAAATATGTACAAGGAGCCCAGACCAATACACTCGGACATTCTGCGTCTCAACGAATTAGGCGAATCGGGGACCTTGCAGATGGACATCACAGCCATATCAAGGAAGGCCGTGGATTTAAGAATAGTCTACATTAATAATAGTTAAGGGGGAAAGGGATAGCTTTATTCCTGGAGCTAAGAATACTAGCCTAAGGAGATATCCTTTCGTGACAGTGGGACAAATCAGACTGTTCTAGACCTCGACATATGTCTTGATTCACAGGATAGAATCAATACGTATGGATATCTATATATATCTGTTAAATTTTCTCTGTGACAAATCAACCGGGATGGCGTCACAAAGTTGGGCCAATTCACTAATCAAGATCGAAGTATCATACCCAACCTATGTTTTCATTGGCTTGCCTCTATGTGATATCTTTATAATATTATTCATTGTGTGGTCGAGGAACGACTATGTATAAGTACACTCCATATTTACAACTTTGTTTCGTATGTACCTGCTTCCATAGCCTTCACATGGTAACCAGGATCTAAACTACTTGACCGGAGAAATTATCAATGTCTATGTACACGATGGAGTTTGTGTTTAAGGCCGATTGCAAAACCCTATCCTGCAGCTAGCTCCCACTATCATCTTACTATAAGCCGTCTGATGCAACTGGTCACTGTAACCCCGAAGCTCCGTCGCCTCCCCGGGCTTTGGTCGTTCGTTAGGTATACATATAATGTGCGCAAAGGGATCAAAAGCCGTTCGTATATTGACGAACCTATTTCATCTCTTCCCATCATGATTAAAACCGAAGAATATCTCATCCCTTGGCGGAGCACCTTTTCTTAGTTCCTCCTCAGACACTTCACATAATTGTTTAGACTCGTCGGGGAGTTCCCAAACCTTCATGGAATCTATTCGGGAAATAAACTGCATTCCCATACCTGCTTCGGAGTGCCATATTACGTGACAGTGGAAAAGCCACACGCCCGGGTTATCTGCAACAAAGCGAAGAAGTGCCCATCCGAAACCCTCGACAGTTACTGTGTCTCGTTTTAGAGGGTTCTCAATGACTCCCGAGGCTGTGGGAAACTGAAGGCCCTTGCCATCATCGTTGAGACCGAGCACGTTATAACCTGGGAAGTATCCGTGTCCGGCGCCCAAAATCCACATTTGTGTGCCATGGAGATGGAAGGGGTGAGCATTTTCGTCCATGTTCTGTAAGATGATGTCGACAGTTTCGGAGACACCCGTGTGAGAAATGACTAACTCGGATTCGGGATCGAATGCGGAATTTAGTATACCGGCTTGAATGAACGACTCATTATTCGAAGTGAGGCCATCAAGTACGCGATGCAGAGTGGGCGATTTGAGGTTCGGTCGGAACGAGGAGGAATTCATGACGCCTCGTTGTAATCGCCAGTCACCAATGGCAAGATTAACCCGTATGCGCCATGAGTGATCGGCGAATTCTGGGGCGGGTTTAGCTGGGGAAGGCGATAAAGAAGTTATTGAGCTCAAGTCTCTACATGTCGGGATGTACTGAAGCTTTGAAGTGGTCGTGGGTAGGGAAGAAGATTCGTGGTCCTCATGCCTCATATCCTGGGCATGATAGCGTACAATGGCTTTTGCCTCATCGATGCCATTTTCCGGGAGAGTTTGACTTGCAAAGCAAGCTTTTATCATTCTAGCACGGAGCCAGAAAGTCTCTGTATTGGACTGATTTGCCGTCAAAACCGTACTATATCGCTGCCCGGGGGCAATTATTAGCATAGATTCGGAAGTGGGCTCAACAGTGGTTCCATCTGCTTCAATAACAGGCAGAGAATCGTGCTCATCTACAGCGACTTGGAACCAGGCAAACCCCCCAACGTTCAAGAATCTTAATCGGTGGCCTTGGCCACGGGCCAAATCCAGGATCGGTAAAGACTTGCCCGTGTCCGAACACGCCCGACTAGGATGGTCTAAGCAGTCAGCTTGGTTCACACCGTTAATCAAGGCTGTATTAGGTATAGGTGCATCCTCGACGCCCGGAGATAAAAGCTCTCGCATTAGCCCACTATCTGAATCATAGTACCAGTCTTGGAGAAGGACTACGCGGTCCGACGAATAAGGGATGGGCTGATACGTTGCTTCGTCTCGGCTATGAACCACAAACGGCCCTACGAGCCCGCTGAGAGCCTGGACTCCTTGATGGCCGTGGTAGAAGTCTGCGCGTGATGAATCAGCGTCTTCGTCATGGAATGATACGGGGCAACGATAACGATGAAATTTCGGGTTTGTGAGTACGAAGAATACCTACAAGTACCGGCTTGGCCAGTGACATTGAACCTGTATCGGAACGATGCCCCTGGAGAAATAGGGCATTGAGTCACGCCTGCAGCTCCATCCATCCAGTTGGTACCATTCTGGAAAATACCGTGCCAATGGATAGCTGTGGAGTTGACAGCCGAGTTCTGAACGTTGACTTCGACCACATCACCTTCATTAACCTCTACCAACGGACCAGGAAACTGTCCATTGATCGTCATCATTGGCTTTACAACGCCATCTGGGTCACCCTCCTTGTCGACGATGATCCAATCATACGTTCGCACTTGATTAGGGGCCCCAAAGTCCCATTCGGGATCTAGGACGTAATCTTCATCGGGACGCCGAAGAGGAGCGCCTAATGCGATCTCCAAAGGGGATGGTTCTGACCGCCCCTGAAGGTCAAGTGATAATGCTAATAACGTCAGAGGAAATACGGTTCCAAAACAGGAAATTATAAACGCCACGTTTATCCACCACGGTTGACGTTCGCGAACTACATCGGACCTTGATGTCACCTCCTCAATATCGCCACTTCTAGATGCAAGTAGAGGGTGCCGTGTCGCATCATTTCCCTCCTCACCGCCAGTGAAGTCTAGACTTCCGTCACCATCACTACTCGACGAGAATAGTTTTCCCGCTTCATCATGACTCTTCTCCATCGGCGATAGGGGTTGCGAGGAACGGTAGATGGTCATTCTTCTGCAACGCCGAGGGTTCCCGAGCTTATCGCAAAGCTTAATGGTTTAAATCAGTAATTGATGTCGTCTTTGAGGCAGCATCGTGAAGCATCTAGAGTCTCATCGAGGCATCATGCCTTGGTAATTCGACTCAGCTGACTAAATGGGACTTGGATGGATGGATGGGTAGTAGGTAAATAATTAATCCAAGCATCAAGAGATTAGTCATGAGGTGGTTTATACGAGCTCTAGGACATTTGTTCAACTTTAACACGCTCGCAACAACATTGTTGGTGGCATTGAAATGAAGCAGGATGGAATTATGCGACTTAGCGATTACTATCTTTAGGTACTTAGGTACCTAAGCCTCAAAATAGACCATTAACCATATTCGGAACTTAGTGCAACCCTCGTGACGATCTGATTGGGTCCCAGTTTATCTTACGGACCCAGTTCATGCAAGTGAAACTACTCTATCTGAGATGTATCTACCCGTTACTCACCACGTTCCTGCCGCGGTAAATTCATCGGGCCGGCGCGCCAATGACGGAGATGCACCGTTCGTCCGGGGCACCGATTTTGTGCTTTAGTAATAGAAGGACGTCGTGGACGAGTTGACATGAAGTTAAGTTTCGGCCACTATTTTCCCCGTTGATGCCTCCGTTTCCACTATTGCCTCCCGTCTTAGTCCAAGGTTCGGTACGATCCGCCTCGGAGCCCGGAACGTGTAACCCTTCGTCCTACATACCCTTTTAAACTATTTGCTAACATAATAGCTACCTAGTAGCCAACAATTGTGAAGAGATCCGATTTCATATATCACCATTTGCATGCAGAAGCTACGTAGGGGGTGTAATCTGTCAGAAGATATTGCTGTAAAATGCAGAGCATAGAGTTGATGAGAGCTGATGAAAGCTGAGCGCAGTCATCATAGGAGTAGGTAGCACCAACTCCGAAAATGACTATTCCACAAGAGATGAGTAATAACATTCAACGCGACGCCATACATGTATGCCTGGATATGGCAAATGGTCTTTGAATTAAGCTTAAGCTAATTCAATTAGTGTCCCTTTGAATTAATAGCAATGGTATACTTTACGTCATTGTAACCTTATGTGAACTGCAATCATATTCATATTTTCTCCTGTTGGCTTAATTGTCATTGTCTACTAGCCTAATGTGGTACCTATTTGGCATAGGTACTCATATAATTCATTATATGAACATCAAGAAAAAAGTAAAAGCAAAGTCAAATTTAGGGGTTAAGGAAACGGTCATATATTTAAATACGGAGATAATGACTAAAGTCCGTCGCTAAATAACTATTTCTTGGCTCTTCATAATTTTCTATAGAAAATAGGCAGCACACCTACGTACCGCTTACGACGTTATCTCATAGTAAGTATCAGGTATGAGTCATACGGAATATGCCAAATTTTCTGCTTGGTAGCCTTGCATGAAACAGGGTTATGCACAGAAACCCCAATTGAAATGTTACTAAACATATTTTCCCTCTTCATATGATTTGCATGAGGATAGGTTGATTCTCGTTAAATTATTTATCCGCATAGAAATATGCCTATCGGATTGGAAGAATCAATTGGTAATACCATGGAAATAACTACCATATACTCGATCAGGTGTTAGAACTTACAATTGGTTGGCGGTCGGTACGAGTACGTACGTACATATGAAAAGATCAGGAGAGGTTTTATTTTTCTAGAAGTCAGTCGAGAGCTTAGGACATTAACAGCTAAGCCGGAATAAGACATCCGGGAGTTCGTGCATCATTTCTAAGGTTTCCCCCACTATCTCTTTTCGGTTTAACGCCATTCTTTCCGGCGCCTCCACTGAGATACCCACATGCCCACCATAGCCTTTACCCTCCAACACGCTGCCGTCGCAATCCTCACCACTTTCATCTTACCTAACACACCTGAGAAACGGTGTCTTCTCTTACCCTTTCTCCTCCACGCTCTACTTTATTCTACCTCTCCAACACTGTCATAGAGGAGAAGAATTAATCGAATTTTATTCACTTTACCTTAACTATATAGTAGCTAAGGTTAACATATTCGCCACTTTATGTACATACGAACCGTTACATACGATACAACGGGTTGTATTGTCTTACCCTCAACTCTACCATTGAAGTACCAAATGTAACTACCTCCCTACTTACGGTAGACGGCTTTTCATAGACTTGTAGGAATTCCCGAATTTCTTCTGTATCGCCTATATAGCCTTTTTCGAATAGTAAAACATTTACTTACCAAGAACCCAGAGTATCGTCGTCAATACCACCAACCCTTTCTCGAAGTCGCTCGTGCGCTATAGTCGCTCCCCTTAAGACAACCTGCATTCCTCTCTACGAGAAGAACTAGGCGCCTATACTCTTAAACGTACTATTTATATCGGTGGATTGCGACCGGGTTCCAGGCCGCTTTCGAATATACCTACGTTGGAGAATTAGAGTCATTTATAGCTAGATCCACCCAATCGATCAGCTTGTCCGGTCCGGACGTTGCGCGTCATTATACTCTAGGATACCTAGATACCTACTAAGTAGGTATCTGATCATTTATTCAGTTGTGTATCCGTATTGGATCAGGATATCAAACTGTGCTAGGCTCTCTGCGCAACTCCACTTCAAGTAATAAGACTGCCTTAGCTTGTCCTCGGCTAAGGCGTCTACGATCTCGAGGTCGCTTAGTTGGGATCTTCTTGCCTCTTAGGTCTTCATTTGCGGCTCCTGAGTCTCATTGGCTATTAAAGCTAGTGATTGAGCGGATATTGCATCACCCTTGGCAGCACTGCGGTCGCTGTACCCCTGAACTTTCTGCAAGAACCTCTCTATCTCCGAAAGATACAAACCCTTGAGGGTAGTCCACTACCTCTGAAGTAACCATCGACGCTTACTCATTGGTTTCTGGCTTCTATTGCTCCATACTGCCCTAAAACGCTGTTCTAGCAAGTGGCTTACGTGGATTGAAAAAGAGGCTGGCCCCTTATAACATTCAAACTTCCTAAGTCCGGCATACAGCTTTGACACAAGAGCGAGCACCCTAAAAAATAGTTTTCTTACTTACCTATTTGGTTCAAATCGTTTCGAAAATGACCCCCACACCCCCGTCTGCTACGACATCGTCCTCGGGCCATTCGCCCGAGGAGCAGTTTAGGGTGGTTCGTCGTCGAAATAGGGTGCCGCTCAGCTGCTATCCGTGCCGTACAAGAAAGTAAGTAAAACCGGTCCTTGAAAATGGCATTCCGATTCCCTAATCCAACGCGTTGCAGTTTTCTGTGCAGTACGGCGTCGCTGACCTGCTCAACAGGTTGAAATGTAACAGGGGAACTCCGAGCTGCGAGAATTGCGTGAAGCGTGGTGACTCCCAGTCATGCGTTTACGCTACTCCAACAAGCCGGAGGAAAAACCAAAGTAGTGCTGGAGCTTCTTCAACTCCTGATGATATGCAGAATCGTATTGACCGTCTGGAAGGTTTAGTCCTAAGTTTGATGCATGGCGGTGCCAATATCGACGTTTCTACCGCAACGGCTGCCGCGCCACCGGCCCCGTCCAACACAGATAGCTCTTCACCTCATATCGAGCGAGAAGATGAGGGTACAATGAGAGATGAGGTCGAACCCGACGACGGCGACAGTGACGTAGACGATGGCCTAGCTACCTCCTTAGGTGTGCTTAAAGTCGACGCGGACAAGGGGAAGTCGATGTATATCGGACAGGAACATTGGCATGTTCTCCTAGCCGACATTGCTGAAGTGAAAAATTTCTACACCTCACATAAGAAAGAGCTCGAGAACAGTTATCAAAGGGTCATGTCTTCCAAACCTGCAACTGCTCGAGACTCTCCTATTTTTCTATTGTCTGCCCCGCCAGCTACGGAAGTTGAACTAAGAGCAGAACTCCCTTCGCGGACAGCAATAATGACTTTAATTTCAAGGTATTTCAATTCTTTGGATACTGCAGCTAGTATAGTCCACGGGCCCACGTTCCAACAACAACTGCGGAGTCACTGGCAAGACCCGTCTAAGTCAACTATCATGTGGATTGGTCTCCTCTATGCTATGCTCTGTCTAGCAATGCTCAGCTATCACAAGGTTGGAGACGAGCCTCCAGAGTGGAAAGGTAGGTCCCTGGAACTCGCAGCAGAATACCGATTACGAACGGTGCAATGTTTGGTAGTGGCGGATTATACCAAGCCAGTCGAGTATACAGTGGAAACACTTCTGCTTTATTTATTTGGGGAGTATTCTTCGCGTTGGGACGCGGATCTTTCACTTTGGATTATTACAGGTATTATCACAAGATTAGCCTTCCGAATGGGATATCATCGAGACGCGGACTGGTTCCCATCAGTCACGCCATTTCAAGGAGTATGTGAAATTTCTTCGAACTTCAAATTGCCAAGTGTATCCCGCTAATATTATCATAGGAGATGCGGCGTCGGACATGGGCTTTACTCCGCATGGCGGACATCGTATTCTCATACCAAGTAAGTTCAAACAGAGAGAACTAAGGCTGAAATCACCATTGTCACATCCGGGTATTAACAATCAAATAGGTCTCTCTACCCACGATGATCTATGAGCACGACACTGACACAAAGCTCCCACACAATATATTTGATGAGGAATTTGGGCCTACCTCCAAATCCCTCCCAACATCCAGGGCGATGTCAGAACCAAGTCCGATCGCTTACATGATCGGTAAGACTAAGTTATGCATTGAATTCGGAAATATCCTACAAGACGTTACACGAGTAGGCAAGCAAGTCAGCTACGACGACATCCTAGTTCATGACCGAAGACTCCGTGAAATTATGGACGAGTTTCCACCTCATCTAAAAATTCGTCCATTAGAGGGCTCTCATGACCCAGTAACACTCATTATCGCGAGGTTCAACCTAGATATACTATATCAAAAGGTTATGTGCATGCTACACAGGAAGCACATGATGCGCGCGCGGCAACATCCGCGATATGCCCATTCTCGCCGCAGTGCTATTGAAGCCTCACTAGAAATATTGAAGCATTTAAGAACGATCTATCGCGAATGTCAACCGAACGGTCGCCTTCGTTCTATGAAATGGTATATCTCGGCTACGTCGAAAGACACCTTACTTCCTACTATGCTAGTAATTCTCGATCTCCATCACGACCATGGCCCGCATACCAAACGCCAGGATTCTCAAGCTGGATTTTTCTGGACGCCTGAACAACGACAGGAAATGATCACTTCTCTTGAAGAGGTCTCGGAGATTTGGAAGTCATTATCACACGAATCTGTGGAAGCTTACAAGGCTGCAAATATCCTCGAAATCATGTTAGGGAAGCTCAAGAATCCGGATCCCGCTCCGGGAGGCGCAGGAGGATTATCTGTGCCACCGGAAAGCCTCTTCTCATTTGGCGCTGAGATGCTACCCGAGCATTCTGCTGCTATGACGCTCGGCATGCTCTCTGGAGGTTTGACATCCGGTATCCAGTCCCCTGGTGGAACGACTTACCCAAATATCGATCTTGGTCTAGGGACAACAGCAGGAACTACAACAGGACTTACGCCTGAGTTTCAACCTGATACTGGTGGAATTGTTAATAATGCTGCGTCGCCATTCTCCATGTTCACTACCATAGGTGGAGGAGGTAACATGGCTATTGATAATAATAACTTTGACTGGGTATGTTGCTAATCTGACTAGAAACTATACGGTATTTTACTGACACTACTCAACAGGACGCCTTCGAGAACTATGCACAAACAGCAACTTGGGGGCCAGATCAATCTTCTTTCCAGTTCTTCGCGGGAAACCCAGACCAGCAATCCCAGCAAGGATCATCAGACGGATCTTTTACCTTCCTCAATCCGAGCACGCCCGGTTCATAACCCCTCTAGCGACATCATTGTTTGGACGTTAATCGCGGCGCTTGGTTATGACGGATTGGATGATATGGATGTCAGATACCCGGCTATCAGCCCTCGCATCTCGGTACATTTTAGGTGCAGCATCTGCAGTGTCTTCTTGTCTACTCAGGAGACTTGACAAAAGTGCATTTGGTGATGGAGGGTTATGTGTACGTATATATAATGTTGATGATGTCTAGGGTACATAGCATGAACCAAATAACTCTCCTCCGGGGCCATAGTTGCCATAACTTCACGGTCCTTTTAAGGGATTAAAGTAAATAAAATGGGGGTTTCGGATGAAAGATATCATTGTTAAGATAACTTGTGATTTCGTCCTAACTTTAGATGAGGCTTGATGACTAGGTAGGTATCTGCTAAGGATGGACTATGCTAGGTAGACATGCATACTTGGGGTCAATTGATGGTGGATGTTACGATTGTTATATAATTCTTCGACACTGTAAAGGCTTCTCCTGCTATGTATTACTAAGTTAGAGCAGACCTCGTACTGATCTTCATTTTCGATTAATCGCGAACTTGGAGCTAGGGCTTATGACAGATTCTACATCGGGCGAATCGCACAACACGGTGTTACTGCTTCATCATACATCACATGACAACCATAAGCATCATCATAGCCATGCCATGAACATCATTTATATAAAAAAATCATGGATAAATTCAATATACACAGAAGCGAAGACGACCAAAAAATCCCCCGAAGCACATAACCGCTGTCTTTTCCCTACTCAACGATGCGACGTAAAAAGTAATGCCAATGCCATCAATGCCTAACCTCAACTCCCCATAATGCATTCATGCATGCCAGACGTCCTATCCTAATCATCTCCAAAAGAAACTTAGGCAAGACCGAAAGCGGCCTTGGCCCGAGTCCAGTACGCCTTTCTCTCGTCGGTGACGGAAACGCCGACGCAGCCCATGTAGGCGGAGAAGCCGGCGTCGTCGCCCTTGGCGAGGGCGGACTGGACATCCTTCGTGCACTGGGTGGTGAAGAACCAGGGGCCGGAGCCGAAGTTGTACTCGTCGGTGTTGACGAGGGCGAGGACCTCGTTCTTCTTGGCGTCGGCGGCGTTGGCATCGACGCCCGAGACCTTGCCCTTGAGCGCGGAGATCGACTGCGCGTACATCAGGTTGTAGTTGAACATCTGCATGTTCGAGGTGCCCTGGCCGGGGCGGCCGGGCGAGACGTTGTGGCTGTACTTGTAGTTGACGGATTCGAAGGCCGTCAGCGCGATGATGCCTGCGATCTGACCTGCGCTGTAGACGCCGTACTTGACCATGGCGTCGGCGAGCAGGGGGCCGGCTTGGTCGGCGGTGCGGCACTCCGTGGAGCTGGCGCACGTCTTGGAGTCTGGCGCGATCTCGGCGACGATCTGAGCCGCCGTCTTGCCATCCCTGGTTTGGAGAGGGGCGCTAGGGGCGGGGGCGGCGATAGCCTGGCCGGCCATGAGAAGGCCGGCGACGGTAGCGATCTGAAACTTCATATTGCTGGTTTGGGTTGGTAGATGAGACTTGCTCTAGTAAGAAGTGATAATTGGTAAATGGGTTAAATCGATCAACGTCTTTCTCAGAAAGAATAGCGAATAGCGGGTCTATGCCGGAATATAAATGAAGGCTCAGTCAAATCTTCGGATCCGTATTGTTATCCAACTACACGGTCGTGGGGCTCTGGTTGGTAGCGGCTTTGTGGTGCTTGGCAACGAAAATAGAAAGAGTGAAAGGAACCACTGAGGGTGCTTGGTAAAGAAAGTAATTGTTTGGAGACAAGGGAGAAGAAACCCTTATATCTAAAATTAAAAAGAGCGAAAAGAGTTGCCAGAAGCCACGAATGAAAGAGTGAGACAGACGGTAAGTCAAAAACTTGGGAACGTGGAGTGAGATAGATGGCTGGGAAGGGGGAAAAAAGCGATGATATATACGATCCGAGTGTATTGGGCGAAAGAGACCTCTTACCAACTGCACAGCTGCTGCATCAGGCGCATTTGGCAGATCCTTTTCTGACGTGTAACCTTACCTTGCTTAGCTTGGCATAAGAACTGCGGTTGGGCTTGAGGAGCGCCGTAAGAGCCCCTGGATCGTGAACCGACCACAGAAATGGCTTGCTTTAACTCACCGGCCTTCCTAGTCTTGCTAGTACGAGACTGGTTGTGATGGACAAGCGACGGTAAGGAACGGTCAGGGGGTGACCGAGGGAGCCAATTACCCTTAGAGGAAGTCCTAGAACTGCGTCACTTAAAAACAAAAAGGCCCAGCTTTGTTAAGATGTTTCAAACGTTTGCCACCGATTGATTGACCATGATTGGCTAGGAACGATTGTGATCGGATTGACTGGTTGGTATCAAACGATGCACAAGTTGGGGAAGTATAAAAAAGGGGCAATCTGAAAGTGAAGTAATTGTTACTATGCAGCAGTTTAAAATCATATTTGTTGGATATCATCTGCTGCTTGCTTTAACTCATCGTCAATTCTTTTGCGAAAAGAGAGATTCGGGAGAGTCCGAGGGAAAATGCAACCTTGCACCCCTGAATAATGAACTGAGCCTCAGATTAATTGGGGAGGATTTTCAACGGGGTTCAAAAATTAAGGGCAGTAAAACCAAGGGAATTTATGAAAGCTCAGCCACCTTGGAAGTCACGAAGCTGCGAAGGCAGGTGAAAGACGAAAATAAATCATAGCCGCTAGCCTCTAACCAATTGGTGCGTCGGACAATCGTTGTGGGGAAGCTGCTAACCGATTTTAAGCTCTCTTGATTAGATAATCAGACATACAGTACATAGGTACATCTAGCGTACCTAAATCTTGTAACGTTCTAAATCAGCCACAATAACTTGTGAACGTGTGGCTGTCGTATTTTCTTGGAAGCTGTGACCCATCGGAACTCGTCGCATTTGGAGCTGCCCGACTGATAGCTAAATCAAGCTTAAGGTTACGCACTACAAACCTGTCGTCCTCATTCTTCAATCTACATCACAATAAGCTTTAGCCTAATCATCACAACTGTCAAGATGTCTAACCTCGGCGGCTATATCAACAGTAAGTCGCATCTCCCTCCCTTTAGCGGTCTCGACCTTTGACCCGAAACAAGGCTTGCAACGTGAATTCTCTAACTGGTGATTAGAGAAGGTCTTGATAATCACAGCAGACTCACGGACCCTGGTGGGGAACCTCTTAAGCTGTGACCAGATGACCAATTTGGTAAGAATAAACCATCGTATATCTCAGATGATCGTGAAATCCCTGGCTAACCCCACATGTTCAGGTCCTTGGCCAGACGGTCGAACGTGTTATCCGAACCTCCGACGACACAGAACCATCCACAGAAGTCCCGTTAGGTCTCTATCTTGTTCGAGGTGACAATGTGTGCGTAGTAGGCTTGGTGGATGAGTCACTCGACGAAAGCATCAACTGGCAAGAGGTAAAGGGCTCGGCAATTGGTGGTATAAAGCACATATAGGAGGCGGACTCGGTAACCGAACCACGTTATGGAATAAAAGCTTTGGGTCCTTAAGATCACAGATCTGGCGTTGGAGAAAGGATATTTGCATTTACACGAGAGGGGATTCTGGATGATTCTGACATAGGGTATGCATCTTGCCTAATGATACCCATATTTGCATCCTGCTGACACCTTTACTGCTCTTGTCAAATCATATATATGGATCTAACCAACTCATGGCCCCCTAAATCACTGCCCCCTTCACCCGAACACTCTCTCCATCAAAAATGGCGCAAAAACCATTTCGCCTGGGCTAGTAACGTACCTGTTTATTCTATTACCCCTCTTCAAACTCAACCAGCCATCGTCATCTCCCGGGACTTCGAAAGTGTTCACGCCGTCGGGCTTCTTATGACCACGGCGATCCGAAACATGCATTCCATGAGTCCATTGTCCAGATGTCTCAACACGGATATCCTCCGGCGCACCTTTAGCCAGTGTCCACGCCGGGTCCGAACCCGTGAGCATATACCAGACGGTTAGGGGGTCATGGAGTGATAGTCCCGGCTCCACGTCGGTACCAACTATGGATGTTATTTGACGGAAAATACCAGTCATGAATGTATTGACCCATATTCCCAATGGACTCTTCTTGGCAAGCTGCGATTCGACTTTCTCCAGAAAGAAGCCGAAGTTCAAGAGGTGGGGTGTAGTGATATCAAGGGGGAATAGACTCAGATTCAGGGTCTTGGAAAGCTTTTCCGGGTACGGCGGCAGGGTCGCCTTATCCTTCGGGATTGGTGGCATGGTGGAAGCAGGGTCCAGTGATGTTAAGGCAAACACCCGAGCGGCGGCGACAGCATCGGCATATGTGTTGAATTCGGCAACCGGCGTGACGTTACCCTCGCACTCCACAGCTCCGCCCATGACAGCTACTTCCTTAACTCTAAGGAAGGTTTCAGGGTCCTCCGAAGCAGCTAGCGCTAGATTAGTTAACGGGCCAAGAGCGCAAATCGAGACGGTGTTGGCCGGTTCCTCTTTTAGGATTCGCAGGATCTCCTTGTGCGATGGAGTTTTTGAAGGCGTAAAATACTTCAAATAAGAGGGCTCGTCAGCTTCGCTTGGAAGTCCGTCTTTGAATAGAGCCTTCCAAGTGTCGGCTGGTGATAGATGCGGATGCTAATGCGGTATGTCAGCTAGCGTTAACCCCCACGAGATAAGGCCCCTTAAATATACAGCTTCGTGGACACCATGCAAACCATCAGCGCCATCTAGCAGATATTATGTCAGCAACGGTTTCTCCTAGAGTAATCTAGTGCATGCTGATATATCTCCACTTACGGAAATTATCAGCCATCAGAATCTCGTCTTCCAAAGCATGCTCAGGACCGACGGCGACGATGGGCTTATAAGTACGCAGAGCCTCGAAACCTAGTGGCTTTCCCTGAGCCTTGCGCCATTCCATCTCGTTATCAAGAACATGGAACATGGCGACGACGTTCCGTAAACAGGCGTCCAGAGGCACATTGCCGTAAGTGACTGAAATCAACACCACCTCTAACTCCTCCGGCGAAGCCGCTAGAGCTAGAAGCATGGCCATGACATCGTCGGCACCTGATATTGATCAGCTAGGGTTTCTCATCGAAGCTAAATAGAGCTCTACATCTTAGCATTCTCTACTTACCTGGGTCGGTATCTATGATAAGCTTCTTCGGAGCCATGACTGCGTTGGGATCCCAATGTTTTCAGGAAGATGTTTGGACTTAGAGTAGTATATGATACAGAGGTGATTACGAAGTAAAATAGAAGTCGTTCAAAGGTCAGTGGGGAAAACTAGAGATGGTTAATATGGAAATATGGAGATATGGAAACAGCGATAAGATGAGGCTCCAATTAAGCATTTTATGTAGGTACATTAAGGCACTTGCGACCCAATGACGCCAGCGCCCTCCGTCGGTGACCTGCGGGTGGGGAGCCGATCCCGCAAGTCTCCGCCCGGCCACCGGAAGATGGACTGTCTTAAACACACCAACAGCCTCTATCTAGTATTGTTGTATGTCGACCAACACTACGAACTCAATGAGAATATCAAATGCCGACCCAACGACTGAATTACTTTCCTAATGTAATAGAAAATAGAAGGAGTAGTAGTATAATCTTAGTGTTGCCGCATCCTCCATAGTTCTTCAAATTTAACGAGAGTAACAGGCGCACATCGCCAAGTAATGTCCGTTTCGCCATACACGACACGTGAGGCACATCGGATACACTTTGCGAATCGTGAATAGCCTACACAAATTCGAACCTTGGAAATAGACGTGCCTAGCAATGCATAAATAGGCAACCTGTTCCCTTCATCGTATAGGTGACGACCTGCTTAAGTAGGATAAGGTAGCGAATGTGCTAAGCATCCATGGATATGTAATATCGTCAATTAAGAGTAGTTAAGGGGGATTTGACGAGCCCTGGAATAAATGCGTATGCCTAAACCATATTTTGATATTAGCAACATATAAAATCCATAGCTTAAATACTCCAGATGCACCCAACAAAATGGAGAGGTTACAGTGGATGACAGTTTTCTTTCAACTACTTGCTGCCACATAATACCTACATATCTATGTAGCTATTGGCTAAATTGATCTTGGTTGAGAGATCTGGATCTGCGTGAGACATGCAAGTCGCCATGTAGGTCCCTCAATGTTCATTATAAGGAAGGTTAACTGACTGGTGAGAAAATGAATGATTACTCAAATCAAAAAGCTGACAGCTTGCATCACGGAGGTTTCAAAACCGATGAACCGAACAATTCTCGCGGATAGTTCTCGCTCTATCTATCCTACTAGGTACATAGATTGCGCTAAGTGTGAGAGTTCGTTCCTTAAAGGCGAAGCCAAGCGAATTTTTAAGGGGCTTTCTGTTTCTCTGTGTCCACAATTCAGTTTGATGAGACGCTAATACAATAACGAGTTAAGGCGGATAGAGAGTTGAATTATACATTAGCCAGCCCCACTATCCTTGTACTGTATTGGACAGCTGTCCAACACTGACCCCTTTAAATGGATGAGCTTCTACTTCTAGACTTTAGTCAATCGATTGTACCTCGTATTGATTGGTCAATGATCATTAATGACAGCACAACCTTATCCCCTAAGTTATTGAAGTTACCACGCCGCGACCACCATCTGTCCATATCCATCCCATCCATTGATAACTCTGACAACTTTGACAACCTTGACAACCATCTTACTATGTAAGTCGGAAAAATAAAAGTTTACAGACCACGTTCACTTTGTTCTTCGTTTTATTCTTCCCAATTTTCGTATAACTTGCCATAAAAAAGTACACGTTTTTATTTACTTTTGTTAAAGCACTTCGCCACTGATTCAGCTCCGCCAGAGGCTTGCATCGGCCACCTTTCGTTTATCGGCTGTGCTCGTCCACACTCTTTCCTATTTGTATTGTGCAGTGCAGGAGAGCTCGACATAATCGGCGCATTACCTTCCGTCACTGGTTTAGCTCCTCCGAGCTGTTCGTACATCCGGTGTGTGTCTTACAAAACACGCAAATTTGAACACATCGACATCGCCGAGACGTCTTAACACCTTCGTTCTCGAGGCACTTGGTGCTGCCATCAATTTATCTTCCCTCCGCCATCGGCTCTATCCGGTCAACGACGCTTACGTAGCTGCGCTCACCGCGATTTCCATTCCCCTTCACCATGGATATTTCTACCACTCACTCGACCCTCACCACTATTGGCGGATGGGTGGTCATTATTGGAGTTGGCGGACTTGTCTGGTACCGTAACAAGCAAAAGCAGCAACAAAAGCGAACTGAACGTCGTGGTTCTTTCACTAGACAGTCAGGAAAACAAAATGAAGTCGACTTGGGAATCGACACTAAGAAAAAGACGGAGAAGCCCACAAAGCCAAAACCAAAGCCGAAAGCCCCGACAGATACACCAACTCAGCCTGTTCCATCAAATGTAGATTATAATCGCGATGAGGTTGAGGCTGCAGATAAGAAAGCCGACCGGGAGTTTGCTCGACAATTAGCCAATGCTCATACAGGAACCAAATTCAACACTAAGAAGTCGGATGAGAAGAAACAAAAGTCTGTTAAGCAATCTAAGGCTCAGGAGATTTCCGAAGTACAGGCTGGAAAGATATCGGTTCCCTCCTCCCACGCCGGCGATGCCGATGATGATTTGTCTTCTCAAGCCTCTCCCGTTGTTGTAGCTGCTGATGGCCGAGATGTATCAGACATGCTCGAATCCACTGCCTCCGGTCCCTCCGTCCTCCGTCTAACTGATGTCGACTCTGTCAAGAAGCCCAAGGAGCGAAAGCAGAAGGCACCCGAAGTAGTTGAGACAAAGAAGCAACGTCAAAACCGAAAGAAGGCCGAGGCTGCTAAGGCTGCCCGTGAGGAGGAAGAGAAGGAGCGAAAGGTTAAGTTGGAACAGCAACGACGAACTGCTCGTATTGCCGAAGGACGCGCTGCTAAGGACGGCTCTACCTTCGTAGCCAATACTCAAAATGCCTGGAATGGCAAGCCTACTAACGGCGACGACAACACCGTCCAACCCTTAGATACATTTGACGAGAAGCCGAAGGCAGAGCCAGCGAAGGCTGCCAAACCTGCTAAGCCTACCGTTACGAAGGCTACTGAAGCCGCCAAGGAGAAATCCGACCCTTGGATTGCTGGTGTACCATCTGAGGAGGAGCAGATGGAGATGCTTCGACAAGAGGACTCGTGGAACGAGGTCAAGACGAAGAAGAAGGGAAAGAAGAAGGACGTGTCCGGTGAGACGTCCACAGCTTCAGCACCGGCCACAAATGGTGGTAGTACTCCGACTGCCAAGCCATCGGCCCCAGTCAACGGCACCAACAAGAAGCCGATCCTAACCAGCAGCAGCTCTTCTTTTGCTGCTCTCACTCCTGAGGAGACTGACGATAATGATGAGGAAGAGTGGGATGTATGAAGTTGAGACATTGGGACGTTGGGCACCTCGATACCGGCACACTCTACTTCTTTATACATTTTACCCGCCGTGAATATTGCATAGATTTCATCACTTGACCCCTTTTCTTTCAACGGTCGACCCCCCTGTTGTACAATATTCTCCACCATCACCGCCTCACATCGAATCACACTACAGACATGGGACGTCAGGCATCTCAACACCAAAAATTTAGGGCTTGGGCTTGGATCGGGCAAGGGAGATTCGTCTTATTTTTCTACTTTTATTGCTGGATGCCCGAACGACACAGAACTTGGCCGCCCTTGCTTTGTATCAACGACTACATTTTTCTTCCCTCTTCTTCTACTCGTTGCAGCTGATCTCTGCACTAACGGCGCGACAATCTCGTGCTACCCGACTTCCCCTCTCGACCTGATTGGGACGTCGGCGGTCGTGCTAATGTTTTTGTGCCCATAGTTGGCGGACAGATAAGGGCACCTTTTTCTTAAAAATTCGAAGTAGCTATGAGATCAGAGTAGCACAATGGATGCGCATATTTTCCTTGTTACTGTGTCTGCTTTTAGTGAAAATGTGATATGATAAGATGGTACATGTTGTGTTGTAGGTGTGTTGTGCATAATGCTTTGTACATTAGTTAGGTATGTCAACATATGTAGTTCATGCAGATCTTTTGCCCATATCCGGAACCAATAGAGTTGGTTTTACCGGACTACACATAATTGATCATAGCTATGTAGAAAGCTATTAGTAAGATTGTAACAGGTGAACAGCTTTTTCAACCAAGCTAAAGCAGAGTCGATTTAACATCATGGAAGCAAAAAGGCAGCTGTCGTCCATTATATACTGCAGATCATAAGGATCTCGGGATCTCGGCTTCAGTTCTGGCTAAGATGATGAGATATCCATCGGACCCATAATACATTAGAACTGGAACCTAGCAAGAGAACGGATACATTTTTTATCATGGTCAGCATTTAATAATAGCTCTTTATAATAACTTTAACGGCATAACTACTTTTTCCTAATGGCATAATTATTTTTTAATTGGGATTAATTAATGTTACGATATTTTATTATTTAATTTCGTAGTGTTTTTATTATATACTTTATTTTAACGTAATTTTATTAGTTTTATATTTTAAAACTATTTTTAACTTAATTATATTTAATTATTTAATATATATAATAACGTTAATTAAACTAAATCGATTTATTTATTATATTAAATTATAATACGAAGTTATATTAATTTATTTAAATTCGAAGTTATTTTTATTTAAATTTAAATAATATAATAATAAAATAATCCTTAAAATTTATTATATTATATTTATAATAATTTTAAACTTTAATACTTTTTTTTAAACTTTTATATTAATAATAATTTTTACGATTTTTATTATTTTTATTTAATTAATAATAACGTATTAATTATTTTTTTAAATATTTATTTAATATTATTTTATTACGTTATTTAAATTTAATAAAATTATTTTATTTATAAAAATATTTATTATATTTTTTAATTAAACGCGAACGGTTTAAAAACGGGAAAACTTTATTTTATACGATTTTAATTAATTATTTAATTTATACGAAATTATTTTTAATATATATATTAAATATATATACGAATAAAAATTTACGATTATTATTTTTAAATTTAATAAAAAATAAAGTTTAAAATTTTCGAATATAATTAAATATACGGCTTTTTTATATAACCGTTATAGCGATTTTAAAATAATTAAAATATTTTTTTAGCGTTAACGATTTTTTTAAAAGTGTAGTTATTTTTATAAAATTATAATATTATATAATGGAAAAATATTAAAATAGTGTATTTAAATTAAAAATTTAAACTATAATTATTTTTACGATAATATTAAAATTAACGTTACGTTTTAGCGATAATAACGTAAATTTATAAATGTAGAAATTACGGTGTTAAAATTATTACGAATTAGTTCGTTAATCGGTAATTAAATCGTTTTATATTTATTTAATAAATTTTAAAAAATAAAAGAAAATGTTAATATAATATATAATATAAATTATAATACCGAAAATTTATTTAATATAAATTTTATTAATTACGAACTTATTTAAATTATACGTATAAGCGAAATAATAATTATTTTTAAAAATATATAAAATATTAATATTTTATATAAATAACGTATTTAAAAAAAATTATTAAATATTTAAATATTATTAAAAAAGTTAAATAAATATAAAGAATAATATAATATTAATTATTTTATTAATATTAACGAAAAAATAAATAAAATAACGAGGTTATTTTAAATTTTTAAATAATGTATTTAAATGTGATAAAAATATTTTAATATATTATTATTTAATAATATATATTATATAAATTAATATATACGTTATTAAATTTATACGCGTTTTATATATTAATTTTATAATATTTAAGTTAATAAATTTAATATGTTATTTTTTAATATTACGGGTATTATTATTTTATATATTAATTTTTATATAATTTTTGATTTATTATTTAACGAATTAAAATCCGATTTTTTATAATATTTAAAATGTTTAAATAATTTATAATAATAATATTAAATTTAATTTTTAACGGTTATATTAAACGATTTTATTAAAGGATTTAAATTTATAATTAATTAAATTTTTAAAAATATATTTTAATAATTATATAAATAGTATATATTTAAAAACGTTATTTATTATGTAAAGTAAAAATGGATTAATTTAAGTAAAAATTTTATTATTAAATTATAAAATATTAATAAAATGCGGTTTTACGATATTTTTAAATATAATAAGTTTAAATTAAATTTATATATATATAAAGTAATTAATTAAGAAAGTGATAATAATAATAATAATTTTAAAAAAATATAAAATAATTAATAAATTATGTAATTATTTAAAGAAATAAAGGTTTAAAATTTAGTTTAATATTAAGATTTAAATATTAAAAAATGGTTAAATTTTTATAATAATTTTATACGAATTTTTTAAAATTATATTTACGTTAATAATAAAAATACGTTTTAGCGTATTTAAAATTTATTAAAAGGGAGATTTTAAAAGTAAAAGTATACGTTATATTTTTTTAATTCGTAATTTTATTAATTTTTAAGTTAATAAAATTTTTTATATATTAAAATAAAGTTTTATGGTTTAAGTTTTAAAGTAACACGTGATATTTTTTTTTTTAATTATTTTGTTAATTTTTTTATTTTTAACGTTTTTAAATTATATAATTATTATTTATTTTTTTTAGCGAATTAAATTTTATTAGTATGTAATATTTTGTATATATAATTACGGGATTATTATAATTAGTTAGATTAAAATAGTTTATTAATATTTAAAACGTTATTTTAAAAATAAGTATAATAGTTTAAATTTATTATATAATCGGATTTATAAAATGTGTATGAATTATAAAGTTAATTACGAATAAATTATTAAAACGGTTAAATTTAATTTTTTATTTAAATACGGGTAAATTAATTTATTTAAATTAATAAAGTTTTAAATAGTTTTAATTTTTATATAAGAAATGTAGAAATAATATTAATTTATATATAATAATTACGTGGTTTAAAAGGATTAAGGTATTAGTTAATTATTTTATAAAGGATTATTTATTAAATAATAAGATTTATTTTATAAATACGTGTTTTTTAAATTTTTATAAATTAATTTAAATCGATCGTAATTTATTAAGGTTTAAATTTTAAAAATGAATAATATTAATTATTATTAATGGTTTATTAAAAATAATGGTTTAATTTTAATTAATAATAAATAATAAGAGAGGGTTATATTAAATTTTATTCGTTTTTCGAAGGGTTATTAACGTTGTGCGGTTTATATAATAATATTTTTATTAATTTTATAATAAAGTAAAAAAAAATTAAATTTTTTAAATTTTAAAATATACGAGTTAAATCGTATAAAATTAATTAATTAATTTTCGAAAAATAACGATTATATTAATTATAAAATCCCGTTATATAACGAGTTTTTTTTTTTATTTATTTAATAATAATAAGATCGTAAATTTAAAGTAAAAGTTTAAGATGAATGGATTAATTAATAAATAAAAAATTTATAAAAATAAATACGAAATTTATAAAATTAACGATTTTAATTTAAGCCGTAATTTAAATTATAATTTAAGTTTTATTTTATATTTAATATGTTATTTTTTATTAATTTTATATAATTATTTTTATTATAAATATATATTTTTATTATTTTATTAATTATTACGAAATTTATATTAAAAATAAATAATATAAACGGTATATAAAAATATTAATAATTTTAATAACCGTTAATATTATATTTATAAAAATTATTAAATTAATTATATGTAAATTAATTAAAGTAATATATAAATAATTAATTTAATTAATATAATTAACGTTTTAATTTTTAATATTTTATATAATTTAAATATATATTATTAAATTTTTAATCGTAAATTATTTAATTAAAATAAATCGTTTAAATTTAATTAACGTAATTACGTATATTAAATAATTAGGTTAAAAGTGGTTTTAAGGTGTAAAATTGATAAAATTACGTTAAGATAAGGTGTGCGATAAAAACACTGCGAAATTAGGTGGTGGGGTGTCGTGGTACTAATTAATCCCAATTAGGAAGTGGTTGTGCTATTAGGGAAAAGTGGTTATGCCGTTAGAGTTACTGCTCGTTGGTAGCCAAGATGTGGCGCTTGACCCTTTGAAACGTGAGAGAGAAGCTAATCCCCTTGCCCCCATTTATCCCCCAAACTTATCTCAATTGGTCCACTATCGTACATAACCCTTCCAACCCAGACCATATATTATTTCGTAGGATGCAGGGAATGCAGAAACATGCGTGGGATCGTCCACACCATTTCCAATTCCCATCGTCGTCTACCATCTACTAGCCTGTAGTCTGCCGGTTTACGTTTGTTCATCGACATCCTGAGTTCACTTCCCGAATTCCCTCCACTCGCTTACATACTTTACTACTTACAACATATCCTTTACTTCCTTTTCGTCTCATTATCCCCTCCACGCTGCCGGTGGTAGCTTCAGAGTCGTCTTTCTTTATTATTGTTGTAAATTAAGACGGTCTGATTTCTTCCTTTCTTCCTTCCATCAGGGGGTCAATTCAGCCATATTATTTTTTATTCCACTCCGACTTCACCTTGTAACACGACAACGACTTCCTCTATACCGATTGTTTGCTATCACCATCACCATCATTGTTTCACCGCACTAGTTTCTGCTTCGGTTTCAATTTAAGTACTTCGACGGCTCGGCTTGTCCAACTCACAATCTTATGATACAATTTGGAGTTGAGCAACTTTTGGATTCCCACCGACGCCTACCGTACAATACATACTTGTCCCATTTCCTTCCAATATACAAATCGTACTCACTCATTCACTCACGCGCTGGACCTCGAAACTCAACGATTAATTGACTTTTCTTTTTCTCTATACCGACGAATTCACTCTACTTGGCGTGTTTAGAAACGCTCAATTGCACCTTCTAAACCCTCCCTGAACTTAGTCTTGCCAAAAATAGAATTCGTCTTGTATTGTTGGCCAAACTTAAAACGACGAACGAAGCCTCCCCTCGCCGCTAATCTCGAACCGATTCCTCTAAACCTCTCATTTCGATACGCCCGTCTACGAACCATCTTATGAACTAGTTATTTCGCCAATGCTGTTACCAGGGATAGTCCCTTCTTTTTCAACGTAGGCCTTCAACAGGCACACATACACACAAATATCCCCTACATATCATGTCGTTCGGTGTTGCTGTTCAGTCCGCCATATTTTACCTCGTATCTTGCGCGCCATGTCTTCAAGCAAAGCATCACCAACAATCCAAGGCGAAAGCCAAGAAGGAACGCGAAGAGAAGGCGCGCATCCAAGCCGAGAATCCCGGATCCTACCTACACCCGGATCCTTTCAATACGAACCCATATTGGTCCGAAGAAATAATGATGGGACCTCGCATACAATCGAAGAAGTATAATGGGGGCGTGAGTAAAGACATAAATCAAAAACGTCTAAACAGTTCTGGCAAGGAGAGCACGAGCGTTGCCGGAAGTAGTACTCAAGTCAACAGTATGAGTCCAGGTAGCAGTCGGACGGCAGTCGAAGATGGTAAACTTAGCTTTTCCACCAGCTATTCAGACGATTGGAACCGGAAACGTTACCAGAGGGAAGATGAAGAGTTATGGGGTCAAGGTCACGATTTATCCCGTACTCACAAATTGATGGACGCTCTTAAGCAAGCGGGGTCATCTGCCGGCCGATTATTTGATGCAAGTTTAGGGAAGGAAAAGGAGCCGAAGCTAGTCACCGACGAAGATAGGCACAATTTCTATTTTGCACCGCGAAACCCTCCCGTCAACGATTACCATCCCCCAATCGTACGACAGAAGCCTACACACAAGGACGGCAACAGATGGATGTTGCAACCGCCTCCGCCTGCGAAGATTATGGAAGGTAAAGTGCCGGTTAGTAGGAGTGGAAGCATGGCGAGTCATATTAGCCGTAAGACGACGATGAGTGATGGATCCAACTTAGGCCGGCTGGTCCACGAAAGAGCAATGGAGGCCAAATTCAAGAGTGGCGAGTTGCCCTCGGATTTTGAATCCACCACGACACTTCACAAGACCATCACCAGGAAGAACACTGCTTCAAGCCGGGGACAGCAAAGCCACCGAGTTCCAAGAAGTAGGAGCGTATCACTAGAATCCTCGGATGCTTCAGACGAGCCCCGAAGGCGGAAAAGCCGTCGAGCCCGGCAACCGGTCCCTGCCGATTTCGACTCCTCGTCTGAGGAAGAGTACTACCTAAGAAGCTCAGATTCCTTTGGACGAGGCAGGAGAGCAGCTCGACAGCCCAAGTTGCAACCCATATCAAGTTCCCAGGAAAACGAGAAAGATTCAAAGGAGAGCGTGTCGCTGGAAGGTAAAGGAGATGCACTCACCCGGTCAGCTAGTTTCGCGCTCGCCAACGCTACGAGCAACTCCAGTCCATCCCGATTGAATCCCGCCACACCTAGCAGAAAACCCGTCGAAGAAGTGCGACAAAAGTCCTCTCCTGTTGCGTTAGGTGCGCCACTGAAAGCCTCGTCATAGTGTCATTAGGATAGACAGCTGGCCAAATCGGATAGCAGCATCGAGCTGCAGCTTCCTCGGGCCGCGCAATGCTGGCAAGTTAGGGTTTCACCAGGCGGATAGTACCGCATGGTCAGGTGGTTGTAGAAATAGCGGGCGGTTTGTTACATCACGGTTTCTTCAAAATGCATGGCAACTTTGGTCTAGGGGTCGCATTTGCAGGCTTGCAAGGCGTTTGGTTCGGTCCTCGTTTGACAAAATTTTGATGGCCCCTTTTTTGGTTGGCGCCTAGTACATTAGCATCAGACCAGCTGTCCGTTAACATAAATTTCGAGTGTTTGAATGATGGACTTAACGCATGTCTTATGTCTGAGATATCTCTAATCTGGCAATTAATTTCGAGTTTTGTGAGTGCTTCCCTGAACCAATAGACCATCGGTAATCGTAGGGATCTTGATATCATTGATGGATTCCCGTCCGATCCAGGAGGCCGGTGATGTTATTCTATGCAATATATCTTAAGCCACAATCCTAAAGATCCCGTGTCGGTATCTTCCCGCTTTGGTGGTGATGCGATAATGTACCTAATGTAGCCACATAGGTAGTTTAAATGGATAAAATAGATTACATATAATATAGGTAGGATACCTACCTAGGTATACTTAAACAAGGAATTTTCTATTTCTTCTGGGAGTCGGTGAGCTTGGTTAATGAATATAGCAGTTGGCAGTCATCGTTACCCAGTTATTTAAGTGAGTTGGTTGGTTGTATAAGAATTAGGAGAGGTGACTTTGAGCCGCAGTCTTATTTCCGCTTACGGAATAATAAAATGGAAGCTGAACCGATGATGTACATATGAATCTATACCTTATCTAGATATATACCAGGTATGTGGATACTACACACCTACCTACCTTGTATAACTGTTTGATTCATCTTCCACTCGGTTATACAAGGCTTACATATCCCTCCGGTTGTTCAGGTTACACATAATTTATAAGCTATCAGTTATCATTCCTTAATGGGATTTTTGCTTTTTTTCACTTGGCTCTGCGCAGAATTACCTCACGATATCACCATCTCCAAAAGCTGAACAGATACCCGGTGAATATGACATGGCTATTGCATAGGTAGGTAATGAAGAGTAGAGTGCAGATTCGGAGGATAGACCCATAATAGTATAAGTCGTATATGTGAGATTGAAGTCAACGTAACAGGATACCTACATAGAACATATTGTGGCTTGAACGACTACAAATCATATTGATGGGATAGTCTTCCGCCTATCTAATGTGGTAGTTATACGTGATTGTGTATTATTCTAACGTGGGTCTCTCAGTCCGCTATCTTCACCGGTTTGCGTTCATTCGCGAGAATCTCTGCCGTTTATCGCGTCAGTGATAGCGATCCCGTTCGACGAACCTATGCCAATACAATATCACGTCTGGGTGTTGATGTCAGAAGACCACCCTAGCGATGACAACCCTAGTTGACTATAGATGTGTAATACCTCAAATGCATCTACGGGAAGCATATTGCGATCGATTGGACACTATAATCAAGCTAGTCATGAGGATTAACTTCATTGCGCGCTTTGCGAATAGATAATGATTCAGAGTGATGCTATTGATTAAGGGCGATGGATGTAGCGTCGTGAAATACTACCTGAACAAGCATAGAGATTGCCGACCGCATCGTTGTAGATTAGTAGGCTGCGACGTTCTACAACGAAAGTGCCGATACTTCCCACACGGTGTCTATCTAACTGATCTAGATCCCATGCATAACCCCCGCAGCAGTGGGAGTTGAGTGTGGTAGAGAGCATATATATAATGGTCCAGAAGCCAGTGGCTCGATGATGAAATGGCTGCTGTATAGGTACATGACCTAATTCATCGATTAATCACTTGGCTTTGATTAACCTCTGAAATTCAACATGACACTTGTTAACGATATGTTATCCAAGTTGCCCTCACGTGAAGGAGTGGCTGAGATTCTGACAGCTCGTAATGCCCTTCTCATTCTTTACGGCTGGATAGTCTACCAGCTCTTACGAGCGGCATGGAACATTTCTCCATTCCATCCTCTCAGCCGCTTTCCGGGTCCCAGGTTGGCGGCGGCCACGTACTTCCCAGAATATTGGCATGATTTTGTGAAGTTTGGGCGATATACTCATGAGATCAAAAGAATGCACGAGATATATGGTACCGAACCCTTTATACATGACTAAGCATGAAAAAGGGATGATGTATATGTTAACAGTGAACCCAGGCCCACTCGTCCGTATAAATCCAGACGAGATCCACTGTAACGATTTCAAGTTTGTTGACTTCGTCTATGCGGCGGGTGGTAGGAAGCGTGATAAACCACCTCATCAGTCCAGGGGCTCAGTGTAAGACCTCTTTCTCTGTCCTGTCCTAGAACATAACCCGTCGCTAACAAAACATAGCTGGGAAGGATCCGGCTTTATGACACTGAACCACGACCACCATCGCCTTCGGCGGTCACCTTTAATCAAGTTCTTCTCCAAGCCCCAGATCGCACAGTACGAGTCACATGTCCGCGGACACGCCCAGCGTCTCTGCGATAAGATTATCGTTGAGGGAGCCAAGCATGAACCGTTTGAAATCCAAGACGCATACAGCTCCTTTACGTCCGACGTCATATCAGAATATTGCTTCGGCAAGAGTTTCGGCTTCCTGTCGCTGGAGGATGGGTGGACGCCAAACTTTCGCAATCCGTTGTACGCGCTTCTGAAGACGTTGTATCTCTTCCGCTTCTACCCCTTTTTGAAACACATCTTCCTCGCGCTGCCATTGTAGGTTCCCACGGATACCCTTGAGTAGTACCGAATGTGCTGACGGCATACAGGTTTCTGAATTACCTACCCAAGGATATGGCCATACTCATCAAGACCATGAGAGTAAGCGGCGCCTCCTCATACCCCATATACAAGGAAATATATCACCAGCACTAACACAACCCTTAGATCGACATCCCCGAACAAATCGCCCAAGCCAAAACCAACGCAGAAGCCGGGTCCACCGACGAGAAGCTCCCAACAATCTTTAAGGAACTACTCGACTCGAACCTTCCCGCGTCGGAAAAAGTGCCCTCCCGTCTGCTCGGTGAAGCCCTCACCATCCTCGGCGGGGGCACCGAGACCGGCAGCTGGACGCTCTCAGTAATAACCTACTTCCTGCTCTCGCAACCGCAGACCCTCGCCAAGCTCGCAGACGAACTCCACAACGCGATCCCCGACCCGACGAACCTGCCGCCGTGGGCGGAGCTAGAGCGGCTGCCGTACCTGTACGCGGTAGTGCAGGAGGGGCTGCGGCTCTCGTACGGGGTGTCTTTGCGGACGGCGCGGATCGCGCGTGAAGAGGATTTGGTGTATGAGGGGGAGTGGCGCGGGGAGAAGGTCGAGCATGTGATTCCGCGCGGGTATGCGGTGGGGATGAGTGCGGTGCTTATACATCATGATGAGAGCTTGTTCCCGGACTCGTATAAGTTTATACCCGAGCGCTGGCTCGATGCGAAGGGGAGGAGGGATGGCGAGATGGAGAGGCGGCAGATGGCGTTTTCGAAGGGCCCGAGGATGTGTTTGGGTATGAAGTAAGTTCGGACTGAATCCCCCTTTGCTCGATGACTGATTGACTGCCCGGCCCCTGAAATTGGGGCTGTGGTGACTTGTGGATATGATTGCTGACGGGTGTGTGCCGATATAGCCTTGCGCTCTGCGAGATGTATACTATTACCGCGGCTTTTGCGATGCGGGTGTTCCCGCATATGCGACTGTACGAGACGACTGAGGATGATGTTACGTATGACCACGACCTGTTTGTTACCGCGACGAGAAGGGATAGTAAGGGGGTAAGGGTGGTCTTTGCGTAAGTATTTGCGAAAAGGGGAGGATGTTAGTGACAGAAGCTGTTAAAGAGGGAGTCTCGTCATCTTAAGGTTTGGTACATATACTTCAACCTTATCCAATTCAGCAGGTCCTGCTATATGATGAGATTGAGATGGTAGTCAATCTAGTGGTCTTGTCCGATGATGGATCAGATAATAAGACATACTTTTCTTCGAGCAATCGGTTTTCCTTCCTTGGGACTGGATTAGCTTATATTAGTTTGAATAACACTTTTATAGTAACTAGGAATAGCCTTAGTGCTTCTGGATGAACTTTCATTAATAATATATTGATCGCTTCTTTGAAGCTTGTAAGACCTGACCTGAAATAAGAGCGCATATTTAAGTTATTGTATTCTCTTTGGCTCGAATATGGAATGTGATATGAGTTTGGATGCTGCAATTAAGACCTATTGGTATGTTAGTTTGAGTCAAAAGGAGGTTGAGAAAGATTCAATGCTACAAATTAAACACGGGGTATGGCTATCCAGATGCCAGCATCTTTTCTAGTCATTGAATAGGAAAATAAGTTCTTTTTATCGGAGCCTTACTAGACGGTAATGTTTGTTTCGCATACCTAGAGCATACCCTTTATGGTCATCTCATTCATTCCTACCCCACATAATGCATCCGATGCCTATCGGGGATAATTCTTGAAATCATACCCGAGTCCTTAACGCCACCAATGACTGCAGATCAAACCATTAAGAAGGTTGACTTGCCCCCCCTTTTCTTGTGATCTAAAGAGCGCCGAAAATTAGGCACATAAGTTATAGATGCATGCCACCCTCTGGGTCATCTTCATCGTCATCCGCAGGCGGTATTCGGCTTTCCAGCTGTCTGAGAAGCTCACGCTCATGGTCTCCTAACTGGCTGATAGTTCCCGTCTGGAAAGTGCCATCCCGCCACGCCGCATGGGCAGTCTCTCCGCCAGTTCCGTGTCCATTAACCCCGTTTGTCAAGTTTGCGCTTGAACTTGTGTCACCGCCGTTGGTGGGCGCAGCCTCTTCCTCGTCGGGCTTTCCTTGGAGCTCGCGCCAGCTTAAACCGCGCCTCTCGACTTCAACACGTATGCGGTCGATGCGGTCTTGCATGCGCGCGATCACAGCCTCGTTCTCGGTGATGGCGTCGATGCAGTCCTGGTCCGGCTGCGCGGGTTGGCCCTGCGGTTGATCTAGCGACGGGGCCGTTCCATCGGCGTAAGGCTTTAGCTCGGCGTTGGAGTAGTCGAGGTGAGCTATGGCGTTGCGCAGCTCTAGGACCTTTAAGGCGAGGCTTTCGGCTGAGAGATCCTTCAGGGCTTGGGCGAAGCGGGCTGGGTCTATGGGTTGTGTCTCGGACGACATGATGATGTTTCTTTACACCCTTATGTAATTTAAATATGTGCTCAGTAGTTTGTTTTATGAAGTTAGGAAGTTTGAGGAATTCTTCTGAACTTGATGGGTGTTTGAAGTCGTCGCAATACAGAAGTTGCCTACATCATGTACCTATGTACCTATAAAGCTGGGGGACGATGAGCTGCCTAATCGATAAGAGAATCGGGAAACTTTTTTGCGGGGATCTTCGAAGAGCTTTGGAGCTTGGGCCATGTACATAGCTACGACAGATGTGGGGCATGCGGGCCATCGGTCACAACCGATATTCGGAATGGAACTCTAAACAAGATCGCCACAACCTCGTCGTATCTTTCTCCAACTTGGGCAATTGGAGTTTCGGCTGTTCAAGGAAAGTTCGAATGATGCGATAAGAGCCCTGTTTGTCGGAATATCCCTAGTCTACAATTACCTGCTGTCATATCTTATCTCCATTGAATAACCTCATAATTATTCGAATTGGCCATTCACAGTTGTTCAATGGCCATCCCCCACAGGATGAATATGTATAAATTACATCCGGAGGATGGGGTAGGGCACAATTATGATAGTTGGATGAAGTAAAACCTCCATATTCGCCTCTCGTTCCCGCCGCCAAGTTTCAGGGTCCTATTTGTACTTTCTTAGCTATTGGAAAAGGCTTATTGGAACTCGCCTTATGCTCTTTGCTCTCGAACAATAGGCATAATGATCGTGTCTAAATTGGCTCTCGTAGCCGGCACCTTGTCAACAGTCACTCTAGGCCGTTCAGTTCTTTATGATGAGACTCAGCAGATCCTCGAAGGAGTTGCGCCGACGGATTTTAAGTGCGATTTACCATCAGTGCTAGACCCTTCAAAAGATGGCTTACCCGCTGCTCGGGATATCTTCTCCAGTGATGAGGCTTTACAACTCCAAGTCAAAAGACATGCTACCATTGTAAAGATACCTTCTATTTCGTACGATGATAGTGGAGAACCTGGCGAGGACGACAGATGGCAAGTGTTCTTCGATCTACATAGAGCCCTTGCTGCTTTATACCCCAATGTGTAAGTGCTTTTTGATACACTACTACCTATCCACTAGTCCCCTTAGCTAACCATATGTTCATAGACATCTTCGAATGGACCGCGAGACCGTGAACACGTTTGGCCTAGTCTACACTATCAAAGGAACAGAGCCTGCGCTCAACCCAATTATGTTAGCTGCTCATCAAGATGTAGTGCCTGTCAATGCTGTTTTCACTTGGAAATATCCGCCATTTTCGGCTCACTTTGATGGACAATGGTTATGGGGGCGAGGCGCGTCGGATGACAAGAACAGTCTAACTGGCCTCATGTCCGCGTTGGATACTTTACTGGCAAATCCCCAATGGGTACCAAGACGAACTATAATCGTCGCGCTTGGATTTGACGAAGAGTGCTCAGGCCGTCGAGGTGCGGGCTATATCGGGAAATTCCTAGAAGAGCGATATGGCCCTAAGTCAATTGACATGATTCTCGATGAAGGAGGAATGGGGCTACAACTACTTGGCAATGATACACTATGTGAGTAATGTTGGAGGGGATGATAACCTACGCCGTTCAACTGACAATGCTATATAGATGCGCTTCCTGCTGTGATGGAGAAAGGCCATGTCGACATCTGGTTGGAACTTTATGTCAACGGAGGCCACTCATCGACGCCATTCCCCCATACGGGTATTGGCATAATGTCCGAATTTGTTAATCAGCTAGAGTCCAACCCATGGAATCCTAAACTCATCAAAGGCTCACCGATATATAATCACTTCGTCTGCCAAGCGAGATACTCACCGGATGCGGCACCCAATATCACCAGCCTTATAAACAAGGGGGATTTGAGCGCATTGACGGAGGAGCTGGCAACGATCGACCGGGCTACCCAATACCGCATACAAACATCTCAAGCAGTTGATTATTTCTTTGGAGGAGTGAAAATCAATGCCATGCCTGAGTATATTAAGATCGGTGTCAACCACCGCATTGCGCCTCAGGATTCGATCCCGGCAGTCAAGGCCAACATCTTAAAGCAGCTTCAGCCTATTGTGAAGAAGTTCGGGCTTTCGGTGACTGCATTTAAGGGGGAAGATAATAACCCCGACTTCGAATTGTATGAAAATATCGAAGATGGCGATATTGATCCGATGTACGAAGTAGAGTATAACGGCTCGCTCATACTCACTTCATCTCAAGCTACTTTGGTCGCTCCAGTCTCCCCCACATTCGGGCCGGTCTGGGATACCTTTTCGGGGACAATCCAACACAGCTTTGCTTTTGAAGATGGCAAAGTTGTTCCAGTAGGAGAACTAATGACTGGCAACACAGATACCCGTCATTACCAGAGTAAGTAAAACCTTTGAACTACTTATCGATAGTTGCTGATAGCATATACCTCAGACTTGAGCCACAATATCTACCGCTGGACCCCTACCCGTCAGGGACACACCGCCAATGCCCACACTGTTGATGAGCGAATGGATATGTTTTCACATATGGAAGCTGTGAGATTCTATTATGACGTGATCAGGAACTTCGATGCTTCCCCGGTGGCGGCTTTTCAGGATCAATCGAATATAGGAGAGTTGTGATTTCCAATGGGTGATATCGATTGAATCAGTATATATAAATGACCTATATTGGAGGATCGTCATTCCTTGAACACGACAAAATGGGATTGAAGTGTTGAGAAGGGAGAAGACTGAATCCAGATTACATACAAAAGAATGCATATAGCAATGGGATCCACAAATATTGTACTATGCGAGAAGTTAGTGTGCCGATGCGGAGGATTAGTCATCTACCGAGTTTGCCGCTACTCGGAACTTACCATGTGCCTATCAAATTGAAATTCAAAAGTTATATCCGTGATAATGAAGATTTCTCCAATTCGTCGGCGTCATATTTGAAATTTAGGCCAAAACCGCCTTTGGAAACCTCATGGATCGCACACGAATAAAAAGAACTTAGTGACATGATGGTATGAATTGGGTACCATGCCTATTTTCCCCTCATTTGCTCCGCCGTCAAGCTTTCGCCTTGGCTTGCGGGCGATTACTGGCAAATCCGGGAAATCGGTCATCTCTTCTACCGTTCGCTCAATTTCGACGAGACATAATCCTTCAACGTCATGCTTTCGATATAGCAGCAATGGGGCTCATAGCCCACTAAGAATCCTTGCGAATCGCTACTCATATAATATTTCGTCTAGGAGATCTGTTGGAACGCTATTTAGGTTCCGCGCGATCACCGAATACATAAGCCTACCCGATTCATACGAAGACGCCGAAGGACTCCCCTTCCGAAAAGAGGATCTCAACCAGAGGGAGGTTCAGAAAATCTTCGGATCGCACATTACCGCCCAAAATGCCAACAAGCTTCTAAGAATATTGCATGGTCGTAGAGTAGCTGGTACTCTCGAAGACCCGAATCTACGGGTGAACACGGCTCATTTCAACGACTCCGATCAAGCGAAGGCCTTAAAATATCTGCGCGCAAACATCCCAGTGGACGAGATCATCAATGCTGGTCTACGAGCCGAAGACGAACTCAAGTATTTAGAGGAACAACAGGGAAAAGAGAATGTTGAGCAGCAACCCGGAGGAACCAGTTCTCAAGACTCGCGTTCTAGCAAGAATGTGAAAAAAGTGAATGTTCCAACAGGGAAGCTTCCAAAGCCACCCAAAAGCGACTCCCCGTATGGAGAAAGCCAATTTGACCGAATCCGAGCCAAGAACATAGCGAAACGTGAGGCAGAGGAGAAGCGGCTAGCGGAGGAGCAACGAAAGCGCGAGGAAGAGGAAGCCCTGAAAAATATCGGAACGCTACAAACTCAGCAAGAGAAACCTAAGGCGTTGAGCCCGCGCATGCAAAAATGGACTGAGCGCGCATCAAGTGACTGGAAAGAACCTCCAAAAATGAAGGCATGGGAACGTTTGCTTCCTTCCCTCGCGATGACTATTTTGGTTTGCGCGGCGTGTGCAGCGTATGCGGCCATGTACACACCACCTGCGCGATCGAATAGGCTATGGCCGGATATACCACCAGCTGCAGCAACCTGTCTCGCTCTCATCGGGATCAATTTACTGTGCTGGGCTGCCTGGAAGCTGCCGCCGTTATGGGGAATTTTAAACCGGTATATGATTGTAGTGGCTGCGACGCCACGACCTTTACAATTAATCGGAGCTACTTTCTCCCACCACAGCCTTAGCCATGCTGCCATGAACATGTTTATGCTTTGGTTCTTTGGCACTCGTCTTCATGACGACGTTGGGAGAGGAAACTTCCTTGCTATATACTTCGCATCTGGGACTCTAGGATTCATGGGCAGTCTGGCAAATTTAGTACTACTTAAAGGACTAGATTTTACGACACTAGGAGCGTCCGGCGCAGTTTATGGCATTATTGCTGCATTCTTTTGGCTACACAAGCATGATGAATTTAAACTGTTCGGGTATCCGCCCGACCCAATGTCCGGTCCTCAGGGGCTTTATTTCATCGCACTGATCCTGGGTCTGCATGTTCTGCCGCTGATTTCTAAGAAGGCTCACAATCTCGACGTAGCGTCGCACTTATTAGGCTTGCTAGGCGGCGTGGTTAGCGCCGACCTCGTTAAAAAGCACATGGATGATAAGGCAAGAATAAGGGCTGAGAGGCTAAAGAATATGGGCACGCTGGAGAAGAGTGTACAAGTAAAGGATCTGGAGAAGACGCCACCGGCGAGTGACGGGCGTTAAATATTGCATACTATGTATATACTCTTTGTATATAACTACGGCAATTTCCGCCGAGGAAATCTTCAACACATACATATTTATATCTTGTATTCTTTAGAGATTCTAGTGTATCGATCTGACTTACGGAAGGTCATCGATTGGAGGCCTGACAAACATCCCGATTTGATTCGAATAGGTATACATGGGCATGGGAGGTAATTGTCCCAAATAATCGGCACCTACGTCATCCCTCAGAGCTTAAAGTGTAATAGTGCGATTAGTGTAGGTACATCTTGGATGTAGGGGAATAATTTATGTGCCTAATGCAAGTGCTGAAACCGCACCAAGAAAAACTTGGAAAGCTTAGGTGACCGGGAATTTTAACACACTTGCAAGTTGCAAGACCTCAGTGCTTCCTTCGACTGAGGCTGTATGTGCCTACCTACAATATATAAATCTTGCCGCATATCCGTGTACGATACGAATGTTAGGCCGGCCTGATGCAGACGCGTGTCGCCAAATGATGCTGGCTATGTCTATTGGCACCAATCCAGCTGCAAGATCCTCTATCATACCACATCATGTCAGATTCAATGGAAGCCAAGAACTCTTCCATTCAAAGTCCGACAAGGCTGGATCGGCCTGAGAGGCCTCCCCTGTCAATCTATAGTAGATACAAAAACTATTGTACGAAGTACCTGGCTGCCTGGGTCCTGTACCAAGGCGGTCTGCAGATCAACGTGGTAACGCTAGCGGGCCTTATTTGCTCCAAATTGGGATGAACCAGAGAAAGAGCTATGACCACGGCAAGTCGGATTGTAACTGCCCCTGCTGCTCATGACTGACCAGTGGTAACCGACTTAAAATCAATCCCATACATCCACTTTCCTAGGGCGGTCCAATCAGGAGCTGAGCCGTCTGCATGCTAAGGCAGGCGTAGCTTTAGCTGATAGCTAAGTGGCCAAGAATGACAACGGGAAACTGCTGATCGTGAGATTTTATTCTGTTATGATTTTCATTGTTCGGAATCGGCACACGATGTCTCACAATCTCAACCAAAATTTTATTTAGAACCCCCTTCCTTTTTCAATTTTCCGTTGAGTCGACTTTTTTTTTGTATCGTCTATTCTTGGATGATCGAATGACTAACACTGCACGTAATCCTAATTAGTAATACCTAATATATTGGCACTTTTTGTATCCTTTTCCCTTTTCTCTCTCCTTGCATCTTTCTATTGTGTCTTCGGCTTTGTTGTCGTTGTCTTGGCATACGTCGAGTCCCTGTTTATTAAGTGATACCCTGATCCCTCGAACTTGTTACAAGAACCCGTTACCTTATCAACGCCTCTTACATATCCCATATTCTGGTGCATGTAGCCGAAATTTGTCTTTCGTCATTTTTCTGATTGTGCGCCAACCCGTACATAGTAGGGCTTCACCAAAAGTTCCCAAACAAAGCAACTTGTCGCGTTCTACCCTCGAGCTTCGTGTTGATGAGCTCTTGGCAGCTCAGCCCTGAGATCTCCTGCATCGTCAGCATTTGCATTATCAGCCACACACCGACAAACGAATTTCCTCCACGTTCCTATAATTGATTGACCCTCTCAGTTTTTGTTGTAGTTAAACCTCTAAACAGGTGCCTACTTCAGAAACCACCGTCAGCCCCCTCAAGTCGCAAACACTATGGCCGCACACGAACACGATCATCACCTCGACGAGGAGGAGCAGCGCAACCCTTATGCTTCAGCCAATAAATGGAGACATCAGGAATCTTCGTCATTTGCAAAGGCGGCGCGAGATCCCCATTCCAGCGGCCACTCGAGAGAGTTATCCGATTTCCTAAACTCGGAGCGAGTCGAAGGCGATCGGGCGGCGGCGGACGGATCCTACCAGCCCATTGTGGTCGGTGGCACCGACGGAGTACATGATGCAGCGGCTATCCAGGGTGGGAAAGAGGTGGTATGCGGTCCCCTGCTTAATTATAGACGTATGGAAAATAGGACTTGGCATGGTAGCGTTTTAATTGTTACCAAAGGTGGCGGCAAGACTCAAAGCTTTCAGCCTATCCTAAACCTCGGACGCGTAGAAGTAGCTCGCGGACAACAGGGTCTGCTTAACGAGGGCTCAGCCGTCAATGGGCAAAAGGCAGGATCCAATGCAATTCGTAGCAACCACGGCACTGATGTTGCAGGTATCTGTCTCTACTCCGACCCAAGATGCACGTTCTGGGCGTTCCCTCTTGCTTGTGACATCGCCGACACCGAAACCAAGTGGGCATATTCGATCGCCGACGTTCATTACAAGAGCGAGACGAAGCCTAAGACCAACTATTTCTTCGTTCCTGCCATTGACGAGTCGATGCGTATGATGTTCCATTCATGCAATGGCTTCAGCGTAGGCACTGACGAAGAAGCGTGGAGTGGACCAGCATTATGGAATGACGTGATGAGGAACCACGCGAAATCACCTTTCCACGTCATGATAGGAGGTGGTGACCAGATCTACAACGATGGTATCCGTGTTCAGGGACCTCTACGGGAATGGACGGATATAGGGAACCCAAAGAAGCGACGCGACTTTCCTTTCCCCGAGAGCTTGCGCGAAGCCTGTGACGATTATTACCTGAAGAATTACATTCGATGGTATTCCATCGAGCCGTTCGCGGCGGCTAACGGACAAATACCTCAACTAAACATTTGGGATGACCATGATATCATTGATGGTTTCGGATCATACGTCAACGACTTCATGAATTGCGATGTCTTCCGAGGCATTGGCGGTACTGCCCATAAATATTATATGCTCTTCCAACATCACCTAGCACCGCCTGCTTCTACATATACTTCGGATGCGCCTAAGGCAGGGGAACATGGACCGGAGGAGGATCCAAAGCAACTTGTGGATACGTATGTCAAACCGCAGGCCTTCGATTCGTCTTACATCATAGGTAGCAGTCCTGGACCATACGTCGCTCAGCACTCGATGAATATGTTCAGTAAACTTGGCGCCAGAATCGCGTTCTTAGGCATTGACGCGCGTACCGAGCGTACACGACATCAAGTCAACTACGAGGAGACATACGATCTCATATTCGGCCGTGTAAGGGAAGAACTCGGGGCAGCGCAAGCAACTGGCCAGCCTTACAGACACTTGATCCTGTTATTAGGTATCCCCATTGCGTATCCGGTAAGGATTATCTGTGTTAAGTATCACTATAATCTGCTAACAATAACAGCGACTCACGTGGCTCGAGAACGTGTTTAGTAGTCCTCTAATCGCTCCCGTGAAATTCTTAAATAGAAGATTCGGGTTCGGTAAGTAATTCGTACCAGTTAAGTAATGGTGATTATTAATTGTTATATCAGGTGGTGGTGTATTCAATCATTTCGACGGCAGTGTGGATCTTCTTGACGATTTAGATGACCACTATACGGCTAGAACCCACAAGAAGGAGCGAAATGCCCTAATCCACCGGCTCCAAGGAGTCTGTGCCGAGTTCTCTGTCCGACTTACCATTCTTGGAGGCGATGTTCACTTGGCAGCTCTAGGGCGCTTTTACTCGAACCCGAACCTACATATTCCTGTCGAGAAAGATCACCGTTATATTGTCAATGTGATCTCCTCGGCCATTGTCAATAAACCCCCGCCAGCAGCCATTGCCAATCTGCTAGCAAGCCGTAACAAAATCCACCATCTTGACCCGGATACTGACGAAACGCTCATGGCGCTCTTCGATAAGGATCCTGGTACTTCCAACAAGACACGGTCATCCAACAATGTCACCATGCCTAGTCGAAACTACTCAATAATCACGGAGAATTCGCCAAATAATCGCGGTGATGTTGGTAGCACTGCTGAAGTGGCGACGGATGCTAATCCACCAGAGAATAAATTTGACGGAAAGAACGGCCACTCATTCCTATCCCAGGGAGAATTCGGTGCGGGAACCAAACATAAGGCGGCCGATTTCGAGAGACACGGTAAGACTAACGATGGAGGCCTCGATGTGTGCATACGAATAGAAATCGACCAGCACGACAAAGAGGGCAAAACTGAACCGTACGGTCTGACAATTCCGGCGCTTGATTACGAGGCCGGCAGGTTTGGAACCAACGCGCACTCTCACCATCTCACTCCCCACAAAAGTCGTCCGGGCACCTCTGGAGCCGCAAGTACGATCCCCGCAACAAGCATTCCATCGCTACCAGGATCAATACCCGATGTGCCTGAACGTCCCCTATGAAGGCAAACCTAGATTGGCCGTTAGTGCATATAAAGATGTTTTTATTAGCAATTTGAGACGGTTTGTCTCGGGTTGCTATGGGGTTTTGTGAAGATAGCACGCGAGTGCAAGTGTTTAATAGGGTGGAGTCGCGATCCGCCTTATTCTTGACTGAAGAGTCTAGCCAGAGAAGGACGTTAGGATTAGATAGTAGTCTACCTGCGTCTAATAGGAGGATAAGAAAATAATACCCACGAGGATTGCTGCATTGCATTTGTTTTAGATTCCCCCATCGGTGGTTTTGGTACTCTTATACTCTACTGCTAATAATCATGTTTGTAGCGTGTTCTACCTGCCTACAGGGCAAAGATCAAATAATGGACGGTTTCCCGCATCTCTTGCGCCATCATTTAGAAAGTCTGCGTATGCCTAGACTATCCGATCCCACGAACTTACATGTTAGGTAATAGTAAAGGCCTATGTGTAACGATCAAGACTTAGCCAGGGGTATGGACTTGGGATGGACGGTTCTAACCGGCAATATATTGTCTAGTACGTCTGGAAGAATAGTCGGGTCTGGCTGCCAAAGTAAGAAATCGAACTAGTGTGCCGCGGTTTGGTAAACGGTTTGAATGTTAGGAGCTCATGCCGAATTCGGCTCGTTCGCAGCAATTATCGGGCTTTTCATTGGCCAATCCTTTCGATTATAACTTCGCAGCTTCTTTGCCCCGCAATGTTATTCGCTTGTGCCGCGACAAAGCGAGAATATACATCATTATCGTCGGAGTCGGAACGCCGATGAAGCTCTATCTATTGAGTTATAATGCGTGATAAGTAATCTATGTTGGACAGAATTTCTCGTGGCAATTGGTCGTTAAAGTTTAACCGCATATTAAGATACCCATTTCTCTTCTTCCCACTCTAGGTAGCTTTTTCATTTCTAACAAGTCCTGTTGCAATTGGGATTGCGTTGGTCTTGTACTTAACTTCAACTTGGTAACAATTACCTCTACCTTCTCTTCGACATGTCGTCCGCACCGAGGACTCCCGGCCTCGCGAGGGCATTACAGAGCTCTAGTCTATCCTCTAGAGTCTGTTCAAGATGCTTGCCAATTCTCCAGTCTCCGAGAAATGCCAGAGCATTGAGTACGACCAATGCTAGACGGACGTTGGCTGCTTTCAAGATACCAAAAGTATCTAATGAGCCAAATGTAAGTAAATCTCGCTTGGTTCTCAGCTTTATCAATGTCATTTTGAGTCGAGGGACTGATAGAGAACATAGCACATATATGCGAAGGGCTCGGCGCAACGAGAGGGTCTATTAGCTGCAGTTGCCGCTCAACAGAAGAAGGGCGCCATAGAAATACCGCTCATAATAGGAGGCAAAGAGGTATGTATAGTTCCTACCCTAGTCTGTCTATATATTGACCTATTGAGTAGATCAAATCATCACGAAGATCTACCCAATACAACCCTTCCGACCACTCAACCGCGATAGCGAACTACTCCCTCGCTGGCCCATCCGACGTCAATACAGCTATCAAAACAGCCTTAGCCGCCAAACCGGCATGGGAAAACCTCCCTTTCGCCGATAGAGCGGCTGTCTTCCTCAAAGCTGCCGATCTGATCTCTACGAAGTATCGATACGAGCTCATGGCCACGACTATTCTTGGTCAGGGCAAGAACGCGTGGCAAGCCGAGATCGACGCTGCGGCAGAACTCTGCGATTTCTTCCGCTTCAACGTCCAGTACGCGGAAGAGCTATACGCGCAACAGCCTGCTCACAACTCACCTGGCCTGTGGAACCGTTCGGAGTACCGACCCCTTGAAGGCTTCGTGTACGCTGTTAGCCCCTTCAACTTTACCGCGATTGGCGGCAATCTCGCCGGTGTACCAGCACTCCTAGGAAACGTAGTGATCTGGAAGCCGTCCGACTCCGCCGTAACGGCAGGCCACCTCGTCCACAAAATCCTACTCGAAGCGGGATTACCCGAGAATGTGATCCAGTTTGTGCCTGGCAACCCGGTTGAAGTAACGGAGACGGTGCTCGCGCATAAGCAATTCGCGGCACTTCACTATACCGGCAGCACGGCTGTCTTCCGCCAGTTGTTTGGACAGATTGGACAAGGCGTCGCCCAAGGCCGATACGCCGGGTACCCTCGCATCGTCGGCGAGACCGGCGGCAAGAACTTCCACCTCATCCACTCGTCCGCCGACATCCAGAACGCAGTCGTTCACACTGTGCGCGGCGCCTTCGAGTACTCAGGTCAGAAGTGTAGCGCCACCAGCCGCGTATACGTAGCTAAGTCAATCTGGCCTGAATTCAAAGCGCAACTGGTCGAGGAGACAAACAAGCTACAGGTCGGCGCGCCATGGGACCCCAAGACGTTCATCGGCCCCGTGATCCACGAGCCTAGCTTCAAAAAGCTAAGCGGGGTCATCGATGCCGCGAAGAAGGACCCCGAACTGGAGCTGCTGGCAGGTGGTAAGTATGACGGATCAAAGGGGTACTTCATCCACCCGACCGTGTACCAGACCACGAACCCGACACATAAGCTCCTCAGCACGGAACTCTTCGGCCCGATCCTCACGGTGTACGTGTACGATGACGTGAAAGGCGGCCCCGAACACGCCTTCGCCGAGGCGTGCAAGCTCGTCGACGCCACGAGCGAGTACGGCCTCACAGGCGCCGTGTTCGCTAGCGATCGCCTGGCGATCCGCGCCGCGGAGGAAGCGCTTAGGAACGCCGCGGGAAACTTCTATGTTAATTGTAAGAGCACCGGGGCGGTGGTTGGACAGCAGCCGTTTGGTGGGGCGAGGGCGAGTGGTACGAATGATAAGGCGGGGAGTGTGAATATTGTTAGTCGGTTCGTTAGTGTGAGGAGTATTAAGGAGGAGTTCTTGCCGAGCTTGGAGGTTGGGTATCCTAGTAATGAGGTTTAGGGGGTGGAGATGGGAAATCGCTAGGGGTTTACTCTATTTAGGGGGCGAGGAAATGGGGGTCGGGTTGATGACTTGACCTAGAATTCCGGGTTGTTAACCACGGATGGATTATGATACTGATGCATTTACATGGTTAAGGGTGTCAGTTATCTTAGTCACTAAATATGGTATAAGATACAGAATGCAAACTCATGATATAATGATAGATATTGGTCCATGTCGTACGATTATGATTTTGAGATGTACATATGGGTTCTGAACAGGAGTTAGTGTCAACTTGCTCCGTTTGGCTGATAGGAACCGCAACACATTGTCTAAGGAGTGGGAACCTCCAGCATCAACCCTCAAACAATCAATTTTCATAAAAAGGCAAACCGGTTTATGACCATTTAAGATAATTAACTCCAAAATTATTCACTACCAATATTAAAAAAAATACCATTACGGGGGATCGAACCCCGGTCTCCAGAGGATTCAAATTCGAATTATTTGAAAATCTGGCATCCTAACCGCTGGACGATAATGGTCTCACAGAGGAAGTTCCTGCATTAGACTCTAGATCTCTAGTTAAGCTTTTATCATCTTGTTATGCTTTATAAGTGTTGTACTTGGATATGTTTGTTGTTTGGGAGATGGGAAGGAGCTACTATTGCATTACCGTAGATGTCGTTTGTAAAGAAAGTGATGTTCTTGATTGCCCACCTACCATAGCGGCAAATACTAGAAGCTAACAATGATTGGAAAGTCGAAAACAATGATTGGAAACCTGAAAATAATCATTATAAAATAAAAATAATCATTGTAAAAGTAAAAATAATCATTGTAAATAGGTTGAAATCATTGGAAAGAGGTTGGAATCATTGGAGGGGTTTAACAATCATTGAAAAGGTTTAACAATCATTGGAAAACCTTAGATTTAGATCAGGTACCCAAGTAACCCAGGCGGCAACAAGGTTGGCGATACCTTTTTGCCCATAAAAAAACTTAAGATTTTTTTTTTTTCGAATTTTGCCCTTATCCTGCATCTCTCACATACAAGTTTTTATTTTTATTTCTTTCTTTTATATTTTTTTTTTATCATAAAAATATATACTATTACCACCACCATTATTATATTATAATAATAATACTCATTTATATTTTAATATAAATTTAACCTTAAATAAATTAAATTTTCGATTAATAAATAAGTCCTTAAATAAATTAAATAAACCTTTAAATAAAATAATATTTCGATTAATAAATAAGTCGTTAAATAAATTAAATAAATTAAATAAATTAAATAAATTAAATAAATTAAATAAATTAAATAAATTAAATAAATTAAATAAATTAAATAAATTAAAAAAACTAAAAAAATTAAAAAAATTAAAAAAATAAACTTATATATAATTTAGTGGATAAAAAAATAAATAAAAAAGAAAAAAAGTTTTTACCATTTATTTCGTTATTTACCTTTTTATTTAAAGTTATAAATACTTAAATATTTAAAGCTTTTAATAAATATTTAAAGTTTTTAATAAATGTTAAACCTTTTTAATAATTATTTAATTTTTTAATAATTATTTAACTTTTTTAATAATTTTTTAACTTTTTTAATAATTTTATTTTACATAATAATTATATTAAGAAATTTTAATTATTATAATAAGTTATTATTATTTTCGAAAATAATCATTATTAATTATTAACAAGTTCCGATACGATACTTAATAATAATATTTTTTTTAAAAATATTAATATATAAATAATATATAATAACTTTTTAATATAATTATTATTTTTTTTTATAATATAATATTTTCGTTTATAATTATAAATAATGTTATAATATTATATTCGATAAGTTTTATTACCGTTATTTTCGAATTTAACGATAATTTTAATTAAATATATTTTACGAATTACATTTTTTTTCTATAAAAAATATTTTATATAATAAATAAAAAAATAAAGTATATATTTTTTATTAAAAAATTTTAAAAAAACATATTATTAAAACTTATATTTCGTTTAAAAATAATATTAATTCGATTAATTATTTTACATATATTAATTTTATTTTAAATAAAAATTTTATAAAATATTTACGTTATTTTTTTAAATAAATTAACGTAAAAATCGAAAAACTTACGAAATTATTAATAAAATATTAATAAATATATATTATTATTTTTAAAATAATATCCCGTTTTATTTAATTTATTACGAAAATAATTAAATTTATTTTTTATTTATATTTTTTTTTAATTATATTAAATTTATTTTAAATATTATTAATTATAATATTATTAAATTTAAAAAAACGTTTATTATTTTTAAACGAATTCGGGTTATATTAACGATTATTATAATTAAAATTATTTAAACGTAAATGTTATTATTTTTTATTAATTATAATTTTTTTTATAAAAAATTAATAAACTTATAACGTTTATTCGCATTTATTAATTTAATTTTTATAATATAAATTATAATATTATTATTAATAATGAGATTTTTTTTAAAAGTAATTTTTTAACTTAAATTTATAAACTTTTTTATAATAATTAATAAATAAAATAAAAAATTATAATTATAATATTATTTTTTATTAAATTCGAAGTTAATATTAAAAACATATTAATAATTAATTTTAAAAAGCTTCGAATATTTATTAAATAATATATAAATAAAATCTTTTTTATATTAATTTTAACGATTTATAATTAACGTAATAAATTAAAAAAATAATTTAAGTTAATATAAATAATAATAAATAAAAATATAAAATAAACTTTAATCGTTAATATAAAAACGTGAAAATTTATAAAATAATTAATTATTAAAAACTTTATAATTAAATTAATATATAATTTAAATAATTTTATTATAATCGTTTATTTTTTTATATTATTTTTTTTTTAAATTAAATAATAATTTTATTTTATTTTACCGCCGTTTTATTTTTTTTAAAATAAATTTACACGACGTTATTCGAAATATAATTTATTATATAATATATAATAAATTATAATATATATATTTATAAAAACTTTTAATTTAATTTTATAATAATTACTTAAATATTTAAATACTTAAATATTTATTTAATATAATTTTAACGTTAAAATATTTAAATATATAAATATATATATATTTAAGTAAATAAAATTTAATTTAATTATATAAATATTTAATTTTATAATATAAATTACACATTATTTTATATATTAATAACGAAATAATAATCGTTTTATTTATATATTTATTAAAGAAAAACCCTGGCCGCGCAGTACGGGTACATCGTCGCATCCGCGCAGTAGAGCTAAATCGAAAAAGGTATAGCTTAAGGTACTTTAAGCGCCATACAATCTATTATGTGGCAGAATGTAACTTTTTGCGCAATGTACCTTTCTGGAACACCTATCTCCCCAATCAACTTCAATCAATTATTTCAAGGGGAACTCCTACTTAAAAGTTTGATAATTATAACCATTGAAAAGCGCTTTTTCTGTTCTATTCCCAGGTTTAATCTCCAAGCTTGCATCGAGTCTGACGTCACAGAAGGCCCTGTTGAAGTTAATGGCCTTGTTAGAGACTGCCCGGAAGTCTTAGAATTCTAACCCTCTGCCCGAATGTTTTCAACCTTCAATATCTCCGTCAGCCTGCAAGATATGCAAATGCAACTCAGACTCAAAGTAAAGCTGATCAAGAGCAATTGAATGATGGTAATTATATTAGATTTGAACGGTTGGTGAAGGAGAAACAATTGATCAAAGTGGATTGAAGGGAATGAGGGCGTTCTGGGTACCTTTCGAATGCGCTAGCGCGGAATTTAGCGTTACTGCGCGGATCAGCCGATGTACCCATACTGCGCGGCCAAGGTTTCTCTTATTAAAATATATTTATTATATAATTAATATTATTATATAAATTAAAAACCGAAAAAAATATTTTATATATATATATTCGTAAATTATTTTAAAACGGAATTAACATTAAATTTTATTTTAAGTCGTTCGTTATTCGTTATTAATAAAAATCCTTATTTTTAAAATATAAAACCTTTTTTTAACCATTTAAAAACGGACTTAATATTATACCCGGTATAATAATAAAAAATCTTAAAATCGAAAATATTTTCCGTAATTTCGTTTATTTTTTTTAAACTATAAAACTTAATTTTTTTTAATAAATATTTAAAAAATTTACGTTATATTTTAAAAAATAAACGATAAAAATATTTAACGTAATTTTTATTAAAAACTTAATATTTTTTTAAAAAATTAATAAATTATTTCGAACATTTCGAAATCGTAATTTTACGGTAAAGTTTAATAATTTTATTATATTAAAAATTCGATAATAATTTTAAACGAACGAAATTATCGTAAATATTATTAATTATATAAATTAAAAAAAAAACATTTTTTAAAATACTTAATAAAGTAAAAAATTTTTAAAAAATTCGTTTAAATTTTTATCGAATATTATTTATATATTTTAATTAATTTTAAAAATCTTAATTTTTTAACCATTTTTTAAATAATATTAAACTAATACGTTTAACGTATTTTTTTTAAATTTTTATTTAAATTTTTAACGTTTTTAATTCATCGAAATATAAATATTAAAATAACGTAATAATTATTAAATATGCTTTTAATAATTAATTTAATTCGTTTATTTATATATTTAATATTTTTTACGTTTAAAGAAAGTTTTTTTTAAAAAAGAAAAAAATTTAATAATAAAAAACATTTATTATTACTTATAATAATTATAAATTTCGAAAATAACGTTTAAAAATATTAAAAAAAAGTTAAATTAATTATTTAACCATATTTTTATAATTTTCTTAAATATAAAATCGTTATTAAAAAAAATGCGAAAATAATATTTATTATTTTATAAACGAATTATTATTTTTAATTAAAAATTAAAAAATATAACACGTTTATTTATTTATTTATTTAAATACTTAAATATTTAAAATAACATTAATTAAAAATTAAATTATATTTAAATAAATAATATTATTCGATATTATTAATATAAAAAAAATAAATATAAAAAAATATATTATTCGTGTTTTATATAATATTCGAAATTTAATCGTAATTAAAATTAATTTAAATTTCGTAATTACATTTAAATAACATTTTCCCGTTTTATTAAATACGGTATTTATTAAAACATGCATAAATATTTTACCCGATTAAATTTATTTATAT